AGGAAAATATACACTTATTGATGGCCCTCATAACGATATGCACTCACGGAGCAAATCTTAAGTATATCAATTGAGACTTACGTCATCCCAATGAGAAAGCATAGGACATTCGAATAGTGTTTCCTATATTGTATGTATTCTAAAATTGCGCTGTTCAGAAGCTTCATGGTGTTTTTGACATAGGGTAGCAACATTGCAAAGATTATGGGGCACATCAGCCTCTGTTAAAGACATTCTGCCAAAATATATGGGCGCCCTTAACTACCCCACTTATAATCCACCCAAATCCACCTAATCCATCCACGACATTGCCGAGTGGATTCGGTGGATTAGCCAATCCACTGGGATTTTGCCAGTGGAGTGGACAGTGGAATCCACGAGTGGATCCACTACGTGGATTGGGTGGAGTGGCTTTCAACCTTGCCTGTGTCAGCAGGCTTGCAAACAAATAAATCAAATCCAAATCTATTCAAATCAAATCAAATCTATCCAAATCAAATCAAATCAAATGGGCCATAATGTTATCCAAATCAAATCAAATCGCAATGTCCAGATTTATTTGGATATCTGGCTATTTGGATAAGCCCCACTTCTGTGATCTGGCCCAATCACTGCCAGTCATTACGCCCCTACCCGCGTCGCGTAAGGTTACACGAAATTCTGTTTTCCTACCACCTTGCGACGCGCTGCATACGAAATCAGTTTGTTCTAAGCCTATGTCGGCCTTGCAATGAACACACCCCACTACTCCATAAGTGGCCTGGTCTGAGAATATTGTACAGCGATCGGCAATTCACGATAATTCTCGTGGTTTATTTGATATGGTTCAATATGCGAATACTGGCCAGGCGTCAAGAGCTCTTTCCAGTGCTCCTTCTACTGCTTTTAGCCTCCTTGATAGCCCTGACCTCGGTTCGTCAGAGACCAAAGGAGGGGCGGCGGATGACGCATCATTTTCGGTCGACTATATCGGCTATGAAGGCATCGACTGGAATCGCCTTTCGGGGTATTCCATTCGCAAACATCAAAGAAGGCCGCGGACAGGGTGGGTATGGGAACACGGATTCGATATCGAAAAAGACGGCTCCGGTTACCGATTCTGGCTTTGCAAAATGTGTCACCAGAAGAAGGCTACGATCACCCACATGTACGACGCTGCATCTACGAGCCAAGCAAACGGTCATATGGAAGATATCCACCGTATCAATAAAGACGGATCCATGCCACCGCAGAGGAAGAAACAACGCACTCTTTTCGACATGGTTGACCTAGACCCTCATCGGCCAAAGGATCAAGCCTTGATGAACGCATTTATAGCATCATTCGAACCTGCCCGCTTTCAACATTTACTCATACGTTGGGTGGCATGCGATAATATCCCATTTTACAAGCTTGAGAGCCCATACTTTCGCGATCTTATGGCGTACGCAAACAGTGCCATCGTGGATTCGGGAAGTCTTCCCACCCATAGCACGATTCGCGAATGGATTGTTCGGACCTTCAGTCGTCATAAAGGCGTCGTGACGGAATTACTTGGCCGTTCTCTCAGCCGCATTAATATCTCCTTTGATGCGTGGTCGTCTCGCAGGTTTACCTCTCTGCTCGGCCTCACCGTGCACTTTCTTGATGATGAAGGGAAGTTCCGTACATTTCTCCTAGGCTTGCCACGGATTGAAGGTCGCCACGGCGGCGAAAACCTTGCCGACCGCGTTAGCGAGATACTACATGAATACGGGATCGAGGAGCGCACTGGGTACTTTGTCACAGATAACGCGGGCAGCAACGACACGTGTCTTGAAGATCTGGGTATTGAATTGGGTTTCAAGAAGCAGCATCGTCGGCTTCGTTGTTGTGGTCACATCATTAATCTCGTCGCTAGATCCATTCTTTTCGGCACGGACGTCGACGCATTTGAAGAGGATTGTCAAGCCGTCAAGGAAATCCAAGATGAGGTCCAACTCTGGAGATCAAAGGGTCCTATAGGCAAACTGCACAAATATTATTCACTGGGTGCAAAGGTCCGGTCAGCGCATTGAGAAGCTGCACAAGCTCCAGTCTATTGAGAACACCGCCTTAAGCCTCGAGGACAAAACAACCTACGACGTCATCACCGACAACGCTACTCGCTGGAACTCGTCTGAAGCCATGATGGAGCGGGGCTACCTGCTTCGGAACGCACTCGATTCTCTGGTCCAAGCGGAGGTAACAGAATGGAACCAGTACGTGGCCAGGAGGACACAGAACGGGATAAAACCGATGCCGAAGAAGAGCCGCAAGAAACCTGCGATTGTTGATGATAAGATGACCGCTGAGGACTGGTCAATAATTGCAGAGTATCTGGCAATCCTAAAACCATTAAAGATTGCGACCAAGCGCCTGGAAGGCCGACCTCAAGAAGGCAAATTTGGCGCGATTTGGGAGGTTCTACTAACGATGGAGTGGCTTTTGAAGCATCTGGAAGAGGCTAAGTTACAACATGAACGAGACGAGGAACCGTACCTACGGATTGGCTGCAACCTCGGCTGGATGAAACTGGATCAATACTACACCCTTACCGAGGATAGCCCTGCCTACCTCGCGGCGCTTGTCCTTCATCCCGAATTTCGCTGGTGGACTGTCGAGTCGCAGTGGGCTGACCATCCGGGCTGGTTAATCAGAGGAAAGACAGCAGTGCAAGAGCTATGGGAGGAGTATCGAAACCTCTCCGTCGAGCAGGATGCGCTACCGGAGCAGCCGACTATTGCAAGGAAGACAACGGACCTGGATGACTTTATGGCCTCGATCAGGAAGCTCAGTACTCAGCCTGCGCCTTCGACGTCTGCCATGCGCGATGAGTATGCAGAGTGGGTGGCCACAACCGATCCAGGCGATTGTTTAGTGGATGACCCGATTCAATACTGGCTTCTCCGAAGGCGCCAGTATCCACGTCTGTCGCGGATGGCAATTGATCTCTTTTCAGTCCCGGCCATGTCATCCGAGCCAGAGCGGATATTCAGCCTCGCCGGGCAAATGGTCACGGCTCAGAGAGGGCGTCTCAAAGCGGATCTCATAGGAGCTGCTCAATGTATATCGTCTTGGGAGAAAAGTGGGGTTATCCAGATAACCAAATAAGATCCAAATCGATATAAATCAAATCAAATCAAATTAGACCCCCGATTTGATTTGATTTATTTGTTTGCAAGCCTGAATGAGATACATTGATCTGCTTCTATGTTCGCCTGGAGTCCGTCTCTGAGCTCTAACCACCTGCCCTGCGAGACTGAATATTCGCTTTGCCTCGGAAGAGATGTCTTAATGAATTGAAAAGAGATCAATCGCCACTCGTGACAGACGTGGATATTTGACCATTTCCTGGAGTCTTTACCTTGCAATGGGCGGGATCAAAGCCAGAAACTATGGCAGTTAATTGGGAGGTAGGGGCCCAGTTACCAAAATAGGCAGGATCTCGGCGCAAAAGTGGGGCTACTGGCTGTTAGATTGGCGGCGGGGAAATGGTTCCACTTTTCTTTATCACAATATTATTCTTGTATCCAGAAAAGGAGGGGGAATTGAACCAACCCCTCCCTTACAGACTGATAAAAAGGAATCAAGTCGACAATCAATAACATCACAACCTTCTGCTCCAGATCCTAATACACTCACCCCATCGTTTAGCTGCGTATCCAACACTGGCCCGTCTGACACGAGCGCTGATTGGACAATATTTTATCCAAATAAATTCAAATATCCAAATAAATCGGACGCCCCGATTTGATTTGATTTGGATAAATTATAGCTCAATTTGATTTGAATAGATTTGGATTTGATTTATTTGTTTGCAACCCTGGCCGTTGCCGAGTTTGAAAATCACAAACGGAAGGTAATCGAGGTATTGAGAAATGCACCTGGGTTGATACACATCTCGTTTGTGGGCTGGAGATCGCGGAATAAGTACGCTTTATATGGTGTTGCCTGCTTCTTTTGAAATGAGGATGGCAAGGCCCGCAAACTCATTCTGGGAGTGCCTGAGCTGACAGTTCGACACTTCGGGGCCAATATTGGACACGAGATCATCGAAATACTCGAGTCATACGAGATCTCAGAGGAGAAAATTGGGTACTTCACGCTTGACAACGCACAAAACAACGACACTGCAATGGATACCATTGGGGAGAGATTCAAGTTCCATGGCAAGGAACGGCGGGGCCGTTGCTTTGGCCACGTAATCAATCTTGTGGTTAAAGCCATTCTCTTTGGAAAGGATGCCGACGCATTTGAGTCCCGGTTGGCAGACTTGCGTATTGTGATATCACGCGCTAAAGTGATATTCATATTCATATTCACATATTCGCAAAAAGTATGCTAGAATATCACCCTAGCACTTTAGCACGATTGATATTACTATAGCACTTTAGCACCTATACTGTCAGACATCCGCAAATCGATCAGAATAAACATCAGAGTCTTCATCGCCGCCACTATCAAAACCCGTATCAGTAATTACACCGATCTTCGCATATTCATATTATATTTAACTTATCTAGCGAAACACATATTCATATAACATATTCATGCATATTGGTATAAGGGCTCACGTGATGCCAAGCTACTGCAGTGAAGTGAGAGGCATCGATTTATGTAGCTGTAGAGCCCGAATACTTCTTAATCGCTCCCGTTTGACCTGTACGCTATTATATGTCACCCTTTATAGCCTCTGGATCAAACGGAAGGCCTATCCCGCCCTCAGCTGAGGATCTAATATGCCCCTCTCGCAGCCAGTTGCCGATACACTCAATCTTCTCAATGCTCTCAATCAGCAATCGTAACATTATACGAAACAGCATGAAACTCTCAACAAGGCACAACTTGTTTCATGTAAATAACTCCAATTTTGGTCAGGCACCGTACAAGTGAAATTGGGCATTTTGTATGGGGAAACTTTCTTTTACTTATCAATAGAGGGGTATCGCATGGTAATCTAATCGGAGAATTAAAATATCATTAATCCGTCCCAGAGCCTTCTACTCGATCAGAAGCATCCTTGCGGCGCATCTTCCGCTGGAGGTCTTCACAACAAATGTTAACATGAAGTGGTTTTTGGGGACAGTCGCCAGGGTAGGATACTTCTCGTGAACCTTAGGCATGGTTAGCTTTCGGTCGAATGGCCACTTCCCAGCCTTGACTGCAACGTCTTCGGCAGCTACGCCATCCACAAAAGCTGTAAAACGTACATCCAGATCCGAATCAGATGGTGTGAGTATGCCTTGAACTGAGATCGATCGGATCTAGATTGGTCATCTTCGATTATTTTCGACTCAACTTTATCAACAGAGACTTCAACCAGTGCTCCCATCAAGTCTTTGCTGATCAAAGGGATCTGGTCAGTTGGCAGCTCTGGTGTCTTGGTAGGCAAGGTTCGCCGCTTAAAGGCATTCTCATATGCAAAAGCATACCGAAGTAAATCATTGTCTGCCCAAGCCTTTGAAGCAAAGGTGATACCAACAGGCATAGCCTTGTCCTCCATAGTTCCCATGGGAACTGTAATACAAGGCACGCCGAGATGCTTAAGTGCACGACCCCCATTGGCGTATTTAATCCCATTTTGAAGTGCATGCTGCATAGAGGCGATATTCTCATCGGCATCAGCGAAGGGGACATCGCCGTTGCTTGGGAAAGCAAGCAGATCGAAGCCATTGGCATCCATCCAATCGTCGTATAACGTACATGATAAGCGAGTGTCTCAGACAAGCGAGTGTCTCAAAAATCCCTCAACTTCCCCAAATTTGCATTCAATCATGAATTTCTCAACAACCAACAATGCCACGGCTTAATAACGAGGCGAATATTCTTCTTGCTCTTCAAGCTCTTCAAAATGACCCAAAATTAAGTCTCCGTCGCGCAGCAAGCATATATACAGTCTCCTGGAAAACCCTTGGTCGCCGCCAGAAGGGCATCCAGTCTCAACGCGATGCCACTCCCAAGTCACGCAAACTGTCTGATCTGGAAGAGCAGACCATAGTTCAGTTCATTCTCGACCTAGATTCGCGAGGATTTCCCCCGAGACTACGTTGTGTGGAAGAAATGGCCAACCGATTGCTCGCCGACCGCGACGCGCCACCTGTCGGCAAGCGATGGGCTTCCAACTTTGTCAAGCGACACAGAGAGCTCAAGACGCGTTTTTTTCGTAGATATGACTGTCAGAGAGCCAAGTGCGAAGATCCAAACATCATTCGAAACTGGTTTAGTCTTGTGGAAAACACAGTCGCCAAGTACGGCATCCGATCGGATGATATCTGGAACTTTGACGAGACTGGTTTTATGATGGGCGTCATTGCAAGCGGAATGGTCGTCACAGGCACAGACAGGCGTGGGAGGCCTAAATCAGTTCAACCTGGGAACCGGGAATGGATTACCGTCATTCAGGCCATCAATGCGGAAGGCCGAGCGATCCCGCCGTTCATCATTGGTGCGGGCCAGTATCACCTCGCCAACTGGTACCGAGACAGCAACCTCCCAGGCGATTGGGTCATTGCGACGAGCCCAAATGGCTGGACCGATAATGAGGTAGGCCTCGAGTGGCTAAAACACTTCGACCGGTGTACAAGCAAGCGATCAAATAGTCGCTATCGTCTTCTGATCCTCGACGGCCACGAAAGTCACCACTCTATCGATTTTGAGAGATATTGTAAGGAAAACAAAATCATCACGCTCTGTATGCCACCTCACTCGTCTCATCTACTACAGCCTCTCGATGTCGGGTGCTTTAACCTACTCAAGAAGGCGTATGGTCGAGAAATTGAGCATCTGATCCGATGCTCCATAACCCACGTTTCCAAGACCGAGTTCTTCTCGGCTTTTTATGCCGCATTTCAGGCCACAATGACGGAGAAAAATATAAAATCAGCCTTTAGAGGAGCCGGGCTTGTGCCTCTTGACCCGGAAAGTGTGGTCTCAAAGCTTGATGTGCGGCTGCGGACCCCAACGCCTGCCGAGGAGGTAGCTAGCCCCTCAACCCCTTGGGTCTCAAAGACGCCAAAAACCGTGCTTGAAGCACAATTTCAGTGTGAATACCTCGATAGACGAATCAGGCGGCACCAAAGTAGCTCCCCAGAGTCAATTCTAGGAGCTCTCAAGTCTCTTGCTAAGGGAACCAAGGCGATAATGCACGAGAATGCCTTGTTAAGGGCTGAGAACCAAGACCTTCGACAAGCAAATGAGATACTAAGTCGGCGGCGGAATATGAAAAAAACCAGACTGCAGAAGAGAGGGGTGATGACAGTAGAGGAAGGAAGGCAAGCGATTGGTCAGATGAATGTTGACGGGCAGGCAGTGGAAGAATCGTTGAGAAGTTGTAGTCAGGGAAGGTCGGTGCAAGCAAAGGAAAGGCATTGTAGAGCATGCGGCAAGATGGGGCATAACGCAAGAACATGTCAGGTAGTTGTTTCAGTGTCTGAGGAAGAGTATAGCAGTTAGTTTCAATTGATTTAGAGGTTCGTTGTGTTTTTGTGACGATTTACATCTTGTGGATCGATGTTTGTTGAGACACTCGCTTGTCTGAGACACTCGCTTATCATGTACGTTAATACTTTTCGCATCTTCTCAAGCGCTTGGACAGCTTCTCGACAACCAGGAAGGGTCTCTAGAGTGCTGGTTCTAGTGCGGATAGAGGCTATCATGTCGGCATACCGAACCTGATTCTGTGCCTCGGAATGAGCCGAGGGATCATCCAGAGGTGCAATATGGGGATGGATCTTATCCGGGTTGGCAAAGGTCAGATTAGGATACTTGGAATCGTTCATAGCCCGCAGGAAGTCGTCCCATGCCATAGCGATCATCTCGCAACGTTCTTGATTTGCCCAGTCAACCGACATTCCCGGCACGTTGGTACCTTGACCAGGAAAGTCCTGCTTAACATATTGCTCAACGAGTAGGAAGTCTACCTCCACAATAGTCGCACCGAGTGATTCAAGATCCTCACGAGCTCAATTGAATAGGCGCAATACAGATTCACTGCATGTAGCAGACTCGCCGAGGAAGCGTTTTGGTACAGCGATCCGCTTTCCATATAAAGAACCAAGGTCTTCAAGACTGTGGAAATCGGCTGGTCGAAGTTCAGAGGCTTTCGGAATATGGACATAACTTTGGTTTCGCTAAAAGTCGATTCCGCTTCGAGCCTTCTCATCATCAAACACAATGACGTTGAGCACGTGAAAAAGGTCGCTGACGGTTCGTGTATGTGGTACGATGACGTCGCATGTTGGATACAGTGGCCATTGGCCTCTATTGGGGATGATACCCCGGGATGGAGAGTAACCAACTAAAGCGTTATTGGAGGCTGGAGAGCGACCTGATGAAACTGTCTCTCCAGCAAACCCAAATGCCGCCATTGAAGCCGTGGTAGAAGTTCCACTGCCGTTAGATGAACCCGAAGCGTAGGCAGTTGTGCCATATATATCACTATAGGGGCTCTCGGCTCTGCCATAGAGGCCACGCTGTGGACCACCGTCTGCCATGGGAGGCATGTTAGTGCGGCCCAATATGACAGCTCCGGCTTCCCGAAGTTTCTCGATGATGGCTGCATCGTCTGGGGCCACAAGGTCGGCAAAGGTGGGTGATCCTGCGGCGACCGTCATGCCTCGAACCTTGAAACTGTCCTTGACGGTAAACGGGATACCTTCAAGAGAACGAGGCGTATTGCCTGGGGTGGCCCGATAATTGTCGGAAGCTTGAGCTTCATAGATTGCATTTGGGTTCAGAATGCAGATTGAGTTAAGAGACGGGCCTTGCATGTCGAATTGAGCAATTCGGTGTAAGTAGAGCGTGACCAATTCTACACTTGCCAGGCTGCCTGAACCAAGTGCATTTTTCAGGTCCGTGATGGTAGCGTCTACCAAGCTGAGTGAGCTGGCTGCAGACATGATGTCGAAAACAGGATAGAACTGTACTGAAGCTCAGTAAACAATGAGAGGTGGCAGAATAGCGCAGTTATACTTGTTCAACAGTCATGTGTAGGAGAACAATGACTACTTCTAAGTTGATTCCGTCCGGTGGAAAATGGCCATTGCTTTATAGCACAGAAGCAAGTAAGATTTAAAACATCACGAACTCTGGCGGCCCATCAGGGCGGGCCGCCGAGGCCATTGACGCTAGTGCTGAGTGCTATTGCCAGTGATAGTAAGTACCGTACTGGATGGGAAAGTCAAAGTATGGATACTGGGAAGGTAGTTCGAAGCGGCGTGTTTAGTGATTTGCTTAGTGAGATTATACCGAGTTGGGAAATATTCGCGTGTGGTAAGTAAGTACTGGATGGGAAAGTCGAAGCACAGACGTTGGGAAGGTAGTTCGAAGCGGTGTATATTATTGATCATTGTGATTATATCAGTTGGAAATATTGTAGATGGCGCTGTATTTCCTTTTTTAACCCGTTGAGTTCTAGTCTATATTTATTAAACTTGAGGTAGCTGACCATGAAAGTATCTCATGGTAGAGAAGGAGAAAAAGTTTCACTGCCAAGGCGTAAATGGGCTTACAGCGTAAACTGTTTAACTGCAAAAGCCTACGGATTAACATAAACCACAGTCAGTGATTGGAATTTATAGAGTGATTCTGATAAACACAGTCTGTTTCCAAGTAGCTTGATGTGACTCTGTTGTTGCGCTTATGTCTTGGTTTCCAAAGCATTATTGTGATCGGTATAAGTAACCTTGCATGGCAACTGTGTAAATCTTATAGCAAAGGTTGAAATTGTCGTAACATTCAGGTATCCGAAACAAGTGGTTTAGTCGAATACCGATTCACTTTATGATCAATATGAACTGGTGGAAATAGTGCAAGGGACACATAACATAACTACAAGATCGTAACAGGCACTCACTCAGGACATGAGCTATCCATTTCTCGCGTTCATTTTCCACCCATACTACCAAATGAATCTATCTGTCTTCTACTCATCCCGCAGTGCAGCTGAGATAGCCTTCATGCCTCCCTCAAGGTCTCCACGTGAGGGCCATCCATAGCCAAGTCGGAAAAAGCTATCAGACAGCTCAAACCAATGGCCAGGGCCAACATAGGTGGAATGTTTCTTAAGAAGCCTCTCGTAGAATACCGGCAGTCCCCCCTTGGGCTCCTTCTTAATCCTAGGGAAACAGACAACGCCACCGGTCGGCTTGACCCATTCCAGCAGCTCCTCACTTTCGATCCATGACTCAACTATCTGAAGCCGGATCTTCATCTCATCTGTTGTTTCGGCCAGGATCTCCTGGCGTCGCGAGAGGACATTTATCGCTATCCACTCGTTGATGACACTGCCGCTAATACTGATCTGTTCCTTCGCAGCTAGGAAGGTTTCTTGAAGTTTCTTGTTCTTGGCGATGAGCCAGCCGATACGGACGCCAGGAATGCCAAAAGATTTGGACAATGAGCTAACACTCAGAACATGATCGCCCAAAGAGGCCGCGACAGGAAGTTTCTCGCCAAAAGCTATATCCCGATATGTCTCATCCACAAGCAGTAGAACACCTTTTTTTTTTTGTAATAGCCACAAGACGATCAAGTGCCTCCCGAGAGAGAGTAGAGCCGGTGGGGTTATGTGGGCATGTCACAGAGACGAGCCGGGTATTGGACTTGATGAAGGCCTCAATCTCGTCGATGTTAGGCTGGAAGCCTTTCTCAAAAACGACATCAATGTAAGAGATCTCGCAACCTACAGCCTTGGGCGTTTCCAAATTGGTTGCGTAGTTGGGGCGCACCACAACAAGATGATTGCGCTCCGATGCAGGTGTATTCCCGAGCTGCGAAGTGGTGATGATGAACAAGGCCCCAGCGGCGCCTGAAGTGATAAGGACGTCGTCAGCGCTCACGTTGGCGTCGTCAGCGATGAGCTTCCGCAGTTCGGTCTCACCACGGTGTTCGTTATACAGAAGGGTGAGGTTCGGGATTTCGAGGTTCAGAGACTTGAGGGTCTGGTCGGTGATGGAGCTCTCGGAGAGGTTATACTTGATCTTGTCATAGCCATACTCCTCAGGTGACTCGATCTCAATGGGCATGCGCTCAAACTTCATGTTTGCGGTGATGAACTTTTTCTACCAAACAGTTAATGCATGTAAAGCGGTACTGGGGATAAGACCATGTATCTCACCCGAGAAGAAAGATAGATCAGAGGCTGTATATGTCGTTGTTGAAAGGTATCAGTTTTCTGACACGTGAGTTTGAGGTGTTTGAGAAGCAAATAAAAGAGAATAGCTGGAATAACATGGGGCTAATAAATAATAGCAAACAAGTTGACTTTTTCCTAAGTTTCACAGCTGTCGGCGCTTCCACTTGCCCTCCCAGAATGCACATTAAGCCGAGTGTACCCCACTTTCAGGTTTCGCCACAGACGCACGCTACTGCAGATACAGGTTAGACTTCCACATACTACCATTATGCTTTCCGAGGAGACTTCACTTTGGCCAGAAGAAACTAAGACCATCGCCTATTAGACAGAAAATGACATGGCGCATGTTCAATAATTTGGGTTATTCATATCAGCAATACACGACCTCCCGTCTGAAGCACCAACTCCGCCCCATTTCGATTACGATGCTGCAAAGCCCAGCAGCTCTTCATGATCTTAAGCACAGTGCCACTATTTCCGAAACCCCCGCATTCTTTAATGAGATTGGTCAGGAGTGACTCAAAGAAGCCTTGTTGCTCGGCATCGGCCATACACCCAATGATGTAGAGAGGCCAAACGAGACCCTGGAGTGGAATGGCCCGGGGCCAGCCCCGAAGCACATCAACGGCCTTTGCAACCGTCTCCTTGACTTCGGGAAGAGATGCCCAAGGGCCTGAGACTATAGTGCTTGATAGGACCAGCGATGCCAGGGCGAAGATGTGCGAGACCCATGTCGCCTGAGGAATTTCGGTATCGCCCTGTTGAGGCATTAGTACCCGTTTGTGTCCCAAGGTGGTTCTCTATTTTTAATGGTACTCACCTTGTCTGCCAACTCTAGTTCCACAATACCATTTTGTAGTCTCGTCTCAATGTTTCGACTTTTCATCACTAACTCTGGTACGCTCAACGTCCCTTGTTCCTTCATGTCTTTTTTCCAGGCTTGGAGATGCGCGAGGTCACCGATTGCAATCATAACCCAGTTATAACAACCCATCAAGTCGGCCATGTCAAGATCTGACCCTTCGAGCCATTGTTGATATGGAATCCGCGGCACTCGACCTGTCGAGGCACATGCCAGGATGTCATACCATAATGCTTGAGTTACAAGGAAATCGAAATCCGGCTGGGATTCTTCGCCGCTATTTTCGCAGTTCATGCTCACTGGAGAAGTCAATGTGTTATCGGAGGATGAGGAATTTCTAAGAAGAGCTTCCGGTGAATTCATGCTGAGAACAGTCATCACGGCATCGAGGTGAGGAAGCCAGTCATATTCTGCGCCGTTGAAAACCTATAAAGGGTCGAGACAAGTTAGAACCCTTCAAGATCCACTGAACTCTCCCACCACTCCTGTTATTACCTGAAAACTTATCAGCGTCATGCTTGCAGCGACAAATTCCGCAAGTTTAGGCTTATCGCTGAGTAGCGTCTCGGTCTCAGTGCGGCGCGAAAACTCGCATAGCTCCCTTAAAGCCCTTGAGTAATATTCGAAGGCTTCTTGGTTATGAAGGTAGCCCTGCTGTCGAGAGACTTGAAGTGCATTTCGGTGCAGGGCGGAGAGCGCCAGGGCAGCGTGAGACAGGGAACCGCCGTTGCTGAGGAACAAGAGGAGCCATCCTCTATTGCCTAGACGGGAACGGGGGCTGAAATAAGGGAATTGCCAGCAAAATACATGATCCAGATAGTACATGATTAGAGATGCCAATTCGGGCCGTAAGACACATGAGGGAGTCGAATGCTCTGAACTTAGGCTAGCTTGTGGACTTGTTTCATCTTGGACCGAGCTTTGGGTACGTTCGAGGCCCAGGTGAAGACGCTCTGGGCTGTTGGAATGCCTGAGGCCAAGACTGCCATGGTCTGCAACATGCCCTGGCTGCGAAGGAGACGAAAGGCTAGTGGCGTCTTGGGCTAGGGATGTCTGTGGCGGAGATTGTCTAGCAGTAGGTGTTGCCTCCCTCACTGCTTGCCGATTACTCTTCTTGGCTCGTCGTAGATCCTGAGCATTCCGCTTGACAGCCTTCTTGATGCGAATAAGCTTCTGTTTCTCGGCAGCTGACCCATCCATCCACACGGGCTTGGGGCCGTAGCCGTGGCACGGAATGCATCGGTCTTTGCACTCTCCGCACACGGGGGTCCGAAGGTCGCATTTCCGATGTCTGAGTTTGCAGGTCCAGCAACCACTCGGAAACGGCGTCATGGCAGTTGCTTTCCTTTCCCAGGAGATTGTGTGTGTTTTTGGGAGAGTGAGATTGATCTGGGGAACGGGTGGGGTTTTTGAGTGGTAAGTTACCCCGCCATCTTTAGCATTTGCCGAATCAGAGCCCATTCCGAGTTCAAAATTGGGGGCGCTTCGACCTGCCCTCCCAGGAACCTTTGCTTTCACCTTGATTGATCCATTGAGTTGGGAGATCGGATATCCTATGACCATCCACATTCTATTACACATAGTTTGTTATCAACTGTTCTCGCAAAGGATGACCAGGGTTACATGCGGCATGCACGTCCGAGCGGACTGACTTCATGTCTTTGATGTCCCTACCTTGTTGATTTTCATCAAGGATATGGATGGCCGGAGGGATATGGACCTTGACAAGACAGATGCTGCTCAATAACATTGGTAAATAAATGATGCTCAATCAACTTTTGTCTGCAATGTCTCGTGGTAGATTAACACAACTTGACTCGAGATTGAACCATTTGCAACGTTCATGTGTACACAGAAGGTATTGGAACTAGCTCGTACTTGCAAACGTGTATAAGAAAAACGATCTAAAGGTGTAGAATTGTCTGGAGATTGGTGGCATAAAAAGCGTTTACGAGCTATCAAATTTGCTTGCAAGAAACTAACTACTTTGCCTCTTCTTCCGCTTCGCTCCAAACCCGTTGGCCCTCAAACCAAGTTTCTTTGACCTTTGCCTCTAACAGTTTGTTTGGGTCTAGACTCATATCGACAACAACAAAGTCTGCCAACTTCCCAACTTCCAGACTTCCTGTCCTGTGTTCAAATACGCTTCGTGCAGCCCCTTCAGTCGCTGCAACGATAGCCTCGCACAAGCCAAGCCGAAAGTGCTCATTTACAGGTTTTCCATAGCCTGGCTTTCGAGACGATTGACGCGTAGTTGCTACATAGAGGTTATGCATGGGTAGCCAAGGTGACGTAGGGCTGTCGCTTCCTAGTGCCATGAGAGCACCAGCATCCGCAAACTCGCGATAGGCAAAGGCTCGGGAACAGCGGTCTTTGCCTAAAAGCTTTGGCCAGTCTTGCAGGATTGATGGGTCGGCATGGACGGGCTGAACAGATGCTGTGAGACCAAGCTCACCAAGTCGTTGAGCGTCTCTTGGTGATGCGAGCTCTAGGTGTTCTACGCGATGACGGCGTCCTGGAGTGCCGTACCTCTCTAAGGAGTCAATGGCCATCTTGATTGCTGCGTCTCCGATGGCATGGAGCGCAATTTGCAACCCGAGACCGTCAGCTTCCTTGACAACAGGCTCAAGGTACCCTCTTTCCCAGATCGGAGGTGGAAAGCAAGCCGGCAGTGGGGAGTAGGGCTGCGAGAGATACGCAGTACAAGCATCAATGATACCGTCGCAAATAAGTTTGACACCAACAAGTCGCAGATTCGGACTGGTTGAGCTATTGAACTTTCTGCTTAGCTTGCCTGCACGCCGGACCTGTCTTAGGTTCTCCTCATGATCTGTGGTAGGCCTGATAAGCCAGTACGCCGCGATGCGAATAGCATGATCTGACTCTCCAAATAATGTCACCAAGGCATCCCAGCCCTCCTCATCCATGGCCATCTCTACCAGGCCGGTATAGCCCGCAGCGTTGTATTTCTGGATGGCGGCGCGGATCGCTTCGATGCGTTCCTCTTTGGGAGACGACTTTGCTTGGAATGGCCAGATGATAGACATCATAGCTCCCTCATCAAGCAAACCAGAAGGCTTGCCGTCGGCATATCGATGGATCTTGCCTCCTGCCGGATCAGGCATGTCTTCGATATCCAGGACCTTCAATGCAGCCGAGTTGCACCAGCATGAGTGCAACGTACTGCTATCGATGAAGATAGGTCGTGGATCAATATCATCGATCAGAGCCGCTGTTACTCCGTCTGGAGTCATAAAGTGCATCCAGCCTCTGCACATGATAGTATCCACATGCGGGTTTGCAGTGGCAAATGCCTTGATTGTTAACCGGATGTCTTCGAGGTTGTTGCATTTAGTGAGGTCTACCTTACGGAGGGATTGACCGAGGAGTAGAAGATGCATATGCCCATCAATGAAGCTCGGTAGCACGACACGCTGTTGGAGGTCATGGACTTCGAGCTCTTCGATACCATCTGCAATGTCCTGATGGGATCCCAAGGCGGTAATCTTCCCATCCTGAACCAGCATACTGTCAACGAATTGGACTGGTGTATCGTATCTGGCATCAGCTTCTGTCAGGATCCGTCCGTTACGGAAAAGCTTGCGGGGCGTCATGGCTGCTAGCTAGTTGCGGTGGTTGTAGAGTAGAACCTTGATGTGTTGTTAACTTGAGTTCATAGTAAGTGATTGAAGGCAGCATGTAGATTTATCTTTTTTCTATCTCGTCCGGTGTAATCCGATCTCTTCATGCCATGGTTGCGAATTTGGCTTTTGGAAAGTTTCAGCTGAACTGGGAGGGCAAGTCGAAGCGCCTCAGCCCAACTCCACTTAGTGACATGGTTCTTTCTCGATCCAAGCCTTCAACTTCAGTTAGCCGTGCTAGTATCAGCCTGCTTGATTCAGATTCTGTAAGTCGTCAGATGCCGGCTGGAAGCGCAACTTGACATAGTGACAATAAGGCGCGCCCTCCTTGTCATGGACATGAAGGCCTGGGAACGTTCGTACATGAAAATCCACTATGGTCAATAGCTTCAATCTTTTCCGCTTGACTCAACGTTCGAAAGGAGGTCAAAACGTTGAGACGCTTGTCCAAAAAGGACTGCGATCAAGTCATCAGGCACGGGACTTCCGGTGGGAATAGCCACCCCTTCCGTTACCCCATGGGCCTGGCTTGGACCCCCAGCTTCCCCTGTCACGGGCTGGATTACAACCAACAGAAGGAGTGCTACAGTCAAGGATAGGTCGCTGCTAGTTACTTGCAATGTATTAGGTAGGTCCTGGGTTCAACGACAATTAATTCCTGCCTCTTATCAGAAGTGGCTATCTTCTGGGATTATATGCCTGTTACCATACACAACCCCCCTTTCGACAGCCCCACCCTTTCGTCAAGCAAAAAAAAAAGAGGACCACCAAAAATGGACAACTTCACTTGTAAACAACTCGGCCAAAATGAGGGACATGTGCAAAATATCTCATCTCACAATAGCGAACAACTATCTCTATTGGAATTTAGGTATTTTGATAAGCCGTCCTGACCGCGTGGTCCGTTGGTGGGGTACGGCTTCCTCTCTCACTTCAATGACCGAGCTAGCCTCTGATTCTGACTCTCGCTCGTCTGAACAGACAGATTCCACCACGACAGACTCGTTTTGAGTCTCCCCTTCACGTATGGCTTCTCCAACAGCTAAAGTCTCCCCGAGAGTCATAAAACGCCTGTTAGGATTCGGTACCGCCTTCCTCTTCTTCCCTCTCTTCAGCCGAGCCAATTCTTCCTCTAGGCTGGCAATCCTCTGCGTATGCGCCGCTACTGTCTGTTGTTGAGCCTCAATGCCCTTGGCTATCACGTTGTACCGTCTCCGCGTCTTTGGTGTTTTGTTCAGCCCAAGATCTCGAATTTGACGGCTCGTCTGTGGAGTATCGTCCGAGCCAAGACACGGCCTAGGTTCAGGAGTCACTCTTGGGCCGCTGTTTGGCCTGTCTTGTTGGATTTCAGGGTGTCGCAGCGCTTTGGAACGCGAAATCGGCCAGTTGCCAGTGACCCTCCAGCCTGACAGTATGTTCTTCTTGGTCATTCCAACTCGGCGAGCCTTGGCGTAGGCCCTGATGAAATTGACCTTGTCCATCGGAGCGGAATCAGTCAACGAGGCGAACCTTTCCAGCTCTCGTCGATATGCAGCCTTTAACGCGTTGAAGACTCCATTGTCTAGTGGCTGGAGTCCATGAGAGCAGTGTGCTGGTAGATAGCAGCAATAAACGTTGTTCAAAAAGCACGTGGCCATCCATTCATCCTTCCATCACTCAGCACTGATCGTGAGATGGGGGAAATGGAGGACATACTGTTGCATGGCTTCCGTGACCATCTAAGATGATCAGTCTCGCGTCTGACTCGTTGGCAGGTGTAGTCTGGGGCAGATAGACTCTTTCAAGCCATTCAATGCCTATGTGGTCATCAGTCCACCCGTTGGGCGATGTTATATAATACCAGTCTGCTATCTGCTTGAACTCATCAAGAAACCACTGTTTCTGGAGTTTTTTCCCCTTGAATATTATGCCAGGAACTAAAGCGCGGCCGTCAGCAGTGATGGCTTCGATGAATGAAGTCCAATTCCGAGTTTGTGGTCCCTTGAGAAACGCCTTGCGCTTCGGGTCCGCGCTTCCAACGACCAGGCTATCTAGACCTGAACCCAGAGGGTTAGTCGGCCAAAACTCAAGCATTGACAGGGAATAGAGGTGAATTCTTGCCGAAACCAGTCATAATACCCCCCTCATCAACGTTGACGGTGTTTTCAGGCTTGATCCAACCATATTGGCCCTCCCGGATATCAAAGTACCAATGAACCGCTCTAGGTGTGAAAGAGTCGAACCTCTTGGCTTCTTGACGTCTACCCATCTTGGTCTTTAGGTCTGCGCGGCGATTGATAAACTTGGTCACCCAGTTGCGTCCCAAGTTGGGACGTTCGCCCTGCTGCCTCAACAAGCCCATGACACAAGCGCGGATCTGACTGTGGGACGGAGCATAGCCCAAGGACTCCTGGCGGAGAATCCAGAGAGCCAGCCTATCCTCTTGGCTCTTGGACAAGCGTCGATGAGGGTGGATCTGCTCTTTCACGGCCCCGCGGCCGTTGAGTCTGTCGATTAGAGTGCTCCGAGGCACTCCCCGTCTATGAGCGGCTTCAGGGGGCGAAAAGCCATCGCCAGTAACATCCAATATAGCCTCTGCCATGTCTTCCTCTGTATATTTCCATGGAGTCTCGATCTAGGCATTTTTTTTTTGTCGTTGTCGCAGAAAAATGCCAAAAAACAGAGAAAAGAGCGGTGAGGAAATTGATGATTGAATTAACACTATTTCCGTAGCACGGTATGCGTACATCGCGTACCCCGCACAGCCTTAGAGGGCTACAATCATCAACTCCAATCATTTCTATAATCAACAGAGCCATTGTTCTTCAAGTAGCTATTTATTTTGGCCAATATTTGTGTAAGTGAAGTTGATGAGTTTTGGTGAAGCTTTTTTTTATTTTGCTTGCCGAAAGAGGGGTTATGCCGAAAGAGGGGTTGTGGATGGTACTCTTAAGTGAAACAGTGTGGTAAGTGGAATTTGATACTAAAAAAAGCGATCTGAGCCAAGGTGTCGATCCGGTGTCCGTATATAATGCTCACATGACGCGGGGCCGACAACATCATCATGACGTTTTGTTGCTGTATTTACCATATTCTCCGTTCCCATACTGAACCGTAGAATACGGGGTACCCGCGAATCTTAACGCGGTCTGCCTTGTCAACGACGCCTTCTCATAACAGCGGCAGGCTATTCGAAACCAGCATGGAAAATCCAAGAGACGCCCAGGCAAACACAGTTGTCGAAATTACTCCATGTGGCGACCTTTTTCTGATAGTTGGGCCGGAAGAGACAAAACTCCGTGTTCGTTCTATGTTGTTGATGGCAGCCTAGAAACCCTTCTCCGTCATGTTAGGGCCAGATTGGAAGGAAGGTAATGATATGCTCGATCGCATGGGCCTTCCGAGTTATTGCTACCTGAAGACAATGCTACTGCGTTGAAAATTATCTGCTCTGTTATTCACTATCAGAACAGAGATGCTCTGGAGCGGAAATTCTCAAAAGTGATACTCGTAACATATATTCTGAGCCTCACGGATAAGTCTTGATGAAGGCGATGCTATTACCCTCTATAGAGATAGCAGATCCAGCGTGGTTGCAAAGCAAGTTTTCAATACGAGCATAATTGTTAGGGCTTCTGACCGACCCGACATACATTTGTCTAGGTTAGTTCCCTATTGCCATAAGCGTATGTATACTGAGTTAACGTTAGTTAGAGACGCAATTAACCCACTATTATATACCCAGCAATTAAGTACCCTACTAGCGAAAAAGCTGAGGTTGGAGTACATGGGTCTACACCACAACTAATTGTCGCACTGGATGTGCTTAAAATGGATTGAAGGTCGGGTCATTCATAATGAGCAGCAGTAGTGAGTTGATTGGTTCTATCTTCTGTGTGGGGTATTCCATCCCACAGGTTTTACTTTAAAATCACCCAGCTTGATTACTAAGGGCTGTTGTTCCTGAGGATCATTGAGACCATGCCCGGCCTGCGACACCAAGTCTCTCCTTATCTCAAACGCCAATAAGGGGAACTCTCCCGACCGCCAGCTCGGGCTTAGGCGCTCTACCCCTAAAACGTCATGTGGCTTGAGATTAAGCTCGGGAGTCGGCGAGAAGGTTTCGCCGGTTGCGAAACGGCGGAAGCTTCTGGGTTTTTGAAAAAGCCCGACGGCACTTGACTGCCGAGTTACCCTGCCGCACGCAATAGGTACAATCTGGAGAAAAGACTCGGCCCTTGTTAATTCGGCGTAATGAGACGTAAACTGAGAAAATCTCAGGGTTTTAGGTGTGGACCTTGAAGAGCTAGCTATGCTAAAAAGAGGGACACGCTTATTCCGAAGGTATCCATAGCCTGGGTGGGGACTCGCCGATCTGGTTGTTCCCTGCGCACGGACGGTCTTGGGTGCGTATCAAGACGTATAACAACGTATTCGCCAAATTGTGGTGGATCCTAACGGGTCCTGGACTCTGGCGGCGTCATTGGATTGGTCCAAGGTCAAGCCGTCTTAGCCCCGTTTTGCTACGTCCTTAGCCCAAACTTAATTTTAACACTACTTATTCTAGGCCTTGGACCCGCGAGGAGCGTATTCTTCGTATAGCCCTCTTACTTCTTCTTTGACACGTCTGTCTCTACCTGCAGCCTGTAGTTGTTCCACGCGGCTCCCAGTTCCATGAATGAGAATACCCCACCTACTGACCAAGGTGGTAAAGTCGTCCACCGAAGGGCCCATAGAAAGTCACGTCATGGATGCACGTTCTGCAAAAAAAGGAGGATCAAGGTAACGAACGCCTAACCCGGCAGGCGAGTCGACCTGCGTTCCAAAATGATTCAAGCTAATTCTTTGGTCCAAATCTCCAGTGCGATGAGCAAACGCCGGCTTGCACCAACTGCGTCAGGCGATCGCTGGTGTGCAGCCTTGGCACAAACCAGAGCCCAGCTTCCAGCCCAGCTTCGACGGCGTGTGTGGTAGCATCCGTCCGGTGCTGCGCAACCAGTCTATATGTGGGGGATTTTGAGCTGTTTCATCATTTTTGCCATGTCACATCTAAGAGTTTCAGTAACGAGCAAGCCACCCAATACTTCTGGAGCGTTACAGTCCCGAGGCTGTCTTTTAGACACCAGTTTCTTCTTCATGCAGTCATTACTCTAGGCGCGTTGCACCTACGTCACATGAAATACCAGCTTGAGAGAGACATGCCTGCCGGACTGTTGGACAAGGCTAATGTGCATTGGGAAGAGGCCCTGAGGCTTGCCTCGCCGCTTCTCTCACGCGTCACTGAGTCAAACTGTGCCGCACTCTATCTCTTTGCAACAATAACTTGCTTGCATACATTTGCCCTCGGCCCATGCCCAGGAGAGCTGCTTATATTCAACCAGAGTGGCCCATCGCACTGGCTGACATTTTTTCGCGGACTTCGGTCAATCGAGCAAGCATGTGACTTCGCAAGTGTCCAGAATGAGGAGCTGCACCCAATATTCCCGCTCTCTGGCTTAGAATCGAACAAAGTTCCAGTCAAAGCCCTCGATCCATCCGTCCAAGAAGCTCTAGAGGCTTTAGCATCCTTCATAGATATCAACGTCACGAAGGATGACGAGCGGTGCGAGAGCCTGGTGGAAGCTCTCACGCTTCTGCGTAGGTGCTACACAGTGGTGTATGACGAACCAGCGCAAGTTTCGGCTTACACGGTTTTCAGCTGGTTACATCGTGTATCGGATCATTACCTGAAACTGGCACAGGCCACTGACCCAGTGGCGCTGCTACTCTTTTCATACTTTGTGGTGTTGATCAAGGGTTTGGAGTGTGCCTGGATGGTAAATGATTGGCCTACACATCTCATGTCAGAAATCTACGCTTGCATGCCACTTGCGAAACGTTTCTGGCTGAGCTGGCCTATGGAGCAAGTCGGCTGGCTGCCCGCTGAATGAGTACAGCAACCGTGGTATAGACCATCTTGTAATTTGGTGTTTTTTTTTGTTTTTGTTTTTTTTCTAACAAAAAGAAGAGGAGAAGACACTTCTACATGCGTCCACGCCTCATTTGTTTATAATGTTGTCTTGATAGAAGCTGTTCCTGTTGGAGATCACAAATGTGAGACGACCAAGTCGGTGGCAAGGTGTGAAACAAGGTGGAACATTCCACGGAGGTGGTGCCTGTACATAAACAGTAGTTCTCCTACTGCATATTTTGAATGAATTAAGAAACCTGAATCTTCCCATTTCAACAGTTCCTTGCACAGGTCAAACCCTACCGGTAGGATTCACCACAAGTATCGTGACCCGAAGGAAGGGTTTAACATGAAGCATGAGTGAAGAGGGTTTATCTCGCTTGAGGCTAGAAGTTGCGTGACGTCACAGCATGTCTTTTTTTCCAGTCGAAGTGGAGTTTCCACTAATCAGGATCAGAATTTATAGGCCAAGATCGACGCCTTGGCACAGCGTATTCAATACGTGATGATGAGTCCTTGACAATTTCTGCCTCGGGATGCCCGTGACCTGCTGTTATCGATCCACTGCCTACGTTTCTTGTCGCGGCGCATCATCCGCAAAGTGTGTCATATCGCCCCGAATGACAAGGCTGATGCGTTGATTCGCGCGCGGTTAATTTGACCTCTGATTACACGCTCAAGGATGTGGGTCCGGGCGGCCCACTCGCAGCGGAAGCTTGTCATTCATTTTGTACACGTCTCCGTGAGTGGCTTGGTCTTAAGGTTAGTGCAATTAGATTTATGCCGGGGCCGATGCCGTGTGCCGAGACCTAGACACCTTACCAGCAGCAACCCAATTGAAAAAAAGTTATCCTTCGTATCGCGCGCGCTTGCTTATGAATCTCAGCTCTTCATCTAACGTCACCTCAACTGTTCTTGCTGAATAACTAACTGATCTGGCTGTGTTCCTCGGAACGACTATCACGCCGATGATATACGATTCCGCCGAGATGGGCATATTGAGGCTCTCCCTGCAAGTTGGGTTGGTGCACAGGACTCCGGCGATCATTATATCTTTGTGATCTGGAACGCAGTTTCTTGATTGCAACTACCATTCTCACCACACCTAACTCATTGTATTCTCAGTCATGCGTATGCTATTGCTCTCCACTCTTTTCGCCGCCAATGGAGCAGCATACGACTCGCTGCTCGGCTTCGATGCCACCGCAAAGGTCGAAACACGATCCATCGACCAGATCTACAAAGCTGCTCTCAAGGAAGGCGGCGTTGTAACATCCTGGTTCGGCGGCGATGAAAAGAACCAGCAAGACGCAGTAAAGAAGGCCTTTGAGGCAGCCTTTCCCGGCGTAACTCTCAACCTCACTGTTGATGTTTCCAAGTATCATGGTGGCAACATTGATGAACAGCTCGCTAGCAACAACGTCTACGTCGATACCGTTGCTCTACAGACGACGCACGACTTTCCGCGTTGGAAGGAGGAGGGCGCACTGCTTCACTATGCCCCTGTTGGATTCGACAAGATCTATCCCGATTTCCGGGACATCGATGCCGCTTTCTATGGTTACATGGGTATTGCGTGGCAGTTTGTCTGGAACTCGGACAAGTTGAAGGGCAAGAAGGCGCCTGCAGAGTTCCCGGATTTTCTTGCGCCAGAGTACAAAGGTAAGCTTGCCTTGACGTATCCCAACGACGATGACGCGATCCTCTTCCAGTTTGACCTGATGTAAGTCTCGGTTCTTAAGATGAATGGTACCCAACTCACATCAACAGTCTCAACAAGTATGGTACTTCTTGGTTCAAGAAGCTCATCGGGCAAAAGCCCCGCTGGGTCCGAGGCACAGCCACCGGCGCAACACTTGTCGGCGACCCCAAGTCCCCCTACGTTGCAACTTTCACCTCAGCTCTTGGTCTGACCACCGGCACGGGCTCTCTCAACGCTACATTTCCAAAGCAGAGCAACTTTGTCTCATGGCCGCAGCACACTGCCATTCTTAAGGACGCACCGCATCCTGAGGGCGCTAAGCTGCTGCAGAACTTCTTGCTCAGCAAGGATTTCCAGAAGACGAATGGATTCTGGCCTGTAAGGAGTGACGTTGCTCCGGCGGCAGGATTCCCTGAGCTTAACAATCAGCCCCATACGAACCCGGGTGCTTTTGCCAAGTTTATGAGCAACCGGGAGAGGGTTGAGAGGCTGAGGTTTTGGTTTGAGAAGAGGCTCGGTACTGCACAAGGTCTTAGCCCGCTGGATGATGATTTGTAAATCTGAATGGGTGGAGTTGTAACACTAGCCTGTTCACTCGACTCCTAACAACCATTATCCTGCAGAATTATTCTTCTTCGTATCTATTGAGGCGAGAAACTATATAAATCTAGGATCTAAGAAGGGATAGTTATTATTCATATTGGTATGTTTACATATAAATTTTGTCGTATCAGATAATATACACATAGAATGTTATGCAATCGAGCTCTGCCAGTTAAGAATGAAAACCGAAATGTCTGCTATAGAATTATAAGAGATATATGAATAATATAAGTGATAATAGTTAACGTATGTACATAGCGAGTGAAACACTAACGTGAATGATAAGCTTGTGTTGAATGTTGGAGGGTTCACCCTCAACTTCAGGATTAAGGTTCAGGATTAAAGTTTGAAGCCATAAACTTAGATCGTAGGACTTTCATCTAGGACTTTCTAGGACTTAAGTCCTAGAAGGAACCAGTCGAAGATATAAGGTCTCAATAGTCCTTCGATTGCGACAGAATCAAGAAATATACACGATTCACCTTAATATCTGACAGCTTGCGGATTATCCGAGTATACGGATCAAAAACCCCTCAACCTACAACATTTGTATCTAATCAATTACCATGCAGTACCCCTATACCAATAAGACCCCTCTACCGATAGGCAAAAAAAAGTTTCCCCATACAAACTGAGATTTTTCAGTTACCTTGCAAAGAGTCACTAGAAATACGAAAAATAAATTGATTGCTGCTTCTTGGTTTAGAGTTATATATCATTTAATATCCTCTTGGTTTCTTAACTATGCGGCCTGTATGAGTTTGTGCGATAGGTAATTCTTCTGCCTCCGAATTTGCGCTCTCATCCTCTTCCGCTCCTCCTACCTCGATTACATCCTCAATAGCCTCTGTCTCTGTAAATTACCTAGCTTGTCTCAGAAATCGTTTCACCAGCCACTAAAGTTTCGGCTAATATTATAAACTTCCTATTGGGATTTGATATTGTCATTCTCTTCTTACCTCTATTTAGCTATCTAACTTCTTCCTCTAAACTAGCTATTCTTATACTTAAGGAGGTAATCTTTAATTCTTAAGCTTTATATACTTTAGATATTATTAAGTAATATCTTCTTATTAATACGGTCTTATTCCTCCTAGATCTCTAATATAGTAGCTAGTCTTTAGTATATTATTAAAGTTAACTTATTTATCCCTATAGCTATCTAATATAGGTATTACTTCTTTTTTCTCTAGTTAAATCTTAGGATATATAAGTACTTTATATTATAAAATCAGCTAGTTTCCTATTACTCTCTAGCCTAAGAGGATATTTTTCTTTATTATTCATACTTCCCTAGCCTTAGTATAAGCCTTAATAACGTTAACCTTATCTATTAGTATAGAATTAATTAAGCTTATTAGCTTTTAGAGTTCTTTCTAGTAAGTAGTTTTAGAAGCATTAAACATATTATTATTAAGTGGTTACAAGCTATAAGAGTAATAAGCTACCGTAACCAAAACTATCACAACAGTCTGCGACATGCGGCAAGCCTGGAAGATTGCAGACCTGACCATTTTGACATTCGAAAACCAGCTCGGTCTCCTGAGATTCGCATTATGCGAAATCCAGAAATGGGCTGGGTCGGAATCTGATGAACGATCGCCTCAGTTGGTGATGCAAGTTGATAGCTGTGTAACTTGCTGTCGACTCTTGATCGGCAAAATCGATCACGAGGTGTCGCAGTTTGAGAAGACAGCGGCTGGAAATCTAGAATTGGGTTCCAAGCTTGCGCTGCTTTTCAAGACAAAAGATATGGAGCAGATTCAACGCATGGTCGATCAGCAAACGCATACTTTGACACTTCTTCTTAGTGCCTGCAACTCGTGAGTTTTGTTCACATTGGCCTATTCTCTGATATGTATCTTTATTAACGGCGCCCATAGCAATGCTCTAGAAGAGCAAAGGAAGACCTTGCAACAGCCGAAGGCCATCCGAGCGTTTGAAGAGGTGGACAGAGATACTGCTTCACTCATCGTTCATCGAGACACGGATTCGATAGTGACGGCTACATCAGTGAGCTCTTCAAGATGGTCAGTTCAGTTCGCATTTGATAAAGAGCTGTTTATCACCAGAGTTTATGAGAGGTGGATTCGGAACCTCGCAACAATGCGAAGGACACAGAGTCAAGTACAAAGCAATACCAGCCAGGAGAACAAGCAACAATCTTTCGACAGCGACCTTTCTCTATCAAATCGACCTAGCCAAATAGAGGGAACCATTATGACTCGCACGGACACTATGGCATCCGGAAGATCATCTCGATCATCTCTAAGTCTTGGTGAACGAATCACCTCCTTCCGCCGTAGCGCCAAGGGTCAAGAGTCGCAGCCTCTGGCAGAAAAGTTGCAAGCCGAAGAGTCTCATCGAATTGATCAAAAGTTGAAAGATGAATCTAAATTGGCCAGTAGAGAGATTAAAGCTGTCATTTTTGGCTTGAAGATTAGAAAACGAATGTTTGAAGAGATGAGGCGCTTCAGCGGTCAGCCATGCTACACAAACGAGCAACTAGCCTTTTTCCGCCCTATTATTTTCGAGACGCTTATCAGAAGCGTCAAATACTTGGCTGAGGCGCTACAACATGATCGGATCATTGACGAGATGGACACTGCGCAGCATTGGCTCGAGAGCATGCTGTCTGATGAAGAGTTGAACCCAGAAACCGGGCTAGACTCTGAGTTTGCGACGACAGTCCGCTCGATTATGGAACACCCAGCAACTAAAGCTCTAATGGAGGATAATGACTTCAATCTCCCTGACAACGGTGAATAGTGAGTTCTTTAGGTTTGGACTTCGCGCCGCGATACTGACCCTGTGCCAGTTTCTTGAACGAGATCGACCGCCTTTCGTCCGACGGATATATCCCAACCGATCAAGACGCCATCAAATGCACAGAACCACTACCTAACCGTGTAGAGGCTAATTTAGACAAAGGTGACCTCTGTATGCGACTGACTGACCCAGGCAGCGCAACAGCCTCCAGCACATCAGTCATGGAACCAAAAGCTTCCCTAACTCCAGACGATCGTTATCGCGACTGCCCGTCTCCCTGAAATATTTGCACAACGACGTGGAAATCAGAGAGTATCTCATCAAATGTCCTCAGCACCGCCCAATCGCTCTCGTTGATGAAGCTCGACTCCTCGAGGCAGGGAGGAAGATTCTGACCTCCCTCACCTTTCCGAGCGTCTCGGAATAGCCTCTTGGCTTTGGCGATGAATTCTTAGTAGACGGGCTGCAAGCGAAGCATTCGTTTATCATGTAGTATTGGGACAACCATCTAGTATCGTTGTCAAGGACAACGTCAACTGGCCGTTGCTTTCCACTTTCAGGCTCGCTAGAAGCTGCAAATAAGTCTCGTCGCAGTTGACGAAGCAACTGAGTCAGTAAGTCGGCCCGATGGACCCAAAGGACGAAGTTATGCGCTTTCCCAACAGGACCCTTCCGCATCCACTGGTCATGGGTTACTCTCGCCAAAGGCTCCTCCTTGACGAGAGATTTCTCAAACGCATCAGCATCCTTTCCAAAGAGAAGGGAATTAACAACAAGGTTAAGGATGTGTCCCATTCATCGAACTCGTCGTTGAACCAGGTCGAACTTCAGCTCTTCTGCAATCTCTGACATTGCCGTTTCATTGTTTGCTGCATTATAGAGAGTGAAGTAACCGACCTTGTCCTCGATGCTAAACGACCTAATGATCTCGAGGATCTCGGCGGCAATGTTCTCGCCAGTATGTCGTTCTACCAGCTCCGGAATGCCGAGCACAACTTTTTGGAGCTGATTCTCTGTGTCTCTGAAGACAGCCGTCACGCCATATAACGCGTGACGATTCCTAGTCCTTGAGCCGTCAAAGGCAATGTGGATCTGGCCCGGCGACCTCTTCAAGACCTGTTGGACCGTGCTATGATATCGCTCGAATTGTTGAACCGCCAGTGTATGCACAGTCTTCGCCGTAATGTGCGCACTCGTAACCTTGACCGCCGGATTGAGGTATTCGAAAATCTGTTGCAATCGAGGGTGTTCAACCTGCTTGAACGATTGCTGGCTTTCGACTATCCAGTTGACAATGAGCTTCTGGAACTCTCCTCGATCGAAGCGTTTGATCAAGCTATTGGCCAGCGCTTGCTCCTTTGGATCGGAACGTTTGAGGTTCATGAAGTCCGAAATAGAAGCAAGAACCCTCTTGCCTCCTTTCTTCTCTGACGGTGTTGATCGTCGTCCTGATGGATCCCAGTAGCCGTGAGCTTTCCAGAGGTGGAATTCAGCGTTTTGGGTGCCTTTGGATTCCAATACGACCCCAAAGTGCACCGACTGCGCTGCCAAGGTCATATCATCAACCTCGCTGCCAAAGCCTTTCTTTTCATCGCCGATGATGAGAAACTCGAAGTCGACGATCCTAGCGTGCATAATGTGACACTAAGACATATTGAAGCGTGGCGGAAGAAGGGGCCTCTTGGCAAGCTTCACAACTTCGTCGTTTTCATCCAACGCAGTGTCCAGCGCGGCCAAAAGTTCCTTGCCGTGAGCCATAACCACAAGCTCGCACGGGACAACGATACAAGATGGAGTTCGTGGTATAACATGTTGCGAGTGGCCCTAAGCCTCAGAGATGCGATTGACGGCTATTTCAACAAATGGATGGAATCAGATTGCGCTGGAGACGAGCTCTCTCCAGAGGACTGGGTCATCTTGGAGAAGGTTAAGTCCTTCCTGGAGAAGCTGAAGATGACGACCAAAGCTCTCGAGTCATCGTTTGCAACACTCGACAATGTCCTCTTGGCCATGGACTTCGTACTGGCACAATTCGAAGCCGGCAAGGAGGCAACTATGAATGATCCGGTGATGGCACCAATGTACAACTCGGGCTGGGCCAAGTTGGATAAGTACTACCGCCTTACTGAAGAATCGCCTGCGTACGTTGCGGCTATTGTGCTTCATCCTTCGCACAAATGGCACTACATCCAGGAGAACTGGAAAGAAGAGTGGATTGAGCCGTCAAAGAAGCTGATTGAGACACTGTGGAACGAATATAAACCTATGGAACCACCGCTTCCTCTCTGCGAGGTCCCATCGACAACCACCAACGAGTTCTTGAATTGGAGGAACAAGCACTTGCAGCCGTCACTCACCATGGACGAATATGAGCGATATTGCAACTCTGAACGGGTTTATGGCTTTACGAGCGCCCTCGCATGGTGGCTAGAGGAGACACAGCAGAAAACCTACCCGAACCTGAGTAAGATGGCAGTGGATATACTGTCAATTCCTGCAATGTCTGCGGAGCCGGAGCGGCTCTTCTCTGGGGCGAAGATAACGATTACAGACCGTCGAAATCGACTCGGGAGTGATGTAATTGAGGCATTGGAGTGCCTTAAATCATGGTGTGGGATACGAGATTTCCAGGGTGACGAGATTTGAACGGGTCACGTGGAATATATTGCATGTATTGTCACACTGCCAATATATTAGCTTCTTGGCAATACATATAATACGAGTCATGTTCATATTGGATAATACAATATGCACCCCTTGACAATACAATAATATTGCGAGGGGGTTCATATTGCCAATATCGTATTGTTTATATTATTAGCAACACTGACCACAAACTCGAAATTGGACTTCATTCATTGAAGCTATCACTGCTGACGGCCGCGCTTTGACTCCTGGCATAATATTCAAGGGAAAGAACTACAGAAACAGTGGTTTCTTGATGAGTTCAAGCAGATAGCAGACTGGTATTATATAACATCGCCCAACGGGTGGACTGATGACCACATAGGCATTGAATGGCTTGAAAGAGTCTATCTGCCCCAGACTACACCTGCCAACGAGTCAGACGCGAGACTGATCATTTTAGATGGTCATGGAAGCCATGCAACAGTATGTTCTCCATTTTCCCCACCTCAAGATCAGCGCTGAGTGATGGAAGGATGAATGGATGGCCACGTGCTTTTTGAACAACGTTTATTGCTGCTATCTACCAGCACACTGCTCTCATGGGCTCCAGCCACTAGACAATGGAGTCTTCAACGCGTTGAAGGCTGCATATCGACGAGAGCTGGAAAGGTTCGCCTCGTTGACTGATTCCGCTCCGATGGACAAGGTCAATTTCATCAGGGCCTACGCCAAGGCTCGCCGAGTTGGAATGACTAAGAAGAACATACTGTCAGGCTGGAGGGTCACTGGCAACTGGCCGATTTCGCGTTCCAAAGCGCTGCGACACCCTGAAATCCAACAGGACAGGCCAAACAGCGGCCCAAGAGTGACTCCTGAACCTAGGCCGTGTCTTGGCTCGGACGATACTCCACAGACGAGCCGTCAAATTCGAGATCTTGGGTTGAACAAAACACCAAAGACGCGAAGACGGTACAACGTGATAGCCAAGGGCATTGAGGCTCAACAACAGACAGTAGCGGCGCATACGCAGAGGATTGCCAGCTAGAGGAAGAATTGGCTCGTCTGAAGAGAGGGAAGAAGAGGAAGGCGATACCGAATCCTAACAGGCGTTTTATGGCTCTCGGGGAGACTTTAGCTGGTGGAGAAGCCATACCTGAAGGGGAGACTCAAAATGAGTCTGTCGTGGTGGAATCTGTCTGTTTAGACGAGCGAGAGTCAGAATCAGAGGCTAGCTCGGTCATTGAAGTGAGAGAGGAAGCCGTACCCCACCAACGGACCACGCGGTCAGGACGGCTTATCAAAATACCTAAATTCCAATAGAGATAGTTGTTCGCTATTGTGAGATGAGACATTTTGCATATGTCCCTCATTTTGGCCGAGTTGTTTACAAGTGTTGTTTATATTGCGCAGTAGTGCTGGGTGAAAGTATATTTTATGAAACTTGATTGTTTTTTTAATTATTGAGATGAGAGTTCTTCTCGGGTTTATATCTCTAGATGGTTTCATCTAGGACTTTGAACTTTAAATCTAGGACTTTCAGACTAACAGTCTAAACCCTGAAGGGAAGGGGGATCCCCGGATTTTCCAACAACAAGTGAAGTTGTCCATTTTTGGTGGTCCTCTTTTTTTTTTGCTTGACGAAAGGGTGGGGCTGACGAAAGGGTGGGGCTGTCGAAAGGGGGGTTGTGTATGGTATCAGGTCTGATGCTCATGACGTGCGGTGGCCAGCCCCGTTCGCCAGACTTGCTCAACATCCTAGTACGCAATCATAGGACTAGCGAGCGTAGCCTTTACGTGTATAACGGCTATATGATCTATGTCACTCGCAGTCACAAAACAAAGCGCTCAACCAATAGGGAATTCGTTGTCGCTCGGTTCTTCCCTTCCCAAGTCGGTCACTTAAACCAGCCACGAATAATAGTCGGATCTTCGCATTTAGCTCTCTAAAAGTCGTATTTCCGAAATTAACGCGTCTTTAGCTCTGGTTGTCGCTTCACGAAGTTATGAGCCTAACGCTTGCCGACAGGTGATGCATTGCGGTCTGCAAGCAGAGAATTGGCCATTTCTTCCACAAAACGCAATCGCGAGGGAAATCCTCGCGGATCTAGGTCAAGAAAGAATTGGACTATGATCTGTTCTTCTAGATCAGATAGTTTCTGTGCCTTTGGAATCCAATTGCGTCGTGATTGAATGCCGTTATGGCGGCGTTGTAAGGTACGGTAGTAAACTTTATATATCTCTTTGAGTGTCATAAGCCTACACTTCCGTACCGAGCCCCACATGACCCCCGCTTTGGCTGAGGTACATGGAGTGACTTGGAGGGCCAGAGGAATCAACCCCGCCTATTTCATCATACATTTCTTCTTCTTCATTCCCTACGGCCTCATGGCTTCTCAAAAAGCCTCCGACCTAGCGGTCAACGCGTATGACGATAGCTGTATTGTTGTTGCTAACAGCCGCCGTGAGCAGCCGGCTGATAATACCTGCCGACCAATCAAAGCTCCGGATTCCTCCCGCGGCTACCGTTTTCGGCCATTGAAGCTTCCAATTCGGGCCCCTAAGATCACAGCCTTGCCCCAGGAGCCGCTGTTGCTATTCCAGCAATTTGTACCTATTTCGCTAGTAGAAAGCTTGGCCTGTTACACGAATAGCTGGGCTAGCTACGTGCTTGAAGAGGCTCGCTGTGGCCGTCGTATATTGAAGCCACAGTCACGGCTATTCCAATGGAAATCAACCTCTGCTGCAGAAATCTATATATGGATTGCAATCTTCATTTATATGAGACTACACACAGATAAGCAGATCAAGGACTATTGGAAGGCTTCGCCCCTAGGGAAGCAACGCCCTCTTCATCCAATTACAAAATGGATGACTTACACACGATTCCAGCTATTGTCACGGAACCTTCGCCTTTTTGACCACACAACTATCGATAAGGAAGCTTCTATTGAGGATTATAGCCGAACCTTTATCCGGGTTAGGGCCTGGTCTGACCATATACAGCAGGCGTCTTTAGACTTCTACACACCAGGCACATCTATTGCTATAGATGAGTGTATGGTCCGCTTCCTAGGGAGAGACTTAGAGACAACAGTCGTACCTAACAAACCTATCCCTCGAGGCTTCAAAGCTTGGGCTGTGGCCCAAGAAGGCTATTTCCTGCGGTGGCTTTGGCACCGGCCACATCGAAAATACGGGCCCGTAGGGGTCAGGCCTGCTTACCGGCAAAAATCACCACAGGTACGGAAACAGCGGCAAAGACGGCCAGTTAGGAAGTCAGAGAGAGCAGAGCATCTAAATCCTACCCAAGCTGTGGTTGTTGCCCTAGTAAAATTGCTGCCAAAAGCCAGGTATCACGTATTCCTAGATAACCTATTCTCCTCCCCTAACCTCTTCCGCCGGCTCCGTCAACCAGGGCACGGAGCCACAGGCACAGCCCGTCAGAACTGTGGCTTCCATGAACCCCTAGTCAAGCTGAAGAAGGTTGACAACACAGCAGCCGCTGACCTTGAGTTCAACTACCTTACGGCAGTCCCTACGAAGGATAACCTGGTCAGTTAGAAAGACAGGATCTCTATGATTTCCCTTACTAATTTGTCTTTGGTTAGGTTAATCAGATCATTTGGAAAGACAACGCTCTTGTATTATTTTTATCTACGGTTTTCACAGGCGTTGAACGTGTTGACCGCAAGAGGAAGAGACCGACAACAGACCAACCGTCAGCACGGCCAATCAAGCGTTTTTTTGGTGCCGAGCCTGTGAAGGTTATTCCTATCCCGTCAATTGCTGCTATCTACAATGAACAGATGAATGCTGTGGACCAAGGTGACCAAAGGCGAGCCTATTGGAGCCCTGACCGCCGTGTCCGTAGGGGCAGCTGGAAGGCCCTAGCTTGGGACTTCCTGCTAGAAATAGCCCTGATCAATAGCTTCATTTTACAGCTTAAAGGGCAGCCACAGTGGAAGCCTATAAAGTCACAAGCTGACTGGCGGCAACACATTGTGGATAGCCTCATTGCTAAGTATCAACCTGACAGTCAGTCAAGGCAGAGATTTCGTACTGGAGACGAATTTACGCCTGTAACACTGCATAATTGGGTCCGAAATAAAAACCCCTCGCCTTGTAAAGCTTGTAAAGGAATACGGGTTGGAGAGGGTCAGCCGCAGCCCTTACAAGCTAATACAAATAATGGGAAGAGGGGCAAAAGGGTTCAGTCACGGTACGGCTGTCAGGAGTGCAAAGTACCCCTATGTAGATCCGGGAATTGTTGGGACTTCTATCACCGCATAAATTAGGTGGGGCTGAATGTACCTTTCATTTGATGTCCTCTGGTTGGCTAGAACCCCCCTGTCCGGTACGCAAGTGTAGGCTTATGACACTCAAAGACATAGTGCCAATATTAGGATCAGATTCAATAGAGAGGATAGAGGATGGTATCTTACGTTGCCAATCATTTCTGTATTGTAATACTGAATGATGGAAGAGCTGACTTTGTATGGACCTGGAGGGAAGTAGACAGTTGCCGGGTAGATTGTGCTTCCCGTACATTTGCCTCCACCACATCGGCCACCGCTCGAGATGGCTTTGTTGATGGCATCCGTATCATCAGCAACCCCGTCACCTATCCCTTTGAGCGGTACAGCCCTTCGGCGGGGTCACGACAGGGGTATAGGACCAATCAAAATGAATAAAACTACCGGTACTTCTCCCCACATACTAATTTGTGTAATAGTAAAAGTCCCAGCAGTTTTGATTGTTACAAAGAGCTACCTTACAGACTTGGCAAATATCTTACGAACTTCCTGTACCCCGCGAGTACTGACCTTGTGACTAAGCAAAGTGGGGCGAGCGACCTCCTGAAGGGCTGTACCGCTCAAAGGGATAAAACCTTGTAAGAACAATGACCTCACCCATGAAGTCGGATTAGCCTCGAGAGATCACTTGCCTTTGGCGCCAAAGTCTTTGATATCTCGCGTCTCCCATCATCCGTAATTCTCCGACCCTATCGGCCGGACCGTTCTCACCTTTACTCCCACCTTCATGCGACTGCTGTGGCCACATATTCCTTGCCGTGTCCGTCTTTTTCCCGGCCGCCTGCAGCTTTTCCTGCAGTTTCGCCGTCGACTTTGTAGTTCTCGAAGACCGACGCGTCGCGACGACGGAACCTCCACCTTGGACCAGGATCTCTTCAGCAGCCGCATCCATTTCGCTGCAAAAGCGCTCACGGCCGCGCCGGCTTTTACACTCCTCTGACTAAAAGGCTGTAAACATTGTAAAGATTCTTCATAAAACAGTTCCTTCGGTTAAGGAATCCGCGCTTGCCATATCCGCAAGACTAACCAGCGTTCGCGCTGGGCGTAATGAGAGACACAGGAGGCGCACATGTAGACGGGACTGTGCATTAGTTGTCCCGACGGAGCAATTTTCATCCGTGTCGGCGGGGGGAGTCCAGAAGATTTGCCAGGAAAGGCTAGTCTCAAATCTCTATTGCAGGACTAAATACCATTACATATGATACACAAATGAGAGCTATGTCTCGTCTCGTCGAGGAAGCCGTGAATAAGGTTCTGGGGTGAAACATAGTAAGGTGATTGACCCGAGCCCGGGCTTCTTATGTCTTCAGTCCGCCGTTTTGCGGGCGCTGGTGATTAGAGATTTGGAATAGGTTGCGGCCACCTCGGCAACTGCCCTGCTTTAGTCCCGAGACCCTATAGCATGCTGACTCAGTGGTTCGGGTTGATTGGCACTCCGGTAACCACCTTTCAATCATATAAGGATAATTAGTTTGGTCCTCCTGTGAAGTTCAACCGAAGCACGAGACAACCGAAGCACGAGACATTATCAGTAGAACACAAAGCTCAGGCCCTCAGAGTACTTCGTTCTTTTTCTTTCTATTAACATTCACTCTCATTCCAGACATCTGATACCGCAGCCATGGATGCCTTCCGCGGACAATTGGAACACATTCCCCTCCCAACCACCTCGTTCCTGGGCCAGACCATTATTGTTACGGGATCTAACACTGGTTTGGGATTGGAAGCTGCCAAGCATTTTGTACGACTTGATGCAGAAGTTGTCATTCTCGCGGTCAGGTCGCTAGAAAAAGGCGAAGCGGCCAAAGCCTCTATCGAGGCTTCCACGAAGCGAAAGAACGTCGTCCAGGTATGGCAGCTGGAAATGGACAAATACGATTCAATCAAATCCTTCGCCACAAGATGCAATTCACTCGAAAGGCTCGACGCCGTGGTGGAAAATGCTGGCATTTTGAGGAATACGTACGAAGAGAGTGAGGGAACTGAGATCAGCATCAAGGTCAATGTCATCGGGACATTCCTACTAGCACTAAGCTTGTTTCCAGTCCTTCGAAAGTCACATGAAAAGACCGGACGAACGCCAAGGCTAGTCATTACTAGTTCTTCTGTTCATTACAATGTGGGTTCCTTCTTTCGCTCGCTCGACCGCCCCCTTGAAGGAAATATTTCAGCTATTTTCAAATCTGACAATCTGTAGGCGAAATTCCGCGAAAGATTCGAACCTTCAATCTTTGATGCTTTGAACGAGGACAAGCCAGCATGGCTCAATGATCGGTACAATGTATCGAAACTACTCGAAGTCATGCTTGTCCGTTCAATCGCTGCGGCAATGAAGCAAGGCCCTCATGGCGCTCAGCCAATCATTTTGAACAACGTGCACCCCGGGCTGTGCGAATCAGAGCTAGACAAGGATGCTAAGGTACAGTTAAAGCTACGTCTTAGATCCGGTAGAAACTGACCTAACATTGAGGGATTGCCTCGCTACCTTCTCACCATCGCGAAAACACTCGTTGCGCGCAAGACAGAGGTAGGTTCGCGAACACTCGTGCATAGTGCAGCTGCTGGAGATGAAAGCCACGGAAAGTACATGAGCGAGTGCAGAGTTAGGGAGCCGAGCGCCTTTGTCAGAAGCAAGGAGGGTGCAGAGACCCAGGCACGTGTGCATAAGGAGCTGATGGCTATACTGGAGAGCATTCAACCCGGAATCACACAAAACCTCTGAGTAAGACAGTATTACCACTAAAATGCTAAGTATCAAAACTAAGTATTACTATTAGTATTATTTATTTTTATTTCTTATTATGAGTTTTATTTATTTATTTATTTGACAACATAATATAACGTGCATGATAAGCGAGAATGACGGATTTGATACAGTCGTGAGCTGGTGATGGTTGGTCGCTGTCCAGGAGAAATCCAGTGCCTAAGTTAGGTACAATACAATACAATTTATTACGCCCGGCGGCCTGTTCTGACCAAAAGGGCACTAGTCACTAATGCTTACATACGACGCCTGCTTTTCGTCCTCGTTTCCCCAAGCCCATGCTGTGCCACAGATTGCTCAATTTGTGTCCGCATTTTCCTAAAGCCCATGCTGAACCTTGCTTTTACACCATCAATCTGAAATTCGTGTCCTCAAGCCCATATAGCGCCTGCTCCTTGATTGTTCTTTTCCTTTCTGTTCTGCTGTGCCTTGCTTCTCCCATGTTTTAGTAGCATTTAAGTTAGGTACAGTAGCGTGGCCCTCAAGGTCCCAAACGGGGACAATCTTGAACTTAACCAATAGCAAGCAAGATCGGGGTCGCAGCCCCAGCCAAGCGCCCGCAAAATAATATCCAAGATGTTCCAGACGTAGTGATCAACAGACGAAGGGGTCGTAATGGGTTAGAAGGTCACGGCATTCGATCCCCTGGGATGCCGTAAGGCTTGTGGGTCACTCATTGCCCCATAGGCCCTCCTGCAGTAGGTTCAATTGAGGCAGGCAAAGCTTCAGGGAGCAGCTTTGTACCTGCCGGATGATTAGTACTTTTATTCCCTGCTAATTTCTAAGCAGATAGAAGTACTGCTAAGCCGTTGCCATCCAATTGGCTTAAGCCCCTGGACTTTTGACTACAACTGACTGGGACACATATCGATGCTGACGGGCATGGAGATGGTGTGGGCGCCCAGCAGCTCAGCACAACCCCAGATCATTCCATGGGGGTAGAGCCGTATGGCAATCCAAAGGCTTATAATTGGGCACTTCAACTAATTTTCGCGCTTCTCGAGCTTTGCGCAGAATGAAACAGGGAGATGACCAAACCTGAACGAATTTTGGGTTTTGGGCTTAGGAGGAGGAGGTTTATTCCGCCGGGCCTAAGGTTGTGTTGGGCTTAGTCCCCGGAATTATCCTCGTTCATCAAACGCTGAGTCCGTCAACGCTTTGACCCTGTTGCCACCTGGTGTCTCAGTGAAAAAGCTAACACTTGTCCAGTCTAACTTGTAACCTTGAGGACCTGACTCGTCTGAATTGAACACAATTCATAAGTACGTACCCGATGATATCATTTCCCCAGCCGCATACAGACAACACCAGCAATGGATCCAAGTAGCTTCCCCTCTCCTCCCATCAAGGTTCACGAATCGACTCTGTCCAGAAGGAGCACGTCGTCAAGTACGAAGTCGGTCAAGCCTATGCACCGTACCTCGAAGCAAGCGAACCCTAGTGCTGGAATGGATGGTCGATATAGGCGGACTTGGAAGGCTTGCGAAAGATGTCGAATGAAGAAGACCAAGGTACGTGTCTTATGTCTAGTATTATCTTGTCCCAACTAATATAACCAGTGCGACGGCGAGTTCCCCTGCAAGCGATGCAAGGACGATGGCCTGGTCTGCGCTGCTGGTATTAGAAAGAAGATGAAATACAAGAAGCTGCCGCGAGGGTATGTAGTGTTGCGATGCGAAACCTTGGGCGCCGGCCACCTACATATCACTTACATGCAACCAGATACGCCGAGATCCTAGAAAACACCCAATTAGCTCTCATCGTTACCATCCACAAGCTCTACTTCATGGTCCGAAATAACCAGCCCTGGGAGCTCGGTGATCCTGAATTAAACGACCGGGGCCAGCCCGTCATCCATAATATCGTGCAGAAGCTGGGCTGCATCCGAGCTGATAGCGATATCGACCTCCCTATTGACTTAGTATTCCCCAAAGATGAAGCCGGCATCGCTAAACTGGCCCACCAGCTCGAGGAGCAGCAGAAAGAAAATAAAGACAGGAAGGAGGTTAAGGACGCCGACTCTTCCGTATATAATCACACGCAGCAGGCATCACTATCAGAACTTGATCATCCTGGCGGTAAGCACAATTACCAAACCGCCTTTAGCAGCAACAACGCCATAGTCCTATCGCCACAGAGCTTGACCTCCAGTAGCGGCTTGGACTTCGCGCCTCCACCACCCGGAACCAACGCATCGGCCATGTTCTCCTCACAGTCGCCCTCGATACCAAGCTTTTCCTCCTGGCACTCCATCTCGGCCGACAGTCAATCCAGCGATCTCACCATGCACTTCCTCCAACGGCCCAGCGTGCCGGGCAGCATGGGCATCTTAGATCAGGGGCTTGTGGAGTCAGAGCTTGGCACCATCAATCCTCACGTTCTGTCATGTCCTAACCTCGAAGTCATGATGGGTATGGGTGACTCGATAGTTTATTCTGGCTACGACAGCGAACCGATACTATCCGGGACCAGTTCTGTTAGATACGCGATGGGGTGGGGGTGAAATCAGTAGATGATGGACAAGAAATTGATGATTTTATTGGTTGAAGTCAAGCGACGCAAGATCTCGGGGTCCTCCGCCGGTTTGCTGTGCGATGCAACCGCTACCGGTAGTGTACGACTCATACAAGGAGGCAGCGACGGATGTAGACACAGGTGACGACGTGACCGAGGCCAGCAGCATGAGACAAGTGCTCATCGCAACGAGCGCCTCTGCGAGAAACGGACTAGTCGGCATGGGCGGCGTTGTGTGCAACACCGCCAGCGGAGGAGCGAATGATAATATTGTAGCAAAGTACTCCGCCACTCTTGGCCCGAGAGACGAGCAAAACGCATACATGGCCGAGCTGGAAGCGATAGCAATGGTCCTAAGGTGCATGCCTGATGGACTCCAACATCGAGATATCATCGTTGCGACACGAAATCGATCGGCGCTACAAGCGATTGCGAAACCCCGACAGCAGTCAGGGCAAGGCGCCATCCGGGAGATCTACAGACATGCGAGACGACTGGAAAAGGGTGGCAACACCATTAAAATGCGCTGGGTATCGTCTACAAACGAGTCTTTCACACTGGGAGTAAAAGCAAAGACCGAAGCACGAAAGGCAACAGATAGCGGATGTAAAGCAACGAAACCGCCGCATCAGGCTCGATCGACCCGACTGAGAGTACTACTGGCACAGCGCAGACGGCGCATGGTGCTACCCGAGAGCGTAGGCGGCTATTCGAAACGGCTCGACAAGGCGCTGCCCGGCAAACACACGCACATACTATATGACGCCCTGAAGAGACGCGAATCTGATATCCTGGTGCAACTACGAACGGGAATGGCACGTGTCAACAGGTATCTGCACAGGATAGGCGCAGTAGAGACGGACACATGCGACTGTGGCCAGGAAGAAGAAACGGTGGACCATTTCCTCTTCCGATGTCCACGATGGGACGAGCAACGAGAACACATGCGAATTGTCGACCGGGAAATGGTGGGCAATCTTTCATTCTTCCTGGGAGGCAAGACAGCAGCAGTGTTGCTAATAATATGGCAATAAAGTAGTACCATCCAGGACCACTTAATGGACACCCCCACTTAATGGACCACCAAAATTTCGATCCTCCCATACAAAATCTAAATTTTCGTGCACACAAAAACAGACCGCGTTGTCAATCAAAATCGAAGTTAGTAAAGAGACTCTCCATAAAATTTGATCAAATTTTACTCTCTGCGTGGTTTTTTGATCTTCCGACCGCTGCGTGTGCGCTGGCAGTGCTTTGTTACGACCCTAAAGTCGTCACTTTCGTCCTCTGACCTGACACCCACCTCAATCACCGACTCGACCTCCTCGTCCACATCCACCTCTATTTCTGCCTCCTTTGAGTTAGGAAGAGATTCTCCAGCCGCTAGAGCCTCCGCTAGAGCCATGAATCGTCGGTTCGGGTTCGGTACCGCCTTTCTTTTCTTCCCTCGCCGCAGCTGGGACACCTGCTCCTCCAGCCCAGTAATCCGCGCATTCTGAACGGCCACCTTCATCTCTAAAGCTTCCAGCCCCTTTGCGATCTTAATGTACTTCCTCCTGGTCGGACGACTTCGATGTTTGGCCAAATCTCTCACCTGGCGGCTCGTTTCCGGCGTATCATCTGAGTCCAGATGAGGAGGGCTGGGCGTCTTGAAGCCTTCCAGCACTTTTTCTTTATCCGGTTGAATTTCCGGATGTGCTAGAGCTTTGCGACGGTTTATAGGCCAATTTCCAGTAAACCTCCAGCCGGATAAGATAATCTTCTTCCTCATGCCCGCCTCTCTGGCTTTCGCGTATGACCGAATAAAATTGACTTTATCAACGGGCGCAGAATCGGTCAAACTAGCCAGCTTTTGGAGTTCTTTCCGATACGCACCTTTGATGACATTAAAAATTCCATTGTCTAACGGTTGTAGGCCATGAGAGCAATGCGCTGGTAGATAGCAGCAGTAGACGTTGTTCAGAAAGCACGTAGCCATCCACTCATCCTGGGTGCTCGTTAGCGACCTTATAGCGGGAGACTCTGCGGTGAAAACACCAAAAGACTCACTTGTGCATGGGTTCCATGACCGTCAAGGATAATAAGTCTCGCATCTGATGCATCGCGAGGCTCTGTTTGAGGTAGATAGACATCTTTCAACCACTCGAGAGCTATATGGTTGTCGGTCCAGCCGTTTGGTGATGTGATGTAGTGCCAGTCCGCTATCGATTCGAATTCCTTAAGAAACCACTGCTTCTGCAGCTCTTTTCCTTTAAAGATAATTCCCGGTTTTAAAGCGCGGCCAGTTGCGGTGACAGCCTCAATAAACGAGGTCCAAGTGCGCGACTGAACGCCCTTCAACAACGCCTTCTTCTTCGGGTCAGAGCTCCCGATTACGAGGCTGTCCAGGCCTCATGGACAACCAATTAGTTATGCCCTATAAAAGTCCGTAGAGAACTTGTGGAGGAGTTACCGAAACCCGCCATTATGCCACCCTCGTCCACGTTAACCGTGTTCTCAGGTTGATCCAGCCGTACTCGTTCTCCCGGATATCGAAGTACCAATTGACCGCCTTCGGAGTAAATCCGTCAAATCTGGCGGCTTCTTGACGTTTTCCAAGCTTGGTAGATAGTTTTGAATGACGTTTGACGAACCTGGTGGTCCAGTGCTTGCCTAGAGGCTTGTTATCCCCCTGTTGACGGAGGAGGGCTTCGACGCAGCTTCGAAGTTGGCTATGCGTGAGAGCGTAGCCCAGGGACTCCTGCCGCAGAAGCCAACGAACGAGACGGTCCTCCTGGCTCGTAGAAATACGTTGGTGGGGGTGGGTAGACTCTTTCCTGCTCGCTTGACCAGAAAGTCGTCTATAAATGGTCGATCGAGGCACTCCACGTTTCTGGGCCGCCTCAGTCGGCGATAGGCCTCTATCAGTAATATCGAGTATAGCCTCAGCTACGTCGTCTTCGGTATAGACACGCCGAACCATTGTGGCAGGAGTTCCATGAGTAAATTAGGTGATATGCCTACTGGAGTGAATGAAGTCGGATGGGGCCGGATGAGGTGAAACTGAAAAGATTTCAAAGGGCTAGAGGACAAGGCCACGAGGCGGAACGGGGAAAAATTGAGCCGATATTGAAATTTCATGAAATAAACTATACAGCACATGTTTTGGCTTGTGAGTATCTTCATTCCTGGCCAAATGCGGTGTAATTGAAAATTCGGATTTTGTATGGGAATATTGAAATTTTGGTGGTCCATTAAGTGGGGGTGTCCATTAAGTGGTCCTGGATGGTAGATGTTGGCAACTGGAGTTATGCAAGAATTGTGCCTGTTACTCAAATGGGGTTCGCAATGCGAGTTTCTGAATTGTAATTTGAGACTATAGAACAGGGAACGCTAGCATATACACGTCCACTGCTTTTAAAGCTGGACAAAGTGATTATCATCCGGCACAGCGCCATTCAACTTACAACCACAGCCAATGAAAATCAGGTTGATTACAATACCGTATCGCTCGCTAAGAATTGCTTGAAAAGAACTAAACTACTTAGACCACATTGTGTAGGTCGAGGTTCTAGAACGTCGCGCGGGCCCGTTGCTACTTCGCAGCGTTTGCGACGGGGGTTGCTTGGGCGGGACGGATACGTACCGCGCGGGCCCGCTGCTGGTCCGCAGTACCTACTCCAATACTCATGCCTAAGTATCTGGACTAATAAGGTGTGGGGTGATTTCTGGCTTAAGAGTGGAGAAGGGGCCCAAAAGACAACTGACAGGGGGTTTTGCAACAGTGTTCCCTATCGGCCTCCGTAGTCTAATGATTCTTTGGCTAGGACTGAGAATGGACAACCCGTGCCTCGAGTTGTTGTTTTGCGCATGTGTTTCTTCTTTGCTGAAGGCTTGTGCTGCCAAGATCTATCACATGCATATGTAACAATTTTTCTACCACTTGTTTTGGTAGTTGATTTTCGCGTAATAAATGCATAGCCTCGCGTGGCGGCCCATGTGTTGATTGCGGTCACTAGCTCATCGCGAGAGTTGTACTCGGCTTCGGGGGGGGCAAACAATCATCGGGGAATGAAGCAAGCTCCTGCGAAGGGGGAAGAACGGGCGATGACTCAATTGAGGCACTCATTCTGCCGCGTTGAATGACTCGTTGTAGTAATCGAGCCAGATCTTGATCCGAAGTAAACAAAAAAAAAAACCTACAGGTGATAGTGATGCAGTTGCTGGCCAATCAAATTACTCTGGGGCCCGCTAAAATCTTATCGAGGCGCCCGGGCGCCGTTCCAGTGGGAGCCTTCAGCTAACAGTTCAAGCACTGCACAAAGCGTCTTCCCTGTGGCAAGTACGTCGTCTGCTACCACCACCGATGCGCCCTTAGGAATCAGATCTTGACTCATCTCAACCCTATTCCCTCTTAGACCATTAGATTCTGAGGACGAGATATATGACGAAGGCTTGTTGTCAGAAACGGTGGGTGGGAGAAGCTTGCTGGCGTCGCGGATTAGCGCCAAGGGGACGTTGACTTGCTGGGCCAACGCCGATGCATACACGAAGCCTCCCGCTTCGCAACAGGCCACCGCACCAACTTTATCCCAGTCACCTTTTGAACTGAGTTTTTAGCAGAGAAGTGCGCAAAGCCAACCCGCCCCGCCGTTGGGCGATGTTGAGCACATGGCGGAACTCGATGCTTGGCGTGGGAAGTCGGGTACAAGGTGCACCATACTAGCCAGTCGCTTCAGGTCCTCATGGAGGAAGGGAAGCAGGTTCGTATCGGCAAACCCCCTTACCACCTGATCTCCGGTTGCTTCGTTGCCAAAGACTTGACCGGGGCGGTAGTCCAGCGTCGTCGAATTCGACTTACAGTTGCTGCCATTTTCGTCACTATTGCCATCCTCGCAATGGTGATCATTGTGTCGATCATTATCACTGACCTGGCGTCTCCGGCGATTTTGCCTCGTCTTTTCACTAGCTATGACGCGAATGTCGAGTAATCAGCTATTACCGGTAGCATAATCGCATGGGTGGAACAATTAGACACCGGCTGGTTAGTACGCCGAGCAAAAGGGCCATATCCCTGTCTTTATTCGTCTGGTATATTCCCGAGTCAATTCTAAGCTTCAAGCAGTCCTCATTCTGAAATTTGCCTCCGCAGGGAATGCCACGCAGACCAATTTGGCCCGTCTTGGTGGTGTGGAGTCTCATCAGTAATGCGGATGAACGGAATTGCAGGGGACGGACGTAGTAGGGCGGTTCGGTGTCCTCAGAATAACTATTTACCAATCGTAGCTTAGCCTCGGCCTGAATACCGGGGAAACATTGGCAATGGGAAGTAGTCATCAATCAAGGCCTCCGAACAAATGTCATTGCAATATAGGAGTCAGATGCAAATAACGCATACAGTCCTCTAACAGTGTCCGTCGTACGTCGGTCGAGGCAGGATATACATTCGCCCATCCCGTCTTACCAAACACGTCCCCTGTGCTGTCTGCGTTGATGAGAACAGACGTCTGCTCCATTCTTCACTTACCTGACTTACTCGTATATTCGTCGCCGATAGGTCGAAAGCTCCCGCTATGCCATTTACAACGAGCTCTCTTGCGACGAAAGGATTTCGAGGTACGCATGCCAACTCTTGCTCATGTCTCCGGTTGCTAACAAAATCTCCATGCAGCCAAACCCTCTATCGCCCTCTTCCACCATGGCCGAGTGCCCATAACACGCATCTCAAGTGCTTCGGTCAAGTTGCCGACGACCAGACAGCAGCAATATGTTGTGGCAGGGACGCCGTCAACATCCGTTCCCACGCAGCCAGGAAGGCGAGAATATCCTTTGCCTAGTCAAGAGGTAACAAAGGACGTTCTGCAATATGCGTTGTATGCCATACTACAATTCAACGGACTGCTTTTTCAACATTGACGATATCGTGTAGGACCACCATGGATCGAGTTGTCAACTGGATCCGACTGGGTTCTTTATGGCCCATGACCTTCGGCCTCGCCTGCTGTGCCATTGAAATGATGCACCTTTCGACCCCCCGCTACGATCAAGACCGTCTTGGTATCATCTTCCGTGCCTCTCCTCGCCAATCCGACGTCATGATCGTTGCTGGTACTCTTACGAACAAGATGGCTCCAGCGTTACGGCAGGTCTACGATCAGATGCCTGAACCGCGGTGGGTCATCTCCATGGGTAGCTGCGCGAATAGTGGAGGATACTATCATTACAGCTACTCTGTTGTGAGGGGCTGTGACAGGATTGTACCTGTGGATATCTATGTGCCAGGTTGTCCCCCGACGTCCGAGGCTTTAATGTATGGCATTTTTCAATTGCAGAGGAAGATACGACGCACAAAGACTTGTCGAATGTGGTACAGAAAGTAGGCTAATGTAGTCCACTGGCGAGTGAAACACACGAGCGAGCACAACACATTCACGAGTTTGGGCGAGACCGTATGCAGAAGATTGATAAGAAATCATTGGTACCCCTTCACAAGTTGCCAATACTTTTGGCATACACCCAGATCCCAAGGTTGTTAGCGTGTTTCCCTCGCTTATGGAATAGATTTCTGGAAATTGATTGCCCTTCGTCGGCATCACCACCCGCTCAGGTCAAGTGTTAACGCCGGTAGTATCAACCAGCCCGACTCGGGATCGAAGGGGTCTTATAACTGGCGACTGATGCGAAATTCAGGACCGATTAAAATCCACCAAGCCGAGCATGGCACTTAATCAGTAACTCCGTACGTAGCTGAGCGGGTAGACGGTACAATACAATACAATTTATTACGCCCGACAGCTTAATTTGACCGAAAGGGCACTAGTCACTAATGCTTACGTACATTGCCTGCTTTTCGTCCTCGTCTCCACAAGCCCATGCTGTGCCACACATTGCTCAATTTGTGTCCGCATTTCCTAAAGCCCGTACTTGACCTTGCTTTGAGCCATCCAAATCAAAACATGTCTCCTGAAGCCCATACTACGCCTGTTCCTTGACTGCACTTTTCCATTCTGTTCTGCTCCTTGTGTTCTCCCGTAGTTTGGCTGTGTTGCCAGCGAACTAGCTTGAAGGCTATTCTTCAAGTGTTCAGTGTCCTATTTACGGCGGCTGAAGCGGCGTCCACTTTCATGATACGGAGTGTTTGATGTAGGTTGCGAGTGGGTTAGTGAGAATAAGGTGGCGAGATTCTTGCAATCTGACTTCAATACTGTGTGTCGAGTCGGCCTGTGGCTATCGCAAATCGTATAGTTGCATGGACTGCCTGCATGTTTGGCATCCACTTTGCATTATCTGATGGTGACTTTCCTCCAAGGTAGAACGGGAGATTTCCTCTCGATGTCTCGGTGCACTGCAGCATCTCAGTCCTATGCGCTGTCCATGTTCTGCGTCGAAAGAGAAAATGTTCGACTGTTTCTGCCGCTTGTCAGGAGGCTCGGAAGACAGACCTCTCCTATTCCATTGTATACAACAACCTGTTTCCTGACTCGGGTCTGCAGGCAGGCTTTCTCGCTGATCTGGCCGGAAAGAGAGACACTCTGTACGCTGGTGGCCCGTTCCCAATCAGCATGACGCGACTGTCTACCGTCGGTAAGGGGGTCTTCAGTGGATTCAAGGATCCCGAGCAGACCAAGGACCAACATGTGAGAATCCACGACGGCCGCTTGTCCATGAACGATCTCGTCGAGGCGGCTCAGGAAGTAACTGGTGCTGAGGGATGGACGATCACAGAGGGTAATTCAGCTGACGAAGTAGCCAAGTCAAACAAGGCCTTGTCTGAGGGCATATTTGAGAATTGGGCTTTCTTGGGTTGCATAAAGGTGGCATCCCAGGCTGAGGAGTATGGACCGGGCTTTGAGCTGGTTCATAACGAGCTGCTGGGCTTGAAGGAGCATTCCCAGGATAAGATGAAAAGCCTGGCTAAGGAAATCGCCAAGAGCATCCTGTCAAAGTAATGCCTATAGACACTAGGGTTTGATGACGTGCCGGCATCCACTTGTCCTGGATTGCGGACCAGTCCGCAATATAGCTATTGCGACTTCAACACATACCCAACAGAGGGGGAAGTCGCCAGGACTGCTGTATCGCGTAACACAATAACCTTGATTGAACTGAATTGACAGCGCTGGGCTTCCCATTCCAGCTCAGCTCAATACGCTGAACGGTGGCATCGACTTTCTGTGAAGCGCCATCCGATATGTATCTGATATAGGGGTCTGCTGCTAGCCCCAACTGTATGAGGACGAGTAGTGCTTGATTTCATTAACCGTATATCGCAACTAATATGTTAGACGCGAGTTCCAAGGCTACAGAAACGTGCCATACAAGTAATATGGTAGACTGGGGGTGGATTCTGGGACAGGCGTGATCCGTATATTCTCCTTGCAATCACCTTTCCGGCGGTTTACTAACAGCCGTTGATATTTTTGCAGATAAAGGCATCGGCCCGACACCATGTTTCAGATGAACAGGGCGGACACCATGTTGCACCACTCCAGAGGGTCGGCAATGGAGTTGTGGGCTCGACAATGACTGATGGGCATCAGTAATCGGGACGAAGGTTTGTGCCAACGGCCCGTCTAGAACTGCATGGGGCTAAAGTACGTTTAATTCAATATAGGGGATGAGCTTGTACGAATGGTGAGGAGATGTGGTCATGTTACTGATAAATATAAAGTCTGGCCTGATTAATCAGCCGGTCGGGCTAAGCAAAGTCCGACGGAGTTTTTTTTTCAGGGAGTGATTTACAGCATTACCGGCCTGACTGCAATCGATACCTGGAGCCCGGGCCTTACGGCATTTTGCCCGTAAATTAGTGCATTCGTCTATTATTGCTTCGGTATTCACACCCAAGTTTGACGCGTCGAGTTATCGTGTGGTTCAACTGTCGTTGCAGCTGATAATGCTTATGGATCTGGCCATCTATAAAGTTCAGGTTAAGTTACCGCTTATTCTCAGTCAAGTTTCAATCTGTGCCACAGAAACTTCATTCTTTAATTTAAAAGAAACACGTATTCATCGCGATAACTCTATTCCTCTTGCAGTTTCCAAGGAAATGCATTCCTTCACAGTCTACAAAGGCAGTCAGGATGGCTCAATTAAGAAGGCCACTACGGAGAAAACGGAGCTCACTGGCGATCAAGTCCTCGTGAGAGTCACTGCTTCCGGCCTCTGCGGCACTGATGTCCACTACCGCAACACAGATATGGTTCTCGGCCACGAGGGCATCGGCATTGTGGAAGCCATAGGTCCTGCAGTTCGCCAGCTAAAGGAGGGCGATCGGGTGGGATGGGGCTATGAGCACGACAGTTGCGGCCTCTGCGAGCTTTGCCAATCTGGCCGTGAAACATTCTGCACAAGCCGCAGTATGTACGGATTTGCAGATCTCGATCAGGGCTCATTTGCTTCCGGTGCCATTTGGAAGGAATCCTTCCTGTTCAAAATCCCCGACGATCTCACCGACGTCGAAGCTGCACCCCTCATGTGTGCAGGGGCGACAGTTTTTAACGCTCTCCACATGCTCGATGATGCTGCCACAGCCCGTGTAGGCGTCATTGGTGTCGGCGGCCTTGGACACCTCGCAATCTTGTTCGCCGCTAAAATGGGGTGCGATGTCGCTGTCTTCAGTAGTACCGACTCCAAAATGGCCGAGGCCATGAAGCTCGGCGCAAGGGCATTCTATTCCACCAAGGGCAAAAAAGAGCTCAGCATTGGCGAGAAGAAGCTTGATATCCTGATCGTCACCTCGAGCTCCCCGCCGGAATGGACGCTGTACACCCCGCTCTTAAGCCCGGGTGCAACTATTTTCCCACTCTCCATCTCCTTTGGCGACTTCAGTATTCCCTACCCGGCTCTTGTCTCAATGGGTCTTCGTGTGCAAGGATCCATGGTCGCACCACGAGCCGTCCAAAAGAAAATGCTCGAGTTTGCCGCCCGAAACGGCGTCAAGCCGATAGTTCAGGCTTTTCCCATGACGGAGAAGGGCATAACACAGGCGTTTGAGGCATTGGGGAATGGGAAAATGCGATACCGAGGAGTGCTGATTCCTGACGGCCGCATGTAGTATCACGAACAACCCCCCCACCCCCCTTTTTCCCCTTTCCCTCTTTGTTTTGTTTTAAGCCAAGCGTGATTGACCGCAGATGCCGACGCTTGAGACGGGGCGGGGTGCAGTTTGGTCTCTTGGCCGCCAAACAAGACGACCGAGGCGTACTCAAGACTTTATAATACCATGGAGCTGCTCGACATCAAAATAACTTGCCAGTATCTATTCATGAGACAGTTGATCAATCTGGAAAGGGTCGCAAGGAATCATGTGTGACATGGCCTATAGGGTAGTCGCACGTCGGGATCTTTCGAGAGGAGCAATAACTGATCGACCTGGACTGGGAGGTAGTCCCGGTAGGAAACCATTCCTAGAGATAGATCGGATACAAGATGAAAGGACGACCATGAATTGAACAATCTTAAGCCGCTATGTAACCGGGATACACTAAGCTTTGGGAGATATGGGCAGTCGGCTATATCCGTGATGAAATTGTTGTCCTCCCACTGCCACTACGTTAATGTGAACCGTCAGCCATGGTTTCGCTCAACACACGCACGTACCCTTAATATCCTGTGGGAGGAAGACCTTCATGTGATGATTCGCCAATATCAAACCGAGATTCGCGTTCGCTTGCCCGACAATCCCAGTCGATACAATCTTAAAGTGCTTAGACGCCCGGAAGAAGTAGGCTGCCACGAGCAGAAACGCGAGATTTTCCACACTAGATCCGCCGCGAATGTGGCCGAACAACTAGGAGATCCACAGTATCAGTGCCCTTGTGCAATTATACTTGTCGCTGTGCATCGCAATGACGGCTAGCTCCACCGCGTGTAGCACGTCGTAGATTTACAGATTCTGATAGTGAAGGACAGAAAAAAGAATCATCTCCATCGCCGTGGGGTCGTCCTCTTCCAGAGATAGTCTCGGACGCTCTCCACGTCGAGTTACACTCCTTGAAAGTCGCATCGGCGGAGGGCTCTGAACTAATTGGACGTGACGCTTAAGATCGCCGAGGACACCGCAAATGCATCTCGCGCATCCGAACTCGGAGCATGGAACACGAGTATGACATCTCCTCCTTGGGGCAGCTGCATGATCTCCGGTCGCTCTTCTGCTCGAGACATGACCCCAACTTCGCTTGCGCCCATTCCTACAATCAAAAGGTGATAAAATAGTTGGATATTAGGAGGGTGAAGGGTAAAGCTTTCTTTTTTGGTGACCAGCGAGATGTATTTAGTCGATAGGAAGCACTCGGCCCGGAGGGATGCGAGATAGAAAGGTAGGCTGATCGCAATGGGCGTCGTCCTTTTGGCTTCGCGCAGAGGCTAGGGATAAGATTCGAGCTAACGACTTGGACGCCGAGGAGATTAATCATGCACTACTCACAGAAGAGGGGACGTTTCGCGATAGACGTCATCAAATTGGAAGACTATATATTCTCGCCTTCGGTTTGTGCTGGAATCCAACCGGCAGGTAAATAACAGTGTCTGAAAGGGTTCCAGATTGGGATGGTCGAGGATCGTTGCTTCATGGTTCGTCATTCAACTGATACCGAAAATGGTTGTTACTGTTAATTTCATCAAAAGTTTCACCTAGTCCTTGTCAGATCCTTTTCGCGCTGTCTAGCCGTCTTTCGCCGTTGCTAGAGTGATAGACCGTGGAGTGGTGTATGTCGGATTGGACAACTCGTGCGGCGTTGATGTCCGGCAGCACATGTTCCGGTTTTTGAGCCCCATGCCAACCGCAACCCCCTTTGCAGCGAATGTTCTATCTTGAATCGTGCTGTGCTGGAAAGGGTAGGTGTACAAATTTGGCAACCCCCGCGGTATTCTGCTGGATATCGCAAGCATGACTTTACTTCGACACGCGGGAGGGACATCAAACCGGTCGTTGCCCGCCCTCTTGAACATGCCTGACTGCGGTCTCCAAATCTCAAAAACAGGCCAGGCTACTTCGGCTAGACACTGTCTGCCGCGTTCCGCTTTCTTGTCCGACCCTACGGACATCATGCCCAAGGAGAAGAGAGGTAAGACGCGGAAACGCAGCAGACCCGGAGAGAACGTTCAAAAGAGCTTGAGGCGCATCGTGAAAAGGATCGACCGAATCAAGAAGTACGGTATTCAAGTTTTGCTTTCATGCCAAATAGTACAATTCCTACGAGTACATGTCTTCTCCCTACTTCAGGCCTACGGCTAGAGAGATTGTAGGTACATTCCCTGGCCACTGCGCAGACGACATGCTGACAAGTCCCAAAGAATGGAAACTATCCTCCGCCTGTCAAGAGTACACCTAGCAGCTTCCCAGGAAAATCGTGCTTGTTGGACAGAAGAGGATTAATGCCCTCAGAGAATCGCCCATTTCGCGACGAACCCCATGAGCCTGCGCTCCAAGATTCCAGAGGTCCTTGCGAAGAGATACAGATCTTTACTTGGAGAGATCCAGATAGTGCCCAACGACGCTCTTCACCTGCGCCTCAAAACTGGTGAACTCCCATCCAAGGGCCTTTCCGTTTCCGAAGAGTCCAACCGAATAAGTCTGATCGGGAGTCTACCGGCAAGGGGTAGAGTCCCGTCAGCTACCTCTTCACTGAAGTGTTTCCTGACGATCTCCTTTGCCTGCTCCCATGTAGTGCCTTCCAATCCTCCAGAAGACCAGAGAAAGTTACAATGTCCGGCGAGAGCGGGGTTCAAGGCATCAAAGTGAGCCTTGGCAACATCATTAACGTGGATTGAAACCCCAAGCGCGGGCATATCGCTCATAGTAGTCAGCAAGACGCTGATGGCCGTGGCATTCGAGCCGCTGACGACCTCCTCCCTCGTGCGGTTTAGCTCGTTCTTTCTGATCACCATAGAGGGCAAAATATTGAAAATGTTAAAGGTCGGCTTAGCTTCTTTAATAAAGCGCTCGGCGGCAACAAAGGCGGATGCCTTGGAAGCTGCATAGGCTTGCATGGCATTTTCGAAGGGAGTATCAGGCCCAGGTGGGATATAAGAGTCTCGAACTGCACAACGACGGCCTGTTATTATGGTGAATAATAAAGTATAGATTCCACGTACCAGTGAACACCCGGGTCGTGTCAGGCGAAGTGATATATTCCCAAGTGTGAAGAGCCGCCATAGACGATGTTATGGCTACCCTTCTAATCGACGGAACCTTCACAGCCGATTTGAGAATGCCCACTGTAGCATTGATGGCCGGCTCGATCAGGTCCCACTCGTAATTATCACTCTAAGGAATGTAAATACACATGTTCGACATTGGTGCCGGAACGATGGAAGGAGGTATGCGCAGTACTCACTTGTCGGGGAAGGGGGCAGGCAACATGAATCACTTCGGTCGCCCCTTGTAGCGTGCCGTCAAAGGCTGCAGGTAGGAACAAGTCGGGAAGCACATAGAACTCTAGACGGCTTAAGTAGGAATTAATAGATTCGGTAGTTTTTATCAGCTGAGCCTGTTCGGGCTTGCGAATCACGGCGCGGACCTTGTAGCCTCTGCTGAGAGCTTCGGCGAGTACGCGAAAGCCCACATGGCCAGAAACCCCAGTGAATCTGTAATAGATTTGAGAATCAGTGCCTCACGGAATGGCTTGAGAGCCAAGCCAGCAACACCCGGGATTTACGCGTAGACTTACGACAAGCAATTGGGCTGACATGATAAGTCCGTGGCGACTATACGGAAGAGGGCTGGGTGTGGCAGTGATGCGTTTGGAGAATAATGGATGTCTCTTAGTTTCTGATTTCGGCATAATGCCTGGCTCATCCCCTTTCCATAACTTTCGTCAATAGACAAAATAAATAAGCATTGAGGGCAGCTACAGATAATCAGTCATTTCGAGGTCTCCTATCAGTAAGGCGTCTTCCATTTTTCTTCCTTGTTGCTCTTGGCATCTTCGGGTTCATCGTACGGACCTAAAACCTGTCTTACAAAAACAGGCTAGAAGACCAGCTTGAATCGGCATGGGGCGATTCTTGTCCGGATCAGTAATTCCTAGAGTAGCCTCCTTTAAAGCCGGCGGTGCTCGGGCTAAATAACGCACACTCTGGTATTCGATTACTAAACTTAGTGACAACAAAGACGCCGCGCTCTAAACGGGTTACGACGTAGGTGCGGGTCCTGGCCCATCTCATGCCGCCGGCCGATGGAACAAGACGACGGCGCTTGTAATGACTCGACTCAGCATAGCGGGCGGTATCCACCACGTACCTTCTTGGTGCTGCTTTGAAATCAGTTCATTGCACCTCCACGGTACTCGGGGGAGGGATGGCATACGGTAGGCTAAGTCTATGTATCAGGAAAATTCGACGTGCTCTTCCGACTTCAATGGCAGGCTGGAGGGCTGCTAGGGTGGGAGTCGTACCGCTTTCATATGCATGAGTTGAACTCGAAAATCAATCACACCGTCCCTGACATCGCGCGTTGGCAAAGGTATTTAACAGCCCGGCGCAGCCGCCGTTCACACTCGTCATCTCATCCATCAGTACAGTACCATCTCCCTCAAGCATCTTACCATGGAAAACCACGCTATCGTCATCCAGGCACCTGGAGATGCCCAGGTCGTCGAAGCGTCCGTTCCCGAGCTTCGAGATGACTACATCATTGTCAAAGTCAAGGCGGTGGCATTGAACCCTACTGATTTTATGCACGTCGACTACTTCGCCTCCCCCGGAGCTCGTGTCGGCTGCGATTACGCTGGAATCGTTGAAGAGGTCGGCCCGAAGGTCACGAAGGCCTTCAAGAAGGGCGACCGCGTCGCAGGATTCGTCCACGGATCCAACGCTGTCCAGCATGAAGACGGCGCCTTCGGGGAGTATATCACCGCCAAAGGTGACTTGCAGATCCACATCCCGGATAACCTGAGCTTCGAAGAAGCCGCAACGCTCGGGGTCGGCATTACGACCGTGGGGCAAGGCCTGTACCAAAGCCTCGGCCTTCCAGAGCCGGAGACCCCTGCAGCCGAGAAGTTTCCCGTCCTCATCTATGGCGGCAGCACGGCGACAGGGGCTCTTGCCGTACAATTTGCACGGCTATCTGGCCTTGAGGTCATTGCTACGGCCTCCCAACGAAACTTTGAATACGTCAAGAGCCTAGGTGCCGACGCATTGTTCGACTACAGCTCGGAGACCTGTGCGGAGGACATCAAGAAGCACACTCAAGGCCGGCTGAAGCACGTCCTTGACTGCATCTCCAAGGGCAAAAGCACCGAGATTAGTGTGCGTGCGCTGAGTGACGATGGCGGTCTGTACAGCTCGCTCCTGCCCGTGCCCGACGACAAGGTGAAGGACATCAACAACAAGGTGGCCAACAAGACGACCTTGGCATACAGTTCGATCGGCGAGTCCTTCCTGTTCGGGCCGCATACTTTCGATGCCAATCTAGCTGACTTTGAATTTTCGACGAGGTTTTCGATTGTCAGCGAGAAGCTTCTGCGTGGTGGCAAGATCAAGCCTCATCGTCCCAGTATGAATGAGGGAGGGAGTGGCTTAGCCGGTGCTCTTAAGGGGCTGCAGGCGGTGAGAGAGGGGAAGGTCAGCGGAAAGAAGCTTGTGTACACTATATAGTTGCGGAATGCAGCATGCATGACGTACACAGACGGCACGCAATAATGAATAAATGAATGAATTATTCCGCCCGGGAGGATACGCCTCATAGGTCCACACCGTTGTACCTCGTTACATTGTTTCCCCCACAATTTACCCCTTAGACCCTCAACCTCATCAACCCCGAGTCCTTACCACTTTCCACCTCAGACTGCAATAGAAACCAAGAATATAAAGAGGGAGGTAAACCTCAGCGAAAATCGGGCTTCGCCGATGTTCCAGCTTTTTGTGACTATTCCAGATTTTCGTGGCTAACTATTTATAGCTTTTGGCCGTTGTTTAACTCATCCGTCACATGCAAATCTTGAAACTATTCTTTCAGGATCATCATTCTGTCTAATCTTGTCATGAACCCATGTATAACGCGACGCTATGAATTAACTTCCAATAAATTGCATATGCCACTATAATGAGCCCTTGCCATCCCGGAAAACCTCGTCGTACCAGTGAGCCTTAGCCTCGGCCGTCGTATTGCTGTTCCTGCAGACCGTGTTCCAGTCCGTCGGCCGCAGCTCCCAGCTCTTAGACTCCTTGCTCTTTCCGAATAGCAGGGCAGCCTTGGACTCATCGTTGCCGTGGTACGGGCGGACCTCAAGGCTGCCGTTCTTGGCATCGAGCGTTGCCAGCAGCCTTGCTCTCCAGTCGGCCCGCATCTGCTCCTCCAGCAGATCTCGCAGGTATGGGAAGAACCACATCTTGTTCCACCACGTTATCCGGCGGCTTTTAAGGCCATTTCTCCAGGCGTTGTGGTGTATCGCTACGGGGATCGCTGTTGTCCAGAAATCAACGTACAGCGGTACCTCGCCCCAGGTGAGGTCCTTGTCCGGAGCATAGGCCAGCTTGGCGAGCGGGTTATCAGCCTCGTAGATATCTGCGGGGACGCCCCTTATGCGGGGTGGCGAGACGCCCGCGCGGCTTGATTCCTTCTCCATGGCGCTGGGGTCATTAACAGGGACAAAGTAGCCATCGTTCTCCGAGTAACAGGTCGGGTAAAAGAGCTCTTGCGTATAGTCGAGGCCCAGATGGTATTCAAACCTGTTCCGTGACCACATGACCTCGTTATCGTCGGCATTGGCGTGTCGACGCCATAGCTCCTGCTCGCCAAACACCTCGGCAAATATGCCCTGGTCTCCAGCGAGGTCCTCGCTCGACGAAATCTCAAGCAGGTCCTGGTCCATCTTGTCCTTAACACGCTGAAAGAATCGCCGCATATCGCCCGCGGGCCCCATGAAGCTGCCACTATTAACAAATTTGGGCCGCGTAAACTTCCACTTCCACCTCCCGATCTTATAGTCGGTAAAGAAGCCAAAGACGTCGGGTGGGAGGGTGCTCTCCGGCACGTCATGGCAGTAGAGGTTGGAGATTCTATCGCGTGGGGCAACGCAGCCTTTCTGAGCTGAGATAACAATGGTCTGTTCCATCAGGTTCTTGTCGAATTCATGCTCATCGGCGAGCCGTCTGTTAGCTCGTTGATTGCTGCTAAAGTACCGGTGGAGGAGAACGGCCGGGGGTAACTGCATCCAGATATCGTGGGCATCTAACATAAGGACGAGATCATCGTCGCCTAGCCTGTCCTCATCGGGTACATCCTGACCTGCTGCCCATTCCAGATAGCTTAGTGTTCCCGTAATCTTGCCTAGTTGCGACGGACCAATCCCCTCGGCGTCGGTATGGAAGTCTCTCTTCCAGTTAGTAATTACGGGCGCAGGATACCCTAGGGCGATGATGCTACTAATGACCTTACAGAGGTCGTGGCTAGAGTCGTCGACAGGCAGAATTATGACAAATTGCCGACGTCCAGCCGAGATTGACTCAGTCGCCAGGAAGAATCAGGTTGAATAGGTGATTGAGGGTGCGCGACGCCTTCATTAAACATCTAGTAATATGGTCAGCTCCGCTTGATGATAAAGGCAGCTAAGGGAGGGTATAATACATACTAGGTAATATAAAGTTAAAGCGATGGATAGAAGGATGAAGAGCGGCAGACACAATCTCCTAGTCCATGCCGATTTTGAGCCATTAAAGCGAAATCTATATCGTAGCCGCAGCGCGCCTGGAAGTGCAATGTGTGAAGACATTTGTCATAAGGGAGTCAAGTAGCAGATTTCTGCATGTCAAAGGGAGCAAAGGTGAAAAACTGGAAATAGAGACCAGATAGAAAAGAGTGGTGCCCCGTCAAGCACATGTAGAATGAACATGGATATAATAAACATCCTCGCAGTCCATTCCTGGATAATATCCAAAGACTTGACGACGACGACTAGAGCCGGGGAGCTCCTCTGACCCGCAAAGGCGGAACAGATTATTTTGCGCTCTGCGGGCCATGGCCGTCGAGGCAGTCTCTGCCGAGGCTAGGTTGAGCCCTGCTGTAAGGCTGTGCCACTCGTCCGCTACGGGGTCGGTTCTCCTAGCTTGTCGGGCCGACCATGTCTCGTATCGACTGAGCCAGAATAGTGATTCGTAACGAACACGAATTACTATTCATCCGAAACTTATGTAATTTAAAACGCCGTCTGGTTGAGGCTAATCGGCATTATAGGTCTTGCTGCAATTAGGTAATGCGCTCCGACGGTGACAGTCTTTAGGCTGCTTCCGTCGGCGGACAGTTGCGCCGCGCAGGCCCCTGCTCCACCTTGATGAGCATTTCGTGCATTGACAAGCATAGAAAAGCCACGACCAGGGCTGCCGTCAGATCAATCAAATCAGATGGGGACGTAAATCTGAATTGAACTGATACTTTACCCTCTGCATCTGATCTGATTGATTGATTGATAGATATCTGATATAAAATAGGTCACGTGGAGCTATTCCCAGTGTCGCAGGCCGGGCATGGTCACAACGAGCCTCAGGAACAACAGCCCTTAGTAATCAAGCTGGGTGATTTAAAGTAAAACCTGTGGGATGGAATACCCCACACAGAAGATAGAACCAATTAACTCACTACTGCTGCTCATTATGAATGACCCGACCTTCAATCCATTTTAAGCACATCCAGTGCGACACCCAGCCTCACGATTCTGCCCGTGGGATGGCTTGATGACTTTCTCTTGGCCTCCTGGCCAACGTGCGCAATACGAGTAGATCCAGCCATCTTTTATGAGCGACACTAAGATATTATTCTGATAGTAGTTGGGACTTTAGAGATGATGCTTCAATATGAAACGGGCTAAATGGTCAAGTAGTGAGTGGCATGAATGACGTCACTCCAAATACACATCCCAGATGCAGACCCACATTTTCGTTTACGGCTTAGATTCCAAACCTCAAGTCATCTCATTGTTTTATCCTCAGTGATTGGCGATCAGGCTTTCGCCTCCGCAACGGTGCAGCTTGGAGTGAAAAACACTCGTTTGCGGCAAACTCCGTGTCGGGTATTGTTTCGCCCTACAGGTTGATAAATCATGCCGGATGGTGGTACCCAATCAGTAATGTGCTGGAACCAGCATGGGGATGTTGGTATGGGCTGTCATTGGCACACATCATTGTCCCGATTACTGATGAAACGACGCTCATGAACAGGTTCACTAATATTCTTAATGCCTGCCGAGGCTGGCCAGACAAGCAGGGGGTGTCATTGGACGCCCGGCAAACAAGTTTACGGCTTCAGGTCATTGCAATTAATCAGTTCAACAACATCCAGCCTCGTGTCTCCGGGTTCAGCCAAAACAGGGACGATATGCCATCTCACTCCGCTGTTGGTTTAGATACGCCAGCCGCCCACTGACGGGGCTATTGGACCGTCCGAGCCAAGTCTGTTGGTTCGCATCCGGAGGGTTTGATGGCGCTACTCCGGAGCCATCGAGATACCACGTAAATACAGCTCACATGCTTTGTCATCCACCGGAATGATATTGTGATGCAAGCGGGCTCTCAGCAATTTCAGCGCATACGAACCAGTCTTAGTTACTGCGGCACCTAGCTCTGGTGTAGATACATATGGTAGTCCTGACTTCACCGACCTTCCACCTCCGCCCTAACGCCACTGATCGATACTTCTCCTGTCCCATCTACCACCCATCGTCATCATGAAGGCTCTCCTGTCAAAATCTCACCTGCTCTCCAGAGTCGCCGCCCTTACCCTGGGTAAGACCATCGGCGGCCCTGGCGCAGACTTCATGGACATCCCCGAGCCCGCCATCTCCCCAGACGAGGTCCTCGTCAAGGTTCGCGCAGTCGCCCTGAACCCGGCCGACTACAAGCATATCGACGCCATCTCCCCGCCCGGCTGTGTCATCGGCTGCGACTATGCCGGCGTCGTCGTCAAGGTCGGCAGCAACGCCGCCAATTCCTGGTCCGTCGGCGACCGAATCGCCGGTGCCGTCCACGGCGGTCTCTTCCCCGATAGGGGTGCCTTCGCCGAGTATCTGAAGACCGACAACGATCTCGCCCGGAAGATCCCCGCTGATGTGGACGACACGGTCGCCGCGACCTTCGGTATCTCGGCCGTGACCGCCATGCAGGCCCTAAACGTTCGCCTCGGCCTTCCCTATCCTGACGAGGGGAAGACCACCCAACAACAGCACCCGGCTCCTGCCATCTTTTTGTACGCCGGCTCCACGTCCGCCGGCCTTTTCACCATCCAGATAGCCAAGCTTGCAGGCTACACCGTCGTCACAACCGCCTCACCACGCTCCACCGACCTAGTCAAGAGCTACGGCGCCGACGCCGTCTTCAACTACCAGGACGCCGAGGTCGCCGACGCCATTAGCAAGCAGTACCCGGACGTCTCTCTTGCCGTAGACTGCTTCTCAGAGGGCAAATCCTTCGCCGTCTGCGACGCAGTCCTCAAGAATAAGGCTGGCAAGCTTATTGCGCTGCTACCCCCGGCCAAAGCCAAGTACCCCGGTATCGAGCACGAGCTCCTAATGTCATACACGCTCTTTGGCCGATCCTTCCAGTGGCTGCCGCCTGTCGGGCCCAAGTTCCCGGCGCTGCCCAATGACCGCAAGGCACTTGCACGTTTTTATGTCAGCTTGCCGCAGCTCGTGAGGGACAAGACGCTCAGGCCGCCCCCGATATCCCTTGAGGAGGGTGGATGGGACGGGATCTTGGTCGGGCTTGATAAGCTGCGGTCGGGTAAGATGTCAGGGGGCAAGTTTGTAGTAAAGCTGTAAAGGAAATGAGGCGGGACATCCCAATAGCGTTGCTGTCTTTTGACTTGAGTTCTTTGGACAAGATCAGAATACTATGTGATTGACCAGTAATAATCTTACACGGATATTTTGTCTTATCGCTGTCTCAACGAACACTCGTCACGTCACTAGCTTCAGCAGGGGAAAGAGTTTATTCAGCGTGTTGTGGCCCGTTTGAAATGCCCGGGCACGAGGCAAAATCTACAGATTGGCAACCGACTCCTGCCTGGAAGCCACCTGGGCGGCCGTGGCTACGCCTTAATGACCCTGTAAGCCTCTTGCTCCATTAGGAGACCTTCCTACAGGGAGGCCCCACCCGCCGGCGAGACAGGCCAAGCCATGCAGCAGGCCTGGAAGCACGACTTGGGTAAAGAGAGCCTTCATTCTTGTCGGCTTTACTCGGTCACAATTTCTCAAGAGGCACGCAGAGCTCCGGGAGATGTATACAACTTGCGGGCGGTCTGCAGCGTGTTATTTCGCTTTGTCCTGCGCAATGGGAAGGATCTCGGGCTGCAGTATGCAACACCCTCGTTTTTTAATACAGTTGGTATATTTCGTCGTGTACATTAACGACGGCCTTGATGATTCATCAGGTTGACCAACCTCTCTTCCCTCGGAGTGCTAGGACGATATCGACCAGTTTGTGCCCTCTTTTAGGGCGAGACAAATGAGAGTACAGCCAGCTTAAAGGCTTGCAGTCCATGTAATGTGTAGATGTCCCATGTTCTGCCCCATGTATCCCTGAACCCTTGATTCTTTCAAGCCCACGTCGCGTCGATGGCGCCTAAGACCTTGAGGAGATGAATGTCGTCATGAGACATTAGAGCTAGACGTTTGCAAAAATACGCTCAGCAATCATAAGGATTAGTATGCCCTCAGTGGTGGGATCATCATGGTCGGAGGGACCTAGTGCCGATCTATTATTGTCTTAGGCAAAGGAAAGTACTATTACGCCGATGGACTGCCGGATATTAGTTCGACCGTAGGGTAGAAGAGAGTTAGCCGCATCGACTAAACATTCAGCCGAATTACTGATGTATGCAAGAAATTCATCGGATGAAAACGATGCCGAGCGCCCGCACATCGGGTTCTCCCGACTACATTAGCGTCTATTTTGTCGGTGTACGTCTTGGCCGGCCCAACTTTGTCAGTCACTGTACCGTCTACCCCTGGCGGCGATGGCGTACGCATTGAGACATTTACCCGACCTTCAGTATCGAAGTGTGGCACTGTTGACGAGCAATCAAGCCGCCGTGCTGACGGTCCGAAACCCTCACCAGCAGTCCGGCCAAGAGTATGTTGGATGCATACATGATTCCGTTAATTCGATGAAGGCCAAGGGAAACGCGGTGGCTGTCATATGGATGTCCACCAGTGCTGAACACAGACTGCTGGAGATGGCTAAGAAAGAAGCGCGAAGTGCGAGCTGGGACGGTACCATCCCAGCTCTGAAGTTTCCCAGAATGCGATCAACGACCTGAATATGGCCCGACTGAGTCAGCGCACCGGTAGACACATACCAGACAATGTCGGAAAGTTTTCGAAGAGAGTTGATGCAGCACTCCCAGGCAAGCACACCCGACTACTGTACGATGGCTTATCGCGGAGAGAAGCCAGCGTGCTAGCACAGCTCAGGACAGGCATGGCCAGATTGAACGGATACCTCTTTCGGATCAGACTAGCAGTGTCGCAGCAATGCGCATGTGGGCAAGCGCTAGAGACAGTCGAGCATTTTCTCTTTCGATGTAGAACATGGACAGCGCACAGGACTGAGATGCTGCAGTGCACCGAGACATCGAGAGGAAACCACTCGTTCTACCTAGGAGGAAAATCACCATCAGATGACGCAAAGTGGACGCCAAACATGCAGGCAGTCCATGCAACTATACGATTTGCAATGGCCACAGGCCGACTCGACACACAATACTGAAACAATATTGCAAGAATCTCCTCTACTTATTTTTACCAACCCACTTACACCCTACACCAAACACCCACCCCGTGCCATGAAAGCGGACATCGCTTCAGCCGCCGTAGATAGGACGCTGAACACTTGAAGAATAGCCTTCAAGCTAGTTCGCTGGTAATGCTACTAAAACCACGGGAGACTGCAGAGAGCAGCAGAACAGAGAGGAGAATTGTAATCGAGGAACAAGCGGAGTACCGGTATGACGAGGCTTGAAATACTTCATAAGCAAGACGCCAAAGAAGCGACCAACAGCAAACGCAGCCTGTGCACCGGCAAAGAGTTTGGAGCCGGTGGAATCGCTGGTGTTCTTTCTTGTTTCGGTTGCATAGTTGATAAACATACTTGCAATGGCCACCTGAGCTCCGCAGTAACAGAACTGTGCAAATGAGGCGTGAAACAGTCGGTACTGCTTGCTTAACGGCTTGTCGTGTGTATCTGAATTGGAGGACTCGGCTTGTTGGGCCATATCTGTATTTGAGATAACTGTGTCAGAATAGAAACACTCGCGGATCTATGGGTTTGTTGATACGTACCAGCATCCGTAATCTCAGGGATGTTCGAGAAGAGGAACAAGGTGGCGAGAAGTAAGACGAATACCGCGATAGACAGATACACCCACTGCACGTTTGCCAATGCCTTCTGGTCGTCAAAGTTGAAGAAGACATAAGAACCTAGAACGGGTGCAACGACTGAGCCGATGCCGTTGAAAGCTTGCGACATGTTGATCCGCATTTCCGCATACTTGGGAGGGCCGCAGACTACTTCGAGTCAGATGACAGGGATGGATGAGAGTCACTGGAAAGGCTTACCAGTGATGAACGGGTTGGCGGCAGTCTCAAGAGACCCCAAACCATTACCAATGATGAAAATTGCTGCACAAAAACCTCCAAAAGATTTTGCTTTAATACAGGGAATGGCAATCAGGGCGCCAATAGCATAGAGACTCAGTCCCCAGATGAAAACGGCCTTGTAAGAATAGTGTCGTAAAATCCACGCGGCATGGCCAAGAGAAGCAAGCGGGTAGGCACTATCGGAGTATGACGGTTAGATATAACAAGGCATAGGGCAGCCATGGATGATGATGAGACGAACCCAAAGTAGGCAGCTTGCAGTCCAGCAGACCTGGCTCTATCGATATGCAAAGTCACCTGAAAATGCTTGTTCAGAGTGTCCATGAGGCCATAGCTAAAGCCCCAGAGGAAGAACAAGACCGTAACAAGTGCAATGAGCCAGATAGACTCCCGTAAGCTAAGATCCGCGGCTTTAGTCACTCTGTCGTCAGATACTTTGAGTGACCTCTTCTTGAAAAACGTTCGAACACCCATATTGAGAGTTGGGGTTGTAGTTCAAATTGGAAGGTGTCTTGGGAAGGCAATAAGACACAGAACCAGAGAGCTGACTGGATTGATACTGGGAAAGAACTGCAACATGGAGGAGCTTGAATTATTTATATCCACTTGGCATGTAGATCTTGAGCTAAGCTACCCCATGGGGAATTGAGAAGCTTGGACGGGGAACTGCATCTGGGGTTAGACTAAATCCCTCTCAATACTGGTAGTCGACTCGTCCAATTGGGTTATTTCCTTCAGGGTCCTTAGTTTTGGGAAATAATCTACCCGACGGATAATTACTCTGCTGACAGCTTCCCTTGCCAAGAACGAGGGGTAGACACTAGCTCCGCAGCTCCAAACATCTAATGATTTCTTATTGAAAAAGTTCCTACTTATTGGCTCCTTGAGATTGAAGCTAACTTGGTGCTTATGGTGCTGATAACGGAGGCATGTTAATATCAAGAGAGTAATACTGTTAAAGAACAAAATCTTGACTTTAACTCTAACTCTTTATTGAAGTCTGGGATTTAACACAAACCTGGCATTGGACATAAGACTGTCCTTGGATAATAGATTATAAACATTAATACTGTTTTAATTAATAAATACTGACCCTATTTAAATCTACTATTACTTATCAACATATATGTAAACCGGCGCTATGAGCCCAATACGTAACCACGTCCTCCGCCTTCTCAGTTGGCCACCGTGGCCCGTCCCCGAGACATATACTACTTATAGTCATCATCTGAACCAGCCCACGAAGGCGGGCTATTTCCTCTAGCGAGCCATACCCGCGCACGGCCCGATCAATCACATCGTAAGCAGGACCTAGCCTGTTCCTCAGCAGATCCTCCATCGCAATGGGCGTTAGGAAAGTCTCTAATGGGGTGCCGTTGTTTTCGCATAACCTGGCCATGGCTGCCAATATCCCTGGGGCCTGCTCTGGCTTGTTGCCGGGATGGTCTCGATCAATCGTCCCCGTCTTGCGATATATCAGGCGGGCGTGGATGCCGTTCAAGACATCTCGGCCAGGACTGGTGGAGATAATAGCACTGAATATGTTTTGGGCTGTAGCCACCGCCTCAACGTTCCCTCCGAGCGCGGCGCCGAGTATTTGGAAGCCCCAGGAGAGGCTGGTCCAGAACACAGTGATGGCGAGCGAAGAGCCGCCTTGGAGATATGGAACAATGTCCATGGGCGGATACTCGATTGGGATGGAAGTCTCGGGGCCGAACCAGAGGCCATAGCCGAGTGTTGGCGACATTCTTCCCGATTGATGATGGGATTGATGATGGGATTTCTCAACGCCTAGTCCACCTGCATAGGGAGCTCTGCCCAATATGGGAGGAGACTGGCTTTGAATATTAGTGGTGCCTGGCTCCTGTTCCCATGAAACCGTTGTGGCGCCGGCCACCTCTGATGATTCCTGCGCCGGGGGCTCATCACGGACAGAGCAACTCGGGGGGTCTACACGGGACAAGCCTGGCTCTTGGGGTATTTCGACCCCAGCGAGTCGACACGCGTCGCGCACTGCTGCAGACATTCCAGCGCTGTCCTGCTGAGCCGCAGCGCGCGCTATTGAGGCGATGGCGGCCTGCATGGACTCTTTGCCGGCCCGGAGCTCGTTGATGGTGTCAATCTGTCTCTGGCGGAACTCCCGCTGAGCCCGTCTTCCACGCGCTCGCCGATTCTGCAGTAGCCATGTTAGCCTAGGGGCTTTCCAGTGTGATAACACCACGAGGTGCTAGACATACCGCAAGTTGATCATCGTTGACCAGCGTGTCCTCTTGCATATGGGGTTCCTGCATTATCTTTTGTAACTAAGATCAGTAACTAAGTCGATCTCGAACTTGGCGAACGAAGGACAGTAGAGTTCAAAAAAGGTGATGACATTATAGCTCAACGTGAGGTTGAGTTGAGTTGAATGCTTAGAAATTGGACAGATTCGTAAAGTTTTGGTTTAAACTTTAGCTAGACTGGATGCGGTCGGGTCTAGAATTCGCCACAGAGTGGATCCGATAAGTCCGATGCGATCTGACAAATCCAATCGGGGGCGCTCAAGCGAAACGGCAGTTAGCATGCTTGGCAATCATATCGATATGTAGTTAGTCGACAGGGGGGGGGGGGGGGGGGGGGAATGCCACAGACCGAATTTTTTAGTAGACCTTCACCAAAGGACACGTTGTTGTCAGCGTATCCTGTTATCATTGTATTATCAAAAATATTGATATCTAAGTTACCCGGGATCTAGCAAGCAGACTGGGCCTCTTCTTCATTGTTGATCGTCCTGGCCGATGGGCGTACCCTACTTCGCCGCCAAAAGTTCCAGATAATGCTCCGCAACGCTCTTCACCTGCTCCTCAAAGCTTGCAAACTTCCACCCAAAGACTTCTTCCGTATCAGACGAGTCTAGGCGAATAGGCCGCGAAGGCTGGCTCCCCTCAAGGGGGAAAATGCCGTCAGCCACGGCCTTAGGGAAGTTCCGTCTGACGATATCCTTGGCGTCCTCCCAGGTGGTGCCCTCGACTCCGCCCGAAGAGCAGAGGTAGTTGCGATTGCCCTGGATCGCAGGGTCCAGCGCGTCGATATGTGCTCTTGCCACGTCGTTTACGTGGACTGACACACCGAGACTTGGGGTATCGCTCTTGTTGTTTAGCAAAACGCCAAGGGTGGTGCCGTTGCTGCCTTTACCGACATCCTCGGGCGTGCGGTTCAGCTCGTTTTTTCCGGTCACCATGCTGGGTAGAATGCTGACAACTTCAAAGTGCGACTTCTCTTCCTGAATAAAGCGCTCCGTGGCGGCAAGGGCTGCTGCCTTTGAGACACCGTAAGCGTCCATGGCGTTTGCGAAGGGACCGTTAAGGTTGGCTGGGGTGTAAGTGTCTCGCACTATAAGAATCAAAGCGTGTTAACAAGCTGTGATGAGCATATTTAGAAATTTATCCCTCCCACTTACCAGTGAACACTTTCGTGATATCAGATGATACAAGGTAGTCCCAAGTTATAAGAGAAGCGATCGAAGAGGTAATAACAACTCTCTTGATTTTCGAGACCTTCTTTGCCGCCTTGAGAATGCCCAAGGTTGCGTTAACGGCTGGTTCGATCAGGTCGCGCTTGAATTCCTGGCTCTATGATGGAGAGTATTCTGATTAGCTATTGTAGCGGGAAAATCTTGTCACCAGTAAAGAAGGGAAAAGAACTTACTGCTGAAGGAAGTGGAGAGGCAACGTGGACTACACAGTCCGCGCCGTCAAGTACGCCATCGAAGGCACCTGGAACGAGCAGGTCCGGGACTACTACGAACTCAACCTGGGTCAAGTACGGCTTCACGGAATCGGTGGCCTTGATTTGATCGGTCTGTGATGCATTGCGAATCACAGCTCGAGCATTGTACCCTCTGCTGAGAGCTTCAACGAGCACGCGGAAGCCCACATGCCCTGAGACACCGGTGATCTATCGCAGACAGATAACGAGTCAGCATTTGGGAGACGAGTATGCTGAAGCCATGAAGCACTTACAACAAGTAGCTGCGGAGACATAGCGCCAAAGTCGTAGAGGATGTTCGAAGATTGAAGTAAGGATGGCACGTTACGATGGTATTTGTTATGTCGTTTGCCTGTAATGTGGCACAATGCTGAGATATGAATACTTGATGAGTTGGACAAAGACTCTTATTATGGCTGCATGGTACGAGTAGGAAAGTTTCTTGTCAGTAAAAGTGGTGTAATCCACTGGTGCCATCAGTAACAAGCCGTGGGGCCCTCGGGCCATTCTGTTGCCGACATTGCATAATCACCCCGAGCTCTCTAAATTCGCGGACTTGGGCACTCTAGGCACCCTGAGCTTCGTATGATTGGTCATGTCTGTCACTGCTATGTGACAGTGCCTCTACACTCTGGAGGTCCCATGCATTGGCGATTCAACTATAGCCAGGGTCAAGCAGGTAAAAACGTTGTGCAGGTAAGGCTAGTGTCTTCTAGTAGCACTTCCAGTAGCACAATATCGCGCGCGTTTGTGGGGACTATCTAAGATACAGATGAAATTGCTGGCCCCAAGTTTAAACTCTAGGCTGCCAAAAAATATGATAAGATGTTCCTGGAAGACATTTGGAGACGGAGGGAATGTGAAATTAAAAGTCTACATTGCAAACGCAGATGAACAAACGCAACTCTGTTTCCATATAATGAATAAAAAGCTATATACTAAGATACGAGTACAAGAATAGAAAATACATGTGATCTTTGATCTGGATGGCATGAGCGTTAATCACTAAGAGTGCCTACTTTCTTCGCCAGCTCCATATCCCGAAATCTAATGTGGTGCCAAGTTGAGAATACACTACAATACAGCCCCATCTCGCCAGACTTCCTGCCAAACAGTAGGGCGAAACAAGCTCTAGGCTGAGGTACTGTGCTGTTCGTTTGTCATACTGACGTGACTCTACTCATACACAAGGGGAAGTTCTCGGCCAAGATTCAGCTCAGCATCACCAAGAGTGAGATTATTGGTGACAGCCAAGGCTCTTCCGATCAAACCTGGCACAGCTGGATCCGTCAAACGAGCGGTAAAGGACGCAGCGTCGCGCAGCAGATCCTGCAAAGTAGGACGCGACCGAGCGTTGACCGCCTTCTTAATGGCAGCCATGGCCGGCAGAGGAAACAGACGCAAGCGCGAGGTAAGACCGTCAATATACTCGTACATCTCCTCAGACGAGCAAAAGGCCTTGTTGGTCCAACCAATGCGCTCTGCATCCTTGGCGTTGATATCGTTTCCGCTGAGGAGATACTCGAGCGCGAGACCTCGGCCGATAAGACGGGGGAGATGTTGGCTACCGCCACCGCCGGGGATGAGACCGGTGCCGACCTCGATTTGACCAAAGAATGACTCGGGTTCAGAGGCGAAACGCATGTCGAGGGCCAACAGAAACTCGTTACCGCCGCCACGAGCGCGACCTTCGACAGCGCCGATGGTCACCTGGGGCAGATCGGAGATTTCATACATGAGCCTGGCAAACTTTGGCCCAACGGTTGCTGTGGCTCAACATTAGCAAAGAGTCCTGTCACAAGTGGATGAATGGAAGCTTAGTACTTACCAACGCCAGGCATCAGAAGGTCCAAGTGGGCACAGAAGAACTTGGGAACATCGCTCTTGAAGATGACGACCTTGGTCTCGTTATCATTGTGAAGTCTTCGAACAATATCAGTCATGCCATCCTGGAAGTCGACACCCCAGAGGTTTATAGCCGAGTCTGGGTTGTGAAAAGTGACCTCGAGAACGCTGCCATTCTGAGCTGTCTTCAAGCCGCGGTACTTGGGGAGATCGAGAGCAAAGGCAGTCTGCAGCAGGGCTCCAGAAAGGACGAAATTCTTTAACCACGTGGGAACCATGATGAAACGAATCGAAGTAAGGCTAAATTGGTAGGAATCGTGTTGGGATGTGACTATGATTGTGAGAGTCGTAGATTGGATGAGGATACGGCATTAGAGAAGACAAGACTTTTCTCTCTTATATATCGGTTTTGGAATCGAACACCTTGGCATCTCGTCTTCTGGCACTTACTGAGATGCCACGTCCGTTCATCTGCCTAATCTCTGTGAGTTATGCTTTAAGATAAATGAGGAACAACAGCCGAAGCAAGGGCCGCTTAAGCATAGGTATGCCATGAATCTCGACGTGGTATCATTAGAATAAACTTCGACAAGCCGGAGTCAAGACCCGCATCTTGTTTAGACAACCTGGAGAAGTTAAAATCGGGCAGTCCGTGATGTTGTAAAAAAGCTTAGTAAAAGGCGGATGTATTGTAGCCGAAAGGCTTGGTGCTTGCACGTACCTTACCTTAGTAAAAGGGAGGCTCAGCTAGAAGCTCCGCTATCAGTCATCGGGACAATTCGAATGCCGACTTGCAAGTCTGATCGTCACGCCACTAACTTAAGCCTACCCTGATCGGCTCTAGCCGAACTAGAAAACTTAATCATGCTACTAATCAGTGGACTACGGGTTTGCTACTTCATTTGCTGCCGTCTTTGCTAAAGGTCTCGTGAATGCTCAATGCCTGTCGGTCCATCGGGGGTTGCAATTAGGGGAAGGATATAGAACCACCAGATTTAGTCATGAAGGCATAGGTTTGGCTTCATTTCTCATGGTTGGAACGCTAGATTGGCCGTAAATGCCATGCCTCAGAAGCACTTCAATGCAACATACCTTACAGCCCAACACGCAGTATCGGCCCAGGCATTACATTCTCAAGACATACGGTCAGATATTTATGGATCATGAGAACATTCAGAACCTGGATAGATATGGCTGGATAAGCGACTTTTACATTTCTTACTCAGTTGGAAGTGCACAACAGGATAAAGGCAAACACACTACGCAAAAGATTCCAGATAGTGTTCCTAGATGCGCTCTTTAGCTGCATAGCAATTCAATACAATTACAACTACGCACTGAGAACGCATGATCAAGAAGGAAATTGCAAGCACTATAGCTAAATAGGTATTACTAGAATAAAACGACATACTTGGGACAAAACAGACAGCGTCGTATCAGTCACATGCCAATCAAACTTTCGCCTGCTTCTGCTCCTGCTCCTGCTCCCAGGACTTATAATGCGCCTGGAAGCTTTCCTCAATTGGGCGATACTTGAGCCCAAGCTCCCGAATACTCCTCGTGTTATCAACCTTGAAGGGGGTGCTGAGGTTGGCAGACGACCACTTCTTAGAGACGCCAATGAAGGGTCCAGCAGCATAGACCATCAGAGTAGGCAGGTTCCAGCACGGCAGCGCCTTGGGATTCTTATGAATCGGACGCACGAAGCCAGCCATCTCCAGCAGGGGAATCGCACGATCACCCGACACGATGAAACGGCCCTTGAGGCTCGTATCCTCGCCAGCCTTTACGTGCGCTTCGGCGACTTCCCGTACGTCGGCCACCGGGTAGGATAGGTCCGCAACACCCATGCGATTGTCGCCAAGGTACATAGCCTCAAGCAAGTGCAAACTGCCAGAGACGGAGTCGGGCGTTAGAGACGGACCAACGATCAGGCCGGGGTTGATGACTACGAGAGACCAGCGGGTTTGGAGGTCGTGCATCTTCCAGGCCTCGCGCTCGGCCACCAATTTGGAGTAGGCATATGGGTAATGGTTGACGCTGCTGCTCTCGTTCCAGCACAACTCTGTAAGGGTTTGGTTCGGCGCTTTGAGTACATCGGCGTTGTCTCCGTATGTGGCAGAAACTGGTGGAGAGAACACGTAAGTCTATCAAGAACTGAAACAAAAGAGCAAAGAAGATAACCATACCAGAGGAGGTGAGGACGACTCGCTGAACAGACTCTGTTTCATTGACCGACTCTAGAACGTTCTTGGTGCCTTGGAGTGCTGGCTCAACGCAGTCTTTGAATCCATCCTTGATTTGGTCCGGGAGCAGGAAGGGGGAAGCGACATGGTAAACGACCTGGCAGCCCTTCATGGCCTCGGCAAAGGAACCGAGTTTCATCAAGTCGGCTTCAAATAAGTGAAGCTGACCGGGGCATTGAGCTTGAAGATCCAGGAGCGGCTTGCACTTGGACTTGTTCTTCAGGGAACGGACGGTCGTATGGACTTTGTGGCCTCGTTCGAGTAGAAGCTTGATCACGTAAAGGCCAACGAAGCCAGTGCCGCCTGTAACTAGACATGTCGACATTTTTTCCTTTCTGTAGAAGAGTAAATGACGTGTAGTAAGAGTGTGAGTTCGCCAATGCCACAGCTGTTGATGTTCCGAGGGCTGAGAAGCGAGGAGTCGAAGGGGACGACCTCATTATTCATTGAGCATCTTGAATAACCCAACTTGAAGTACCGACATTGCGGGTTGTTGAATTGAAAGATTACAAAGCCGGGAGTTCCTGTAGCGGCAGAAGATTTAGAACGGACATGGTCTTACATTGGCTCCGCTGTTACTGATGGGGCGGATTGTTTCTCCGACTGCATTACTGACAAGCCTCACCGACCAATTAGCTCTTACGCTTGGATCACGCTAATAGCCGATTATGTTATGTTATGTTAAGTATATTTTTCGTCCGGGGGGCGTAGGCCCCAAAAAGTCTCCTAATGGAGCACAGGACGTGCTGAGCTAAACTATCTACAATCGCTGCCCTGCTGATTCTCGCTCGGATCATCTGCAAGGCCTCTTGGATCGGAGCCGTATACATGCTCGAGCGTTTTCTGTACTCATTACCTCCAAGAGGCACCTCTCTACTCGTAGCCAGCTCTACAGTAGTTGTCGGTGAAGCACGTCCCATGGACATCATTACAGTTGATCTCAGCAGAGCTTCCCTCCAGCAACGCTTCTATCTAGTTCATCCAGCATATCATCGGCACAAAGGCGCTTTACTTTCGAGAGGTCATCCCGTCAGCGGGAACTATTCCTCTCCAGCCTAGAATTCTCTTGCACAGATAGACCAAGTAGCTTTCCATACCCTGAGGCAGGAAGTCCATGATCCCCTAAGATCGCCAGTAGCTGCAACCCTAGAACCGTGCATCCTTGGGGAAAACCAGGTAAGCTCTGTACCATTTCGACCTAGCGGTTTTGTCAAGTGGTCTCAGCCAGTGAGACAAATTGTCGAAGCCCGGTTGTGTTCCGGGCAGCAGCCGGGGCTGCAAAGAAGAAGAGGGTCTCTGGGCAGTATGCGACTGCAGAGATCGGTCATGCAGCTTCCGAGCTGCAAAAAGGGCAGCGAGCCATGCGGGGCTCGTGCGTCGAGGTCGGGGGCCCCGCAGGCTTGCAAACAGATAAATCAAATCAAATCCAACCCCCAATTTGATTTGATTTGGATACGAAAATGTGGGATTTGATTTGATTTGATTTGATTTGGATCGATTTGGATCTATTTGGATATTTGGATAACCCCACTTTTCTCCCACGATGAGATACATTGAGCTGCTCCGATAATATCCGCTTGGAGTCGGCCCCTTTGAGCTGTTACCATCTGTCCTGCAAGGCTGAATATTCGCTCCGGCTCGGTAGACATAGCGGGAATTGAAAAGACATCAATTGCCATCCGCGACAGACGTGGATACTGCCGTCTTCGGAGAAGCCAATACTGAATCGGATTATCCACCAAACAATCACCGGGGTCAGTAGTGGCCACCCACTCCGCATACTCATCGCGCGTAGCTGACGGTAAACGTGCAGGCCGTGTGCTGAGCTTCCTGATTGAGGCCATAAAGTCATCTAAGTCGGTTGTCTTTCTTGGAACAGTCGGCTGCTCAGGTATCGTTTCCTGCTCGACAGGGAGATTTCGATACTCCTCCCACAGCTCTTGTACAGCTGCCTTTCCTCGTACTAGCCAGTCCGGATGATCACCCCATTGCGACTCGACGGTTGACCAGCGAAAGGCAGGGTGGAGGATAAGGGCTGCGAGATATACAGGGCTATCTTCGGTGAGGGTGTAGTATCGGTCCAGCTTCATCCAGCCAAGATTGCAACCAATCCGTAGGTGTGGTTCTTCATCTAGTTCATGTTGCACCTTGAACTCTTCCAGATGTTTCAGAAGCCACTCCATTGTGAGCAAAACCTCCCAGATCGCACCGAATTTACCTAAAAATATAAGCACAAGCTGAGTGTCAGAAGGCTAGATTCGGCTCACCTTCCTTGGGTCGGCCTTCTAGGCGCTTGGTAGCTATCTTTAACGGCTTCAATATAGCCAGATACTCCGTAATCACGGACCAGTCCTCAACAGACATCTTATCGTCAACAATCGCAGGCTTAGTTCGGCTCTTCTTGGGCATTGGCTTTGTCCCGTTTTGAGTTCTCCTGGCCACGTAGTTGTTCCATTCCGTAACTTCTGCCTGGACTAGGGAATCAAGTGCGTTCCGAAGCTGGTAGCCTCGCTCCATCATCGCCTCAGACGAGTTCCAGCGGGTAGCGTTATCCGTGACAACGTTGTAGGTTGTTTTGTCTTCAAGGTTCAACGCGGTGTTCTCAATAAGCTGGAGCTTGTGGAGCTTCTCAATGCGCTGGCCAGATCGTTGCACCCAGTGAATAATATTATGCAGCTTGCCAAGCGGGCCTTTCGACCTCCAAAGTTTTATCTCATCGTGGATCTCTTTCTCCGCTTGGCAGTCGTCCTCAAAGGCGTCGGCGTCCGCGCCGAAGAGAATGGATCGGGCGACGAGGTTGATAATATGCCCACAGCAACGAAGCCGCCGGTGCTGCTTGTTGAAGCCGAACTCAGTGCCTAGGTCTTCAAGACACGTGTCGTTGCTCTCCGCATTATCTGCGACAAAGTACCCAATGCGATCCTCAAACCCATATTCGTGAATTATTTCACTAACGCGATCGGCAAGGTTCTCGCCACTATGACGACCCTCGATTTGTGGCAAGCCTAGGAGGAATGTGCGAAACTTCCCTTCGTCGTCAAGAAAGTGCACGGCAAGGCCGAGAAGGGAGGTAAACTTGCGAGAGGACCACGCATCAAAAGAGATATTAATGCGGCCAAGTGAGCGACCAAGTATCTCAGTCACGACGCCTTTGTGACGATTGAAGGACCGTACAATCCAGTCACGGATTGTGGTATGGGTAGGGAGACTTCCTGACTCGATGATAGCGCTGTTTGCGTATCCCATGAGCTCGCGGAAATACGGGCTCTCAAGCTTATTAAACGGGACGTTGTCGCAGGCCACCCAGCGTACAAGCAAATGCTGAAAACGAACAGGATCAAACGACGCTATAAATGCGTTCATCACCGCTTTGTCCTTCGGTCGACGACAGTCCAGATCAGCCATGTCGAAGAGAGTGCGTTGCTTCTTCCTCTGCGGTGACATAGGCCCGTCTCGATTGATGCGGTGGACATCTTCCATATGACCGTTTGCTTGGCTCGTAGAAGCAGCGTCGTACATATGAGTGATCGTAGCTTTCTTTCCGTGACAGTCTTTGCAGAGCCAGAATCGGCGACCAGAACCGTCTTTCTCGATATCGAATCCGTGCTCCCAGACCCATCCCGTCCGCGGCCTTCGTCTTTGTTTGCGGATGCAGTACCCTGAAAGTCGATTCCAATCGATGCCTTCGTAGCCAGTGTAGTCGACCGAGGAGGAAGTGTCTATAGTCACCTCTCTGTTGGTATCGGATGGATCGAAGCTCGGGGGGGCGTCGAGGTCACTGGAAATGGTCGAAGGAGTTATTGAAGGTATTGCTCTACAATTGGCATTCGTAGACTGAGCCATTTGGAGCAGGATTGTTGGGGATAGGTGAGGTTGCGAAGCTCAGCAGGCTACAGTCCGAGGCATACAAGCACCGTTGATATGTCGGGACGAACTGCTGGACCATGTCTCGCGAGTCGAACATGGTGCTGTGGCAGGCAGCATCAGCTGAAACGGCGTCGCGGGTTAATTGTGAGATGCCAGTTGTTTACCAAACTGGGTAGGATCCCAGGTAGAAGTGGGGTTGAGACTCGTCTCAACGCGAATGCTGGTTGGACAACCCCTTATCCAAATGAATTCAAATATCCAAATAAATCCAGGCCTCGAGATTTGATTCGATTTGGGTAATTTTTTCCGTCATTTGATTTGATTTGATTTGGATTTATTTGATTTGATTTGGATACGATTTATTTGTTTGCAAGTCTGGTCGGGGGCACCAAAGGGCCCAGAAAGTCGAGCAGCTGAGGGCTGCTGGTGTTGTTCGGGCAGCCAAAGCGGCAGTGATCGGCCGAGGCAGCGCTAAACTGCAGGCGAAGGTGAAGGCGAGGGTGCAATGGCCCTGAATATCAAGCAGCAGAATGCTGCAAATGTTGTCTGGGCAGCCGAGGCTGCAGAGGTCGGTCGTACGGGGGAAAATCGAGGGCGTAGAGCCCGAAATGTCGCAGGCTCGCGAAGCCGAAATGTCGAGGTAGAAAGAAGACGCAGATAACACATAGGAAATGGCGCCCGGAGGCGATGTCAAGAGCTCGCGAAACTCAGTGTCGTTGAAGACACTCTTCATGAAGAAAGGTCAACTCTCTGAATCCCTTTCTTCCAGCAGCTGTTACGGTCCCGTTAGAGTTGTAATAGACGATTGCCGGGTCCAGATCGCCATTATAGGGTAGAGGAAGATTGTCTGGCATGATAAATTAGTCTCAAGACTTACAGTACCCATGTGGCATGAAAAGGTCGTCCATGTGAGACTCACTGTTAATTTCACAAGCAATATCGCATCACATCTCCCGAAAACAAAGCCGGCAAAGTTGGGTGCAAATGTTTTGACTGTCTAATTCTATCACAATGCTAACCGTTGTGACGCGTCTACTGTGTGGCTGCAATCGCTGCCCTAACAGTCTCTCTAAGACTCTCCTCCTGTAAGCCAAGCACTGTGACGGCAGCATTCTCCGTAAAAGCCTGCCCAGTACCGTCCGCAAAGACATACTGGCTCAGATACTCTACAAAAGCGCTGGGATCATTGTTCGCAAGCTTCTCTTGCCCAATTTTCTCCAGGTCTGAAGTCTTGACATTCGTCACAATGAGCTCAGAGCCTATCTCCTCTTCAATCACCTTTTTCACCTCATTCTGAGTAATTGTAAAAGAGGCTATGGTTAAGTACTTGTTGGCAGTGGCTTCAGGCTTGGCCAATGAAGCGGCAACACACTTGCCGATAAAGGCAAGATTGGTACCGGAGAATGGTTCATTGCCAGAGTCATAGATCTGGCAGCTCTTGTTCTTGAGGTCGAATCCGAAAAAGCCGTTTTTGAGACCCTGCGATCTTATTAGCCTGGAAGAAACTTATAATGCCGGCAGATTTGGATCATCCTACCCAGTCAAAGAAAGCACCAGTGGCTATACGAGTCCACGAGGACCAGCTATACTTGTTTGAGAGCTCAATAAGATAATCAACGTCGGCAATCTTTGGCGCAACAAATTGACCAAACTTTGTGCCCCGTGCTTCACGGGTGTTGACCCCAAACTCAGACGGGATGAATCGTTTGACTTGAGCGGTAATTGCGGCATCGATGAACAGCTTCTGTGAAGTAATAGCCTCGCCACTAACGGTGGAGACAATGGCATCTTGTCCCTTCACCGCCTCGACAAGAGATTCCTCGAAGCTAGTCCCTCACAAGCATTGTTAATGTGAGGTAATGCCGTGTCCTTGGCGCTTGGTTAGCGGGCGCGTTGCAAGCCCTGACCTAGTTTTGTAATTCGGGCATCACGCATGTGTTGAAGCAGTAACAGATTGGGAATCGGCATGATTACATCTTGGAGCACTGGAGTAGTGTGGATGTATGGGATAGCTAAGTAGCTAGGCGTCCAATTGGTCACAGGTATCGAGAAACCGAAACCACTAAGGGATCCAACTTTGTAATTCGGGAATTCATGCATGAGTCGTATCAGTAACAGATCGGGAGTCGGCTTGATTACATTTCGGTAGATGTCAATCTTCGATTTATAACGATTGAACTACTTCAAGGGCCTCTTGTTTACATTTACCCATGATAAAAAGGCTCAATCCTCTATATGAAACTGGGTTCATCTCATCTGCTTTATCATTTATATTAAATCTACTCGCATTTATTACTCAATTCTCAAAATGAGCGCCCCTTCAAAGTACCTCATTACAGGAGCCAACCGCGGTATTGGTAAAGGCTTCGTGCAACGCATTTTACAAAAGCCCTCCACGACCGTTGTCGCTGCTGTCCGCGATCCCCTGCACCCAACTTCCAAGGCGCTCCACGACTTGCCCAAAGGCCATGGCACAAAGCTTATCATCGTCAAGCTTGACTCTGCAATTGAGACGGACAGCGATGACGCCGTCGCTCATCTTCGCAACGAGGGCATCAACTCTTTGGACATCGTCATTGCCAATGCTGGTATCGCTCAGGGAGGCGCCGGCGTACTTGACACATCAGCGTCCAACACGCTCAAGCACCTGACCGTCAACGCCATTGGGCCCTTGAAGCTCGCTCAGGCCACTGCGCCTCTTCTCAAGGCCAGCGAGACCGGTAGCCCAAAGTTCATTGCCATCTCTACCACTATAGGCTCTATTGGCTCACAGGAGCTCTTCAGCCAATTTCCCAAGTCTTCAAGCCCGTACGGTGCCAGCAAGGCTTGCCTCAACTGGTTCATCCGTTTACTGTCCTTTGAGAAACCTTGGTTGACGACCTTTGTTTTCCACCCTGGCCTGGTGGAAACGGACCTCACGGCCGACAGCGGGATGGATATGGAGGCTCTCGGAGGCATATCGGTTGAAACAAGTGTAGCTAACATGGTAAAGACCACATTTAGTCTCGACCATAAGGAGTTGACTGGATCGTTCCGGAATCATGATGGTACTGTGATCCCTTGGTAGGAACTGGTAGAGAATTGAAGAATAAAGTAAATAGTATAGCTCCCTTACTTAGTTAACTTTACTAGGGTTAAATATTATTAGAGTGCAAAGATACTATTATATCATTTTACAGAAAGGATTAAGTCTATTGAGTGTGTGATCTGGTTACGCCTTTTATTCACACCCTACGCCCTTCCAAGATGGTTGCTGCAACAGCTCGACGATTATTTTGCTGTCTAGTCGCCCAGGCAATGCACAGGACAAGGGCTGTGACTCGTGCCATGCAGAAACCAAACATAATGCCGGAGAGCATGAATTTGTGGTTCCGTCGGCGATTCTTTTGGAATATTGTCATGTTGGTCACGGCAAAACAAATGTAGAGGACGATAAAGACGGCGCAAATAGGAGTGTTGATTTCGTTGCTGGGAACGCACCAAGACCAGCAGTATTTGGTGGATATAAACCGCCACGTTTTTCAAGTGAGGACAACATGGTGGAGAGTCGAGTAGTATTTGAAATCAGAGCCTAATGTGGATAGATGAGTGCTGCTAATTGTTGGTCCCAGTAGTGTCGTCTCGTTCATGATTTATATAATTTGATAAGGCACGGAGATGGCCGACTCTTGAACTTCAATACGAACTCTTCATTGAATTGTTCGAGATGCAGCAGCCGCAGAAATTGTCCAAATTAATTTCATTGGGAAAGCGGTTGGCATGATGGCCATCTATACAACTACCGGTATCTTCCTTGCCTTCTTGAGTATGTGTGTGATTTTCATCTGCCCAGCAATTACAGAGAGGAAATACAGGCATTGCCATGCTCTATGTGGTACTGTTCTTTGAGTCCATCTGCTTCCCAACCATTGTGGCTCTTGGCATGAGAGGCCTTGGCCGACACACAAAGCGTGGCAGCGGGTTTATCATCGGAGGAGTCATTGGTGGTGCTTGCGTTCTGTCAGATATTAAGGTGAATCGTGTATATTTCTTGATTCTGTCGCAATCGAAGGACTATTGAGACCTTATATCTTCGACTGGTTCTTTCTAGGACTTGAGTCCTAGAAAGTCCTAGATGAAAGTCCTACGATCTAAGTTTAGGACTTCAAACTTTAATCCTGAACCTTAATCCTGAAGTTGAGGGTGAACCCTCCAACATTCAACACAACGCAATCGCAAGCATCTGGTCGCTCGTCACCTTCAAAGCAACTCGCATCACTTGAGATCAGTCCAAGGGGGTTTGAGCCGCGGGAGTTCACCGTGGAAGATGTTCATTTGCCACGTCAACTTTGCGACATACTCGATGGGCTACAGGATATCAAGGATAGCGCCTTCGGGATTATCTCACGCAATTGGGAGGAAGAAATCACCAAACTTGCCAAAACTGATCGCCAATTTTCTCGGATCCGAAACCACATGTTTGCGGACCCAAGCGTTCGCGATAAATTCGGTCCTACACCTTCTCCCGAGGACGCGCGGAGCTTGGCTACCGAAGCCGCCGATTGCCACGTTACAGCGCAAAACGAAGCTGGATGGAACATGATGGTACACTACCCTCTCTTATCCCAGGCCGTTTATGGCTCACAGCGACAAAAACAGCTCGTTGGAGTCGCGCCTTGCACGACTGCAAAGATCATCCAGGAGTATCTACAATCGCCAACACAAGCCAAGATGATTGATTTTTGCATCTACCTCGATCCAAAGGATAATGCAGCAGAAGTCGAAGAGGCGCGGAGGATTTTACCATGCGGTTATGTCAATCACACTGACTTTTATTCACTGCGTAATCGTCCCATTGCTCTGAGCATTGAGACCAAGGGTGCGAGTAATACGCCAGCAGGGTCTGCTGAGTTGCAGATAGGGACATGGCACTCAGCGCAGTGGCGGTTTCTGGAAGACCTGGTTTCACGCAATGCTGGTTCTATGGATGGGCTGCCGTTTCTACCTGCTATCATCGCCCAGGGACATCGGTGGAGTTTTGCTGCCACGACAAGAGTGGGGCAGAAGACGGTCTTGTGGCTTCCCTTCCAGTTTGGTTCGACAGATGATGTGATAGGTGTTTATAAGACTGTCTTGGGACTTCAGCAACTATGTCGTTGGGTTGATGGTGTCTTCTGGCCATGGTATAAGAGAAACGCACTGGGTATATCAGAGGATGGGGATTGTACATCATAGTTGTGCTTCCACCACCAGTGGGTAGCATGGAGTTTTGTGAATTCTTATGTGTATTTCTGTATTTTCTACAAGATATCCAAGTAGCGTATTCTTATGATTTTTTCCATTCCATCTGCAAATATCACATTTTGACCGACTCAAACTAGACACTTGATATAATGTAAAGCTCATTAATACTGGATAAAAGCATATAATAAGACCTCCAGACTCACCTTGGCTTCCTGGGTTCCGGGCAATGTCGTGCTATGTGTCCAAACTGGTTACAGTTGTAGCACTTGCATCTGGACATGTCCCGTCCTCGATTGTTGTTGTTGCCGGGTTGAGTGGCTCCAAGTACCATAGGTCCTGATTGCGCTCCGTACGAGGTGTTGTTTTGTCGGTTACCTCGTGGCTGTCCTTGATTTCGAGAGTTGCCCTGGTTGTTGTCGTTGCGTCGCTGGTTCGGATAATAAGGGTTGAAGTTATTTCCTCGTCCAGCCTTGGTGGCTCTCTCCTTTCTGCGTTCATACTGTCTTTCGTCGATTTTGATTGCCATTGCCACGTATTCCGTGATATTGTCAGGTCGGTCTGCCTTGTACAGTTCGTCCTTGACTTCTTCTTTTAGTCCCCTACTCAAGAATGTAGACCAGAAATGCGCCACATTTCCACTTCTGCACCGGTCAGAATCTCCACTTTCTTACCCCAAATTTCCCCTCTGGAAATGCGGCGCATTTCCATCTGGGGCCTGTAAACTGAGAACGCAAAATGCGCCGCGTTTCTTCCACTAAGGCCCGTGCCAACCATGTAGACGACCGCGTTCTTAAACTTTACAGCGTGTAGTAATTTCGGTTGCGTCGATTAGGAGGAAGGAAGCAGCAATCAAGCTCTCTCTTTATTCTTGGCTAAATGTGGCTTCATAGAGGGTATCCGATCCTCTTGCTTCCTTCTCAACTTTATCAATATGACAGGCCTCGCGACGTACACTGATGCTATTGTCACATTGCGGCCGAGTCAGCTCCAAAAGCTCGAGAGTCTCGGCTTGTACTACAATTCGCCAGAGCCAGCAATAATTTGCGTCAAATGCGGCTTCGCCATTAACCCTACATGCGCGCCGCGTCACCCAGGCGACAAGCATCATATAACTGAGTCTGCCCGCCGCGGTTGGAAGCCACTAATCTATTCTCTCAATCTTCCAAACCCAGAGACACTTCCACTGCGCTAGTTTAGTGAATCGCTCTCGTTCTTAACATGAGAGCCCAGGTCAACCTTTAGAGTTCATATTAGGTAAGTTGAGTAACTTTACAGAAGCCGCAAACTGCTTGCCAAATGAGCCTTGAGGAAAAAGACTTGATGTAGGGTAGTCACGAAGAAGAGTACTAAATAATTGCCGGCAGTGTCGGGGTAACGTGTCCGTTATATGACTAGTAATGCAGTCTACGAAGGGTAGAAGGACATGGTTGTTTAGCGAACACTGAGAGAAAAGTAAAATTTTATTTAGAGCACACGGACTGGGTGATCCTATAAGACGCTTCCTTATTCAAAGTGTCTCCAAATCAAGTTAAAAGGAATCTTCCTATCATAGCCAATAAGCGGGATATCGCCTGTCTAGGGTTAAAAGTCGATAAAGAAAATGCAGACAAGTTAGGTTAGCCTACCTACTCCCTCAGACGTGTCAATTCGTGCTTCCTTAAGCAACTCATTGAAGCTTTCTCTAGAAAGAAAACCTAATATGCTGCGATTGGGAATCCAACCCGCCACCAAGATATGGTGCTTTGTCGCATATTAAGTTCTGTTATCCCCGATATTACGGAACCCCAAGTCATCAGTGGTGCTACCATAGGCAATGCCAAGTCTTTGAAGTACACGCAAGTCGATGACCACGATTTTCTGGGTTGTAGACTTGTGCTTGCCAACAAAATTCCAGAGACGCCGTGGTGATGTGCTTATGGATATATAGTTCGTCGAGATGCGAGCTCCTCGGATGTGGTTTTCAGCCCCCACCCGCGTTAAATGCTCGTTGACGTTGAATTCTTGCCAATTACCACAGCGAATATCTCCCTTGCTGAAGTAGCGGGCTTGGCTGTGATCATCGAAGACCCTGAAAGCAATATAGCTGTCCGGCGGATGCTCCGATATTTCTATAATTATTATTGTTTTAAGACATGTCCTAGAGAGCCGAAGTCATTTACCTGAGGTCAGCTTGCCTACTAGTTCATTTAGAGTTGCCCATATAGCTTCCGTGCCAATGCAAGCATCTAGTAGGCGTCGGTCTAAGATTTGGATTTGAAGGTCCAGCGACAGATCTTCAAATGGCTGTTGAATAGGTTCTCCCCGAGGAGAAAGAGACGGAATTACATCGCTCAGTGATAGGTTTTGTAGGTTCGGTAAGTCGGAGAAATCGATATGGACCAGGGCAGTGATGTGGATTCGTTCCATTAAATATTGGAGATACATAGTCGCCTATAAGCGGGTATCAATCTCTTCCCTAACTTCCTTACTTTTATCATTTAGGCGACGATTGGGCGCACTTTTCTCACAAGTTTCATTTTTCCGTTGATTGAAGTCTTCAACGGTTTCGCTGCTCTCGGCAAATTTCAATGGCTGGCTTGTGCGGCGATTATACCACAGGCCGTATTTCATTTGGGCAGGCATTTCAGTTGCTGGTACTCTTGTGCCTCGATGATCGCGTGTAGCCATGAAAAAGTGCGGGGTTAACATAGACGAAGTCATACCATTGTCGCTCCCGTCCAGCTAACGTACATGATAAGCACATGCACCTGATAGCGTATGCACTAAAATCCCTCGACCTGACATCTAACTATTTTAAAGGTAACGTACATGATAAGCGAGTGTTACAAACAAGTGAGTGTTACATTGAAAATTTATACTCTTACATTCGACTAAAAATAAACCCTCCTGAATTTAAATCATTCCTAAAATAAAAGAAATTTTAATACAGCATAGATTATAACTGAATCTATAAAATATATTTTTTCTAGATTTTATATAATTTCTTTAATAGCTAGTATAAAGAAAACCTATTTACACTGTGTATTTGTAAATATAAGCCTAAATAAATTAAGGAGAATTTTATAAAAGTTAGTATAGTACTTTACTGTGTAAAGATTATAGCAAACAGGAGGGACCGGTCCGGCAAGCGGCCCGCCAAAGGAAGCCTGGAGGAACTGTGCTAGCGTGATGAAGCTGGTGAAGAAGGGCTGCTTGTAGGTATTATCAGTAAGATGGTGGATTTAAGGTGTTACGATGACCTGGGTCGAGACCAGGCGGTCACCCGTGGCAGAACCCTGGGCCCCATTTTTAACGGGAACTGTCAAAGCTGTTGCGCGTGACTTCAGCGGATCGGAGCACCACTCCAACGGATCACCAGTGATACATGGGAATCATCAGCGATTCCTATGGCACCCCCTCCAATCCAGTCGAGAACCATAGATATATATACACTCATTGTCACTTTTAAGTAGTAAGTCCAGTGTAACACACTTAGTATATAAGACATTCATTTAGCACTTTCCTAAATAGATAGTGTGACAGCTATCAATGTACAATTTTACTATTACTACATCATGACTTATAATGCTTAATATAACGTCATAATCCATTAGATTATACACTCCTAAGTCTGGGACCTACTGTAGATATAGGTTAGACCCGACCATCACAGAAAGGTTATGCTTTTAGTCAATACCGGCAACCTAGTCATATAGCTGTGCCCTCCTTTTTCTTGCTGTGGTTCTCTTGCTTCGTATTGGCTCAGGAGTGCTTTGTTGCTTCCTCTTACGTGTGGGAGTAGGGGAAGTAGGATCGAGTTGGTCATCCAACATTTGTTTTGTGTCTGAACCATCTTCCGTACAACCGCTATCTGAATCGCCAGTTAGCTCAAGGAAGAGGTTTAGAAGGGACAAGCCATACCCGAACTTGGAATTGGAAGCACTGGATTAACGTCAATTGTGGTTGGAGTCAGTGGTGTATGCTTTTCTCTAGGGCAGGCTGGTGGTTTGGTCGCCTCGCAATCTGACTGCTTTGATGGCAGTGTCGGGGAAGCAGCTTTCCTTTGCGGAGACTGCTTTTGACCGCGGATTGGAGACGAGAATGGGTTTCTGCTTGCAACGCCCCCAGGGCCAGCTGGTCGTGGTGGCGTAGGCGACTCATTGACAGGATTCGACGATGTGGGCATGTATGTATTATGTGTAGACAGGGTACTCTGTCGAACGAATTCCCAATCGTCGGGGAGAATTACTAAGATCCGGACGGTGGAATCGACGACTTGAGGGCCTTGGATAAGGTCGCGGTTAAGGACCCCCAAGACGCGACCGCTGCATACAATCCACGACCCTTTAGGAAAGGGGTTCACAGCTTGTCGCATCCACCCGAGTAGAGAATGCCATGGTTGTTGCTCTACGGGGAAGAGGAGGAGGACGTGGCATACGTGTACGCCTTTGTGAGGAGGGCGGTCGTTTTCTGGCACTAAGTAAGAACCTAGCTTTATGAACACCGAAGTCTTGCTCAGCGGCTCTGGCCAGACATCCTCCTTGATATGGAAGGTATCTAGATCGACAGGGCCGGCAAGGGATATATGTGCTGAAGAGTTTGGCCAGGGGGCACTTTCATCGCTACCATCGAGGAGTCGAGGGACAATACTGTGGGGTTGTAAGCATCGATAACTGGTATGAATACGACGTGAGAGGACGTACGGAGTCAAGCCGCCATCACGCGGTAGTGCCAGCGCAACCTGCACAGATTCAGTTTCTTCTGTCTCCCATCCATCCAAACTTACGCCATGGAAGGTAAGTTTGTTTGGAAAAATTCGGGCGACTATAGTGAACCATTTCCCCTCCCAGTCCTCCTCCAAGGTCGCTGTTCTTGCTCCGGCGTTAAACATGGAGAGTAGCAAAGGAAGTCCTGAGATCTCGCCATCTTCAGGACTGAGGAGGCGCGGATAGAGGTCGAGAATGAATGAAGGCTGAATAAAAGGCAGGAAGGTCCCAGCCTTGAAGTTCCCTGCATTCGTATAGCGTGAGCCAGCTGGGAGGATTTCGCACTGGGCTAGGTCGGAATGGTAGGTGATGATGAGATCCGCACCGATCGCTCCCTGCCCACGCTTATTTGGCAATGGAGGTATCGGGCAAATGACAGAGGCCGAGGAAGTCGTCATATTAGTGGCAAAAGAATTATATGCAGTATCGTAAGTGAAATGAGTTTAGGAGAGATAAGGGCAAAGGAGATGAGGGTGTTAAGTCCCCCTCTTTGAAAAATGGTGGCTTGCTATGTAGATATATACTGCTTTTAGTAATGCTCTGACCCTGACGTCAATGTAGCATACTGCTACACTAAGCTAGGTTCTGAAGTATAGCCCGTACGGTATATCGCCACAAAGTATCAGTTGACAGACTTAGTAGTGTGTTGCACCTGAAAGCTAGGATATCCTGGGTTGTAAAGAGGGGTTAATGAGGGGGTAAAAATCTGAGGCATCGGCAGAAGTGATAGAGTTTGAGGGCGATCTCGGCAGAAACAACAGATAGCTGTAAATGTGATAACAGTGATTGGAGCTTGTAACCCTACGTAAGATGGGTTTGGAAAGGGGATCCATGCTATGGGTCTGTCGCTCTGCTCTTCTAGGCCTCCTCGCATGCTTCTCCTATCCAGAGAAAGAGTCAGTTTTAAGAAACCTATAGAGTCACCAACAAAGGGCTTACCAACGTCATATATCGCTATACGGCAATATTTGAATAGGAATCTCGATAAGTACTTCAGCATGGCTGAATCACATGATTATTCTTCTTTCCTACCCACTCCGCCACAGACACAACTGCCTAATCAGCAGCAGCAGACGAGAACAGGACCTCAAAGTGATGAGAGTCGGGCCATACGGGAAGCAGCGCGGCAGCGGCTGCAAGAGCAAAGGCGACGCGAGCGGGAGGCGATAAGAGATCAGCAGCAGACAGTGAGGTGGGTGCAGGAGGAAGAGCGCCGCCGCCAACGAGTGGAGAAACGAGCGGAGATAATTCGGCAGCGGGAAGAAGAACGCCGCCGCCAACAAGAGGAGAGGATACGACAGCAGGAACTAGAAAGAGAACGCCACCCACAAGCTGAAGAGAGAAGACAGTGGCTGGAGAGACACCGTCGGCGTCAAGAGGAGGAAGCTCGACGTCGAGAGGAGCTGGCGTCGCACACGAGAAAGCGCCGTCGACGAGCTAGGGAGGCGAGACAGGAGCTAGATTTACCAAACCCGGAGTATGAATCCTTCTTGGGGCACCCGAGGTCTCTTAAGCGCGCGAAGACTGACAATAACCAAAGACGTCGTCAGCCACGGCAAGATGGACCTTCTGGCACCATACCGGCCCAACAGGCAGCTCCTCCTGACCTGATGTCCATGGAGATGATTATGCGGCACAAAGAAGCGCTACGCAGGCTGATGCAAGCAGTAGAGCAATCCTTCCAAGAGAAGCAAGCGGCCTCGAATCGCCGTGACTGGTGCAACCCTGTGCCTGCAAATCGTAAGATCGACACAGTCCAGTCCTTTCTGAAAGCCTTCCACGATGAAGGCAGCATGGAGATAGCAGTATGCTCGGTTTGCTATCTACAGAAGAAGCCACGGGACCTAGACCATGTCGACTGGGAAAGGGCGTTGCCTGACGAGATTCGTTCAGCAATGACCAACTTACTGGCGTGTAAGAGATGCTTCCCGGAGGGAGATGGCGAGACTGTAGTGCCGATATGCTTTTCCTGTCGAGCGGCTTTCGACCGAGGCAGAGTCCCGGAGGCATGCATGGGGAGCACGATGCTCATCGGCTGCGAGCATCGGTATCCAAAGGAGCTGAAAGACCTTACCCCTCTCGAGGAGAAGCTGATCTCTTTCAATGTGGCATATGGGTTCATCACTAAGTATAACATCCAACGTGGTCAGCTAACCGGCCCGACATATCGGAAGCACGTCGCGGGTCACATCACGGTGTTCCCCAACGACGTGGAGTCTTTGGCTGCCACAATCCTGCCGCACCCACTTGTGTCGACACTGGAGCAGGTGCATGTGATTTGGACCGGCTTAGAGCGGCCCACGCCTCGAGATGTGAGTAAACTGCTCAGCGTTCGACCTGGTGCCATCCGCACAACGTTACAGTGGCTGCGAGCAAACAACCCTCTTTACGTCGACATTGTGATCAATGAAGAGGAGATGGAAAGTTGGGATTTTGAAGGCGGCAGCGATGTGCCAACACAAGCCTACCAACGCATGGTGAGGGAAGAAGAGACTGCAGAAGAGCTTATACGGACAGCACAGATCGTGCCTCCAACTGATCGAGGGCAGGACACTCCTGGTCAATCGTCATCGGTCGAGGACATTGCGATAGAGCTGGCAGAAAAGTCTAAGTGTAACCCTGGACAATCTGAGCCTGCGCCGCATGGCGTACAGCAACCCCCTAGCTTGGAGGAGGCGACGGCCGAGGAAACGTCAGAGCGGGCGTTTGAGCTGCGCTCCTCGGCGATGTTCCCGATCGACGAGCAGGCTGCCTTCGCAGAGCAGGACAAGCTAGAGTTCATCAGTATAGCCCTGCAGGCAGAGCGCCAGTTCGACGATAGGTACGAAGGTGTTGCAGGCGAGGCCCCGTCGATGCAGGTTCATGGCTCCTCAGGTCGTCCGTTCATCCGGGTATCACATGGTCGCGAGTTCGCGGACGGCTTTTCTCCAGACTATTTCCCAAAAACCTTCCCTACCTGCTTCCCTTATGGCCACGGCGGACCACGAGCGGCGGACCGGAACGAGGTGGGAGATCCAGCAAATCCCCTGATACGAGATATGACCCTGGAGCCTTGGGCCAAAGTCGTTCTGCAGCGGCACGGCGGGCATTGCGCCCAACACCCTGCCTTCTCCTTCCTTGTATTCAATACGATGGTCAGGTCTCGGAACCGGTGGATTGCCCAGGGCCGCCTGAAGCGGTCGGCGTTTCGGCGTGTCGAGGGAATACACCAGAGGCTGACGCCCGAGCGCTTGCGCGAAGCGCAAAAGGAGATGTTTGAGATGGGAAAGACCACAGACAGGGACGTTATCGCACTTATGAAGGAACTCTCGCTCTACGGTAGCCGGCATCCTTTATCAAATGAGAGCCGCCTATCAATGCGGAAGAAGATCTGGTCGATGATAGTGGCATTTAGCCTCACAGCCATCTGGTTTACCCTAAATCCCAATGATATCAACAACCCGGTGAAGCTGAAGCTCGCGGCGCATAGGGGACGGGATGATGAGGCCGCTAGAGCGTTGCTTCGTGCTCTAAGCACATCGCTGCAGGTGACAACCCTCTCGGTCCACGACCCTCTCAGCTCAACGCTCTTCTTCTTCCGCGAGATCTCTCTTTTTTTCGAGCATTACGTTCGCGTCGGGCGACCGTCTGTTTATGGGAACGTGAGCCATTATTATGCAACCGTAGAGACCAACGACCGCGGGGCTCTTCACCTACACGGCCTACTATGGTTACATGGCAACCTGGCCCTATCGGATCTCGTCCGCCACATGGCCGATCCTGATGAGGGAGAATACCGGTCGAAGGTCAAGAGCTTCGTAGACGATATATTTACTGCGACCCTGAACGAGGCCTTGGCGAAGGAGGTGGTAGAGTGCGGCAAGAAGACTACTGTAGTCGAGCCTGAGCTGATGCACGACGCGGAGTGGTTATCGAGGGCGTTTAAGCGTGAGGCCAACTTTATTGCATCTCGCTGCCAGGTCCACCACCATACTGCTACGTGTGTCAAGTACTCTATTAAGGAAGTTTTGAAGGCGGGCCTGGCAAAGTGTAGAACGCAGCTATGCCGTTTCCGGGCTCCTTGGAGACTTGTGCCGGAGACCGGCTTTACAGACGACGGCCTGCTCGAAGTGAAGAGAGATCATCATATGGTCAATCAGTATAACCAGAGCATGGCCATAGGGCTACGGCACAACCATGATGTATCAATGATTCTTACACGAAAAAAAGGGCTGGCACTCATACACTACATCTGCAACTATACTACGAAGCTTAACGCTCCTATGTGGAAGCGGCTCGCCCTTGCCGCAGAGTTATTGGACCTGGCCCGGCAACAGCAAGGGGGACCAGGCAATCAAGGTACGACGTTGGCATCGACGTCGACGTCGACGATAGGAGATGAAACTAAATCGTTTTTACTACGCATCGCAAACCGAATTTTCACGAGCAGAGAGCTCTCCCAGCCTGAGGTGCTTGGCTATCTGCTGGGCTTCGGGACCGACTTCACAAATGTTCCTGCTTGGACCTGGGTGCATATCAATTCCTTGTACTGGGCCTGTGCCAAACAGTGGCCGGGTCTAAAGGAAGCACTGTTGGCACTTGGTCGAGACCCGCAACCAGACAACATCTATTTTCAAACAGACGGCTTTAAGTTGCCCTATTTGGAAGCTTACAAACACCGGGGCCCAATTCTCCAAGAACTTTGCTTCTACGACTATATGTCCTTTGTGGTCTTGAAGAAGGAACGCTACCACTGGAGAGGTACGACACCGATTCCTTTTCCACCAACGGCAACCGTCTGTAAAGGCTGGGTCCAATGCCTTCGAACTCCAGGTAAAATGGCGGTGCCTGTGTTTGATGGTCGTCTTACGGACGAGTTCGACGAACAAGATGAAGTCTTCATAAAAAAGTAGCTATTAAGGTCCTATAACGTGAAGAACAGTGCTTACAGTATATTAATAGGAACGCAGTCTTGCACTTTGCCCTGTTCGTTCCTTGGGAAAAGTTTCAAGGCGAGCCAGCGGATGATATACCTAGACTTTGGCGAAGGTTCCAGGAACAGCTAAGCGACCGAGTTCGCTCCTACGTCCATAACATCACTTTATTGCGCGTTTCTGTAGAAGACGCTCGGGCCGACCGTAAGATTCAAGGTCTGGACCAGGACTTTGAAGAGATCGTGGATGCGCATGCCTTTGGCGATCAAAGGGAGGAGGAGGATGGCGCCAGGGCAGATGAAGAGAACACTGATTCACAAGAGTATTACAACGCCTTTCTGGGCGTCCTAGCCGCAGTCCGGAGGAGCGAGATTAAGGATATGCCCGTAAGTTCGGTGCTGAGATGCTTATATGAAGAGGCGAGGGCAATCGATTTGGGAGAGGACGACAACACTGCCGCCCAGCGGGGCCGACAGTTCTACACGATGCTGCAAGACATTCAAGATGCGCCTTTCCGGGGCAAGGGCCTCCTCAGCAGGGAGGAAATTGATGCGATATTGAAGTTACAGAAGAAAGAAGACACCAGCGTCACGGCAAATATCCAGGGTAGGGAGAGTAATGTCTCCTCCGCGCACGCTGATGGGCCCCATAGAAGGCCAGATGTCCCACGGCGGCCCGCTCAGACGGAAGAAACACTGGCGAACGGAGTTGGTCCGGCGAGCCAAATGCGTCTCCAAGTCGGCCCTTATATGTCACATGTCGACGTCGCTGTAAGTCTGGCGAGGGGGTGGACCTTGAACAAGCTCCAGTCGATGGCGGTGCTGCTACCGGCAGTCTTCCTCGACGAGCCCGGCACTCGGCTACAGGAAGAGGAGGGCAAGCAGCACCTCCAATACGTCGGCGGTGAAGGAGGCACGGGAAAGTCTCGCGTTATACACGCTATCAAGGACATGTTTCGGCTGAAAGACGGCCTTCACACACTGCTCGTGACAGGCGCCAGCGGAAACGCAGCTGCACTCATTGGCGGAGTGACCCTCCATTCGGCGTGCAACATTGGATTTGAAGACAAGACAGAGATTACGAGGAATATATCGGAAGAAGAAAAGCTACGTTGGAAGAGTAAAACCATGTTGATCGTCGACGAGATCAGCCAGGTGGGCGGCCTCACGCTAGCATCTGTAGACAGCCGCCTGAGGCTGTATAGAGATGACGCGCATCGCCCTTTTGGTGGGATCCCAATCGTCATCTTCTTTGGCGACTTCTTCCAGTTTGACCCGGTCAGACAGACCAGCCTCCTCTTATCAGAGCCCAGAGAGCACAGCAGACAGAGACCGGAGAGCTTGGCAAAGCATGTAGCAGCACATAAACTGTTCCTCCAGTTTACAACGGTCGTCATGCTTCGCGAACAGGTCCGCACTGCTGGTTGTGCAAGGTTGCGTGGCTTCCTCCGGCGCCTGCGTAATGGGCAGCAGACCGAGCTGGACTTCCAACGGCTATATCGTCGCCTCTATAACCAAGCGTCTCAGCCCTCTTTCGCCGATGGACTGAGGGCGGTCACACCTCTGAACCAAGATAGGTGGGACCTGAACATGGCAGCCATCGTGCAGTGGGCTCGCGCCCAGGGCAAGCATATCTCGATCTTCGTGGCAAAGCACGACACTAAAGCAGGAAAGCGGTTGCGTGTAGAAGAGCTATGCGACGTGCTCCGCTATGGAGACGACTCACAGCTCCCAACCCCTGGGTTGTTCTTCTATGCGCAAGGGATGCCGGTAGTGGTGACCCGGAACCAGCTTACTGGGCTGAAGCTGGTCAATGGGGCGCCCTTCAAGGCAGTTGACATCTTTCCCGACCTCACCTGCGGCACCATTGCCCTCGCCAGCGATGTGACGCTCCACCTGGCCCCCCCCGCAGCTGTTCTCCTCCAGTCGGACGATATCGCGGACCTTGCGGTACCCGGACTCCCGAAAGGTACGCTCCTCATCAAGAGCAAGACAGTAGTTATCCCCGATTCTATGCGGGGGAAGAATTCCAGGTCAAGGAGCAAGCCAGGCTTTCAGTTGGTCACTCATAGAACAGGACCCCTATGTACCCCCGCCTTCGCTATGACAGACCAGAAAAGCCAGGGTAAGCAGTTCTCAGAGGTCCTTCTTAATCTCAAAGGCATTTATGGTAGCAGCTCAGAGACAAGACCTAGTTTTATGAGCCTATACGTGCAGCTCTCGAGGGCGGAGAGGTGGGAGGGGCTGTATCTCTTCCGGAGACCAGCGCGAGGCGATTTTATCGAACCGAAGAACGTATTGGATAGACAAATGAGGGACGGCGTTTACAAGCTGGAGAGGCTGGGGGGCGAGACAAGACTGCGCTTCGAGCATGCCTATAGACATGAGAGCTGGTTTCAGGATTGGGATGCTATAGCAGAGTCTACTTCAGTAACCGAAGTCGACGAGGAAGACGATACTTCTCTCTGGTGTGATTCTGAGGATGATGAGTCCGAGTCGTAGTATATATCAGTATATATCTTGGCACTTGCATTTATAAGCTATAAGGTAGCTATCTACATAATATGATTTTGTCAAGTTCTAGTAAATATTGTATAATTTTCTCACTATTAATGTAACCTCATTGATGCCCTAGACTGCTAAAGTATCATGCTAATAATATGAATTTCGCAGCATTGCAAAGAGCCGTAATTTAAGCTATTAGACCGCCCGGTCCCCGGTCACATGTTGACACCTCGCTGCGTGACTGGGTATCTACGACGATATCAGTGACTCGGCGTTTAAGAGTAAATGAATTAATTAACTGGCGACTTTAGCCGCACTCTGTTAAATATTGATAAAATAAAAAGGTTGCAGGTTATATTGAAAGGTCTAAGTTATATATATCTGAGAGGAGCGCAGTTCCTTAAATAGTATCCACATCCCAGCCACCAGCAGACTCAACAGATATTCTATCATCCTATTGAAAGGCCAGGATGGCGGAGGTGACAAGGAAACACGTGATACATCACAGTAAAAAGTAACAGTAAATATAAAGAACTGACACCGCAAAATCAGTCTGTCTGACAGATGGCCTCTGTTGAAGAGGACGATGCCGATCTTCTTTAGCTAAAAATGGCTCCCTACAGCTAGGCCTCTTTAGGCCCTAGCCATTTAGCTACCCTTCACAGCACCAGTCCAATCCGGCCCACTTCAGTAGTCCTACATAATAAGGTTCATTAATCTGTCACTCTCTTCTAGTAACTCGCTAGTCTCTCGCTGTAACTTTATAGCGGTCTTTCTAGTTGGTTATTCAACTGCCGATTTATATTACTGAGTGTGCAAAGATGTATGATAGAGGATTGTGAGGGAACGATCATATAACTTTCATACTTTATAAATAGTCTCACTTTATGAATATTATGGAAATAGCTTAAGTCAGAGCTTTCCCTAGGAATCTCTTTCTCTCCTTATAAACAATCATTCTACCCAAGTCGCACTCGACTTCGTTCGTGCTCTTGTACCGTCACAAGGATATCGATGATGTCAACTTCCTCCTAGCTCAACAGAACTGCTAGCTTGGCTTGAATAACTCGAGGAGTATAGTATTCATATATTTCCAAGTTACTTATTTCCGTTCATCCCTCATGCCCTTCTACGGGCCCAAGGGCTTAACCAGTTTCTATTTATTGACTCCTGCTTACCAAATATTATATTATATTCAAGATAGATTCATCAATATATAAGCAAGTAACCTGTCCCGTTGCAAGCAGCGACTTATCTGCAGTCCGCACGAGCGAGAATCAAGGACATATCTGAAATACTTGGGCGAAGAGGATCGAGCAATCAATATTAGATAGGGCGACAACAATGTCGCATGGCTGTTCAGCTTGCGTTCGCTGCTTTGCGTTATTTCAAGCCTCTTGTGGCTGTGTGGCTTGGACCCATGAAGTTCAAGCTAGTGCAGTACAGTAAAAGCAAAGGCCACCCACTATGTGATACACCGTGTGATGGCCCAATACGGAAGGAAGAGTGGTCTGTGCTTTTGTAGGGTCTGGCCGAGCCCAGCCAGTAAGTCTTTTCTTCCGTCTCTCGACGAATCCTCCAGGCGCAGCCACCTTGCGGTCCCTTAAGGAACCTTTCGGAACTTACTTCGTAGTTCCTCCAGGCAAACGCTAAATGTTAGCACTTTCGGTTATACAGTATAGTGTAACACTCGCTTGTTTGTAACACTCGCTTATCACGTACGTTATAGTAAATACACACAAAGGTAGAAGGGGTGCCGAGCGGGTATTTCGGCACTATCGTATCTGGCCACTAAAGATCTCAGTCAAATCAGTTCTTAATATAACAAAATTAGGCTCATGAAAACGAAAATGAAAAGATCAGTTGAATGACATCAAGAAGTGATATCAAAGAGGTTAAATTAAGTATGAAAAAGGATATAATGAACACTAAAGTCCCGGGAAACCTGCGTCCTTGTTATATGTTAATATAGGCAGCTATATAGCCTTTCTAATCCAGCCAAGACCTTACTACTACTGCTGCTGCTGCTGCAGTACGTACCCGTGCTGGTAATTGTTGAGGGTGTCACGTGCAAGAAAGGGTCTTCTAAGACTGCGCCCGACAACAGTAAAGCCTTTAAGGGGCGGAATTTTACACACAACACAACATGAATATACAAATCTGCACTAATAGACCGCATACGCGTAATTTCTAACAAGAGGCACTTCCGTCACGCATTTGCATTACTCGCATTAATAATCACAGTGCCCGCAATATCCACATTCCTTGTCGCAGGCCGTGAAGTCTTTCGGGGATTCATATCCGTAATAGTAATCGCTATCGTCAGAACCGTAATCGTGAAAAACTCCAACGGCCATATTTCGATGTTTCATCCATAACTCGTTTTCTTCTTTGTCCTGCCACCATCAATCAGCCGTACTGTTTCGTACGTACAGGTGTCACAATATGACTCACTTTCTCGACAGAGGCTTCATGGACCAAGTCGTTGTTTTGATTACTTGGGTCTTGTCGCAGCTCATCATCCTTGTCCCAGCATTGCTGGAGAAGGTCCTCGCCAGGGCTACACTCAAACACGCGCGTAATGTCGTCTCTAAATTTGCACACCCAAGGTACTGAACGACCATCTTCACGAACGGAGTTTTCTATGTGCTTGATGAGCCTCGGATTTTGATTTGCCTTCTTTGTAGACAGGCTGTTCGACCTGGCAGAGGCATCGAAACCCACTTTCGAAATATGCACAAGTACACGGGAGATAAGCTCAAGGCGGTGCTGTCTTTTTGCGATAAGCAAGGATTTCAAGATCCAACCAAGGTACCACTTCCTGCCAATGGTAGTAAGGCTATCCCGCAACTCCCAAAGCTGGGTGGATTTAGCGGTGATTACTGTGAATTTTTATCTATCGATAAGTCAAAGCTCAGGCGCCATTGTAGCCTAGTCCTACATACCAAAATCAACTTTAGTAGAGTTGATTATTTCGCCCCGCTTTGCAGGGGGTAGGGTTGATTTATGCAGGGGGGTAGAGTTGAATTTCCGAAGCCACTCGGCAGGGAGCGCGATGATCAGGGCCGGGGATAGAATTGGTTTTTGCCAGGGGTAAAGGTGTTTTTATGATTGGCTATGAAGCTTGCTATCTAATGAGGCGCGCCATACGCGAGGAACGTCAGCACGCGTTGCGTAAGGTAGGAGCTAGTTATAATTAGCGTTTAGGGGGGGGCGCACTGCAATTCTTAAGAAGTTAGAATTTTAACTGCGGCACTTCAACTTTTCGATCACTACTGTATCAAGACCATGAGTTCTACCATAGAATCAAGCTTGTCTGATGTAATCTACCCTTTCGTTCTGCTTCCTCTATATAAAATCCTTATATGCCAGGTGTGTCAGTTCGGGTGCGTTGCTGATGAAGTTGCCATTGACAGAAGCATCACCCACGGCAGCGACCTTTCTACATCACCCGTACGCATCTACCAACATCAGGTTCAACGAGCCTTGTTCAATCACACGGCAGCCGACCTTCTTAACCTGAAGACGAAATCAATCAATCTCTACTTCACGAGAGAAGAGTTGCAGTTTAGATTCGATTCATACCCGTTACGATATGCCTGCCCCACCAATCAGGATAGATCGAAGTGGGGCGCCGCGGATTAGTATTCATCCGAGGTGCTTCGGCTGATCCCGGTTCTCCTTCCAGACGCTCTCATGGTTCTTCGCCTTGCTCAACCAGCCGGCTAGCCTTCACACGTTCGTTTGTCTCTACTCTACCTACTGCACACAGATTCATCCGCCAATTATCTAACTAACCAATCAATCAAATTCGTCTGCACCGCCCGAGAAACATGAACGATGAGACCAGTCGGCGCACTCGCCATTTGCCGAAACGCGCTCGTGAGTCGTGGACGCGTCAAAGCCCCCAACGCTCGCGATCGCCACCGGCGAGAAGGAGAAAACGCTATCGCACGCAAGATGGATCGTCTACACTAGAAGAAGCAACAGCATCTGCCTGCATTCCTACGCAAGAAAAATTCCCATTTGACTACAAAGGGGCGCCTCGGTCTGAAGAGCAGTTCACAGGACCACTCCTTAGCTCGGCGAAGTCATCTTTGAGCACGATTACGGTCCACCAGCAGGAGTTGATCATCGATCTAATCCGGGAACGCGCAAAAGACACCGAGGGTAGTACTTGGAGGCTCGAAAAACGCCTTGACAACGCATACGCGACGTTAGAGTGGTGGGAGACAGTCGGGTGCGAGTTCTGCTTTGTCATGAATGGGAACGTGCAGCCGGGTCACGCAATGGAGAAATGTGACCGCTGGCACGGTTGCGACAAAGCAAGGTCGATTCTCAAATGGCTGGAGAGCCTCAATATTCCCAAGGTCTTGGAGGACCCTGGCTCCTGCAGTATGTGCACGCATATGTGGCTCCCGTGTGGAGATATTTGCCTGTCCCAGAGCATCCATGATGCAGGATCGAAACAGGAGAAGGCAAGACTGGCAAAGGAGCTTCAATCGCAGCCAAACTTCGATGGCCACTGCGAGCGAAAACCAATCATGAGGAGGGTTATCGCGGCTCTGTGCTCATATGACGACCAGTTCTTTGCCAAGATACTTGCCAAGTTAGCATCAGATAACGATGATGTGGACCTGTCACTCGAACGGAGCGCCCGAGCCTGGTTCGAGCATCGAATTCCCCACAAAGACAGTTGGATACCGAGGCTTCTCTTCATCTTCGAGGCATTGATAGTTGGCTTTTACGTCCGACAAAATTATCGGCTAGGATTGCCACCGTTCGATAACCTACCCCAAAACCCGCCTGGGGCTTGTCGGAGTAGCGTAGCCCCAACCAGGCTTGAAGCACCTGGATCGACCCCCAATCGGCCTGATGGAGACATTGTGGTGAAGAGGTGGGCAGCAACCATCGACTGGTGGTGGCGGAAATGCAGCTACTGCATTGGGAGCGGACGCAAGGGCGAAGCCGTCCTTCATGACCTGCGCGAATGCGCATACGGTGGTGCCGAAGCAATAGAAACCGAGTTCGGCAACGCCATCTATGCAGAAGAAAGAGCCCCGGGCACTGCATGCTACCGCTGTTACCTGCCTAGGCAGCTCTGTGGCAAATGGTCGAAAACTAGCGGTGGTGGTTGGATCGAGAGGGACAAATCGGAGTGGACTTGCCGATATGGAAAGCACCTGCTCCGTGATACGATCGTCGGGCTCTACCAATCCCATGCTGTGACGTTCATGAACGATATGCGGAATGTGGCGGCGCAATGGTACGAGAACGAGCATATGGCGCTAAGCCCAGTAGTCGACGACGAGATGGTGGCAGACTTCCTCCTTCAAGGGTTCACAAACCGAGGCGTCGGAGGCATTGAGATGATGCGACAGCTTGCGCTCTGGTCAAGGACGGTCTGGTATCATAAATTGGCTGATGAACTCTTGCTTCCAGACGATGACGACGGTGGTCACCAGAGCCAATTGTCCAATACCGACATCTTCGGCCTGCATCCTTCAGCCCGGTCGAATCGGCCTGCCCGCTTACGACGCTGCGAATCTGTGAGCCTAGAGGTACGATCGGCCCGAGCTCGTTGCTCTGTTCAAGAGAAACTAGATGGTTCATTAATCCATCGGTATCACCGCCGTTTATTGAACCCGTATAAGCCATCAGGGTCAGCCAGGCCTATCAGCACATGGTCGAAGGAAGACATATCACTGTGGTGCGAGAGGAGACACTGGGAATATCCGAATCCAAACTGTTGGCGCGAGAACTGGAGGGATGATCAGAACAACGATCTTGTCAACGAGGAGAAGGTTCAGAAGCAACTAGAGCGATGGTCTGTCCGATGTCCGCTCTGCCTTCTCTACCGAGATCCCGCCTGCGATGAGCATCCCCTTTCAACATGCCCCCGAGTCGAAGGATGTCGGGCACGCTCCATTCGCGCTCGTCTCTGGGAGAGGATAGTAGAGCTTCAGGCAAATGGGATACAGGGATACGGCCCGGTTCCTTGGTGCGGAGACTGTGGTCTGCCCCGGTCTTGCTGCCCTGCTTGGGTAAACCAAAGCGCAACAGACACGGCCTCCGAGTGGGACGCGCCCCCGTGGGGAGGAGATGAGTATGCCTGTCAATCATCGCTCGCGCGAGAGTGGCGGCGGCAGGATGGGAGCCGATGCGAGTTCCGTGAAGTCGTTGTTAACGCAGTCTCGGCCATGTGTGTATTCTCCCTTTCAGGTGGCCCTGGCACTGACACGGACACGTTCTGGGACCAGATTGAGGCCTGGCATAGCCAGAGCGATATCCGCTTCAACCAGCATTGGGGGACAGAGGGGTGGCTCCTCTCTCCGATGCCGTGGGGTAGGCAAGACGTCATGGTCATGTTGTGCATCTTCTGTCGGTTGGATGTAGTTGTGGAAGATCTATGGATCGAGAAGGAAGTCGACCGGCGTCGAGCCGAATTGCATCTCCCGAGCCCCGAAGTGAATTATATCATCATCAAACAACAACGCCAACCCCAACTCGATCCCCAGAAGGGCAAGACGGTAGCGAAAAGAGATGCCCCAGATGAGGATGCTATGTCCTTGCAGCGCTCCAACATCCAAGGGGCACTCGATATGGCAGAGTATGAGGGAGAGCGCTCATCTGGGTATTGGGGGGACACCGCCTACTTATCCGCCCTGGGAGCGCGTGTGCGAGCATGGCGTAGGGGCGGAATCCGCTGTCAACTATGTTTGACGTACGAATGGAGCGAGACTTGCTATCTCCATGATATGGAAGCGTGTACGTTGCACAGCGAATCCAAGCCGGCGATGACGCTGCTGAACAGGTGGTCGGGAATTCGGGGGGCTGAAAAGGGGGAGGGGAAGCAATGTTTGCGATGTCGTTTCCCGAATGTAGTATGTCGCCCTATTAAGTATGAGGACGCCGATGACAACAGGGGAAGCGCTGCGGGAGAGGGCAGTGTGAGCTGTTGCGGGGTAGAAATATTATGTCGTACGGTTGCAGCATTGCTAACAGTAGCGGATGGCGTACTAGGGGATATGGTTATCCAAGAAGAAATGGGCAAGGAAAAGTGGGATAAAGACTATGATCGGTTATCGCGGGAGTGGATGGGGGAACAGGTCCGTATTGGGAACTCTACTGCTCCACGGATCGTTCGAATATTCCAACGGCTCTTAGATGGATTCAACGGATTAAACCGGACCGTGTGGAAGAAACGAGTTTAATCATACATAGATGGTTATAATTCTTGATTCGACACCACTGGCTCCGACTTATCGGAGGTGCTTCTGTGGCACCAGCCGAAGCTATAAATCACGACCGGGGAAGTCAAGTCAGAGAGGATTGGGTGCTGGCCTATCATTTCCACAGAGCAAAATCGAATCCTGTAGAACTAATTTATTTCGCTTCACATTAAAGAGGTAGAGTTGGCGATGCTTTGCAACCCCATTGACGAGCCACGACTTATCTTCGTCTGCGCGAATACCCGCAAACAAGGGTTCATCAACTCTGTTCATTCCAGGCTACGATGGCGGCGATGACAAAAGCCACGTCCTGTTTGTTATCGCTAAGGGCACTCGACGACGAAGACATCGACTACGCAACAGCCCACACCGCGTGCGGCATTTTAGCTGCAAATCAGTGGGATGGCATCTTTTCTCGAGATAGATACGGGACCCAAAAGGTTGAGAGACCTCAAGATGGGGGTCCCACGCGATAACCGATACTTCTATCACCTCCCTCCAGCCTCTACAGACGAACCGTATCCTATCCTCGCTCGTTTCAACGACTAGCGCTTCCCTCACAATGCCTTGCCTCCCTTATGGACCAGGCTCCAACGGGATCTGTCCTTGGGTGTTAAGTCAGCGAGTCGGTATCAATAACGGCCATTGGTCGCTCAGCAACTATGCCGACGGGGTGTTATCAGCCCATCTGGTTCTATCTGCATAGTCGAACTGGTGGTCAAGAAATCACATGGCAAGGTAAGAGAATTATAGCGTAACCTTTCTCTGAACTGAGGTCTTGGTTTAAAGTCGAAACTGACACTCGCTATAGCATGGACGGAAACGGAGAGACGAACTTGTTCTCTACGAACCCGACGAACGCCGCAGCCAACTATATTCCACTACGCAACGATATCTATAAGATATTTAACGAGCGCCACTTCTGCCTAGTGTTAAAGGAGCCACGCTCGAATAAGTTCGCCAATAAGGGCGAAAGGGTGGTAGTCCTGAGACAATTAGAAGCCGAGTCAACTTCACCTAAAGGCGATAATTGCCGAACGGGTGAGCTTATGAATGACAATATCCCACCCAATACAGCCTCTCAGGCTAGACCTTACCTTATCGCTCACGTCTTCAACTCTACGCCGAGCGGACAGCTTCCGAGGCTATGGCATAACCGGCGAGTCCACACCCTACCATCGACAATACCAGCTGAGTGCCTCTTTGCCCGATTTACCTGGACTGTTTTCTCGCCAACTATCTTCCGCGACTTTCTTTACGCAACAGAGGCATTATCTAATCTCGTATGGGACCCTAGCAAATCTGAGCATGAGGTGCAAGAGGCTAGCCCAGAAAGATATCGGGCCATATATACTGCTTCAAGGTCTTTAAGTGAAAGTCCGACGAAGAGATCTTGGATTGATATCGATAGGCAACAGGAAGAAGACAACAGACGGCCAAAGGAGGACGAGTAGACAAGGGAGTGGAGCGATAGCGATGAGTAAGATGGAGACAGTGGATATCAAGATAGCATACGGCCGCCTGGGGAAGCGTCATCAGAGACAGGTTGAAATCTAGTACTGCTTGGGATGGGTTGTTGGAGTTGGATCCAGACCTGCCTCGCTGAGGAGTGCTCGCAATCTCTTGGGTTGGTCGATGGAGAAAGTCAAGGTGTATTTATGAGAGCCCTCTAGTCCGGCGTTCCCCGTGGGAGCTGCCACTCCCCACGGGGGATAAGACGAGATAGAGTTCCCCTCAAGTTACTGTGCGTAGCTGCGATACGGGCTCTGCTCTAGGGCAAACCACCCCTTCTTCCGTTATAGGGTTGCTTACGGCCGAGAGCCAGGTGGCTTATAACGCCTGAGGCGGTTGCGTCGGCCCGGTCCATAGCCTGGCTTGTGTTGCGTGGTGGCCCTAGTCCTACAGTCCAAAATCAACTCTAGTAGAGTTGATTTTATTGACCCACTTTAAACCTAGTAGGGTTGATTATTGCCAGGGTGTAGAGTTGATTTGACATTGTTCTATATACAGGAATAGTACCGGTAATGCAAATCCTATTCGAGCTTTCATAGCCTGAAGAGCTTTACGAAACCGTTTGAGTTTGGGCTCAGATTTGGCCGAGGTCGCCAACCCGGCATTGCGATATTGTCGAGCAGCTACGATCCAAGCGTCGAGCAACGAAATCGGGCATGTCAGTCCCTCCAAGTTTGGCTCGCTGAACAGCCCGCCGTCCCGCTTCGATGCTGTCGAGAAGAGATCTTTGTTCACGTTGTATCGTTGGGCGTAAGCGATGCCTCCCTTGCGCAGTGGGTGGGAGCGGCGAGTCTCCATTCTGGCGCTTCCAGCTTGGCTGGTGAGATTCCAGTTAAAATGTTCGGAGGACATCAATGGTTGATCAGTACTGTTTCTCATCGTATGTGCCCATGACTTTAAACATCTACTTTTGAACAGAAACGTGCACTTTTCCGAAAATGCAGTATCCTCGATACCAACATCCACCCATGTGTTGGACAAATTAGCCTTTGACCAGTCTAGGAGTTGCTGGAGGTGATTCACGACCTGAGGGCGGCATCGCTGGAGCGTTGGTGATTTAGCTTCCAACTTGATGTTTTTCGCACTGAGCACAATGAACATTCCGCGGAATATAGCATGTTCGGGTCTCTCAGTGTGCTGATTCCTATAGTGCCAGACTTGCTGCAAGTATTCGTGCGGAAGGTAGTGGTGCATATCCATCTTGTTATGAACCATCCCCCCGCAGGTTTCCCTTTTGCGACTGTAAGCCTTGCTCTCCACGCCGTCGAATGAACGAGGATGGTGCTGTGTCACGTCAGGTGGGCAACAGTGGCGGATGGCGGGTAGGAGAAGCTCGTTGATCCACGTTCGCCTTTCACTGCTGGTAAGGTAGGTAGTTGTTCGGCGTATGTGGGAAATCCCAAGGAAAAAAACATATGCGCCAAACTGAGGAGACTGTCTTCCATTATCTCATCGGAGATGAGGAATGATATGAAGTGGTATTCCTTGATGAAAGACGTGCATACTGCTTTCGAAATTTCTAGAAATCGGTGGATGATACGACACGTATAGTCCACGGTTGACTGATAAGCACGAAGCCCAAGAAATAATGCTGTCCACGTCCCAAGTACGTTGAATGTCCGGGGTGCTTCTCTGGGATACCTGAATGTCAAGTTTTGGACAGCTCCCTCCACCACTTAATATCGAGGACCAATTCAAGTGAGCAAGGTCGTTTGCATCTGCCTCAGCACGAGGTGACGCGTTACCGATTGAGTCTGGGACTTCAAGATTCCTCCAGTAATCGGCTATATCCAACAGGCCACGTCCTTGCTGCTCATCCTGGCTGGTCTGTTCTGCATCATTTTCCTCTCCTTCTTTTTCGCAACGACATGCGCGTTCCCAGGTTCTCTCCAAGAAACGCTTGGCCAAATAGACATCTGATTCCACAGATGCTCTTGTAGCATCATCGTCATCAGGATCCATCTCGCTTTCGGTATCCAGGACGTCCGAGTCAGAGCTGGCGCCAGATTCTCAGACATCTTCGAGTTGGGACTCAAAATCAGGCATTGCCCCCTCTTCAGTTTCTCCTTCATTATCCCTCTTGTCTCCATCATCTCGTACCTCATACAAGTTGTCTTGAAATGCTGACTTTGGGCTTGTGGTGATACTACTTCTTTCATACGACATATCCGGCGTCCTTGGGACCTCTGAAGAATTTGACGGATCGTCGACGCAACGGAGCTCAACATCCGAGTCTTCATGTATGCCATTGTCTCTAGCAGCACGGTCCGTATCACCATCCAGGCTCAGGTCAGAGTATAGAGGTGACGGCGCTCCTTCTAGACTACAAAGTGGGCCTGGGCCTGATTCCGTCAGTGAGTCAACCCTGTGGCGTGATCCAGATGCTGTACGAACGGTGATGCCCGATCGCCCCCTAGTGTCGATCGTCAAGATGATCCACTTCTGCTACAGTCATATGGCAATATGGGGGATCAGGATGACGGGATATTAAGAGAACAAAAGTGTTTCAGAAAAATACAAAAATGATACAGAACTTAAAGCAACAGATTCATAGCTAGATGAGCTTGATCCCATATTTTTTACTACCTGGTGGCATGAGTTATTGTAGTTTAAAATAATTGTTGGGTTAAAGGTCGAGGAAATGCTCGCTGACATAAGAAAGTCTTGGCTCGGGACCCAATAGGCCCACGGGTACCCGTCGCTATAAGGTTTTCCAAACTTTCCAGAATATCTTACCTAAATTTACGAATAAAACTATGAAAACATTTCTATAAGTAGATGATGGCATTTTGAATATATCCGAAGCTTTCTCTCGGTTTAAATCATTTATTGTAATTTGTTTGGATTTTTTACAACGTACAGAATTTTATTCCCACGGGTACCCGTAACCAGAAGCGAGATTCTTATGTAAGCGCAACTTTTGAGATGTTTTAGTTCTCCGAATTCTATATATTATTCTGTAAAACTATCTTAGAGACTTGAAGTACGATCAAAAGATACTGTAGGCGTTTTTTTTTACATTTTCAAGATCTTTCTTTGTGTTGTAAAATGAAGAATCATAAAAATTTTTATTGCGACGGGTACCCGTGGGCCTATTGGGTCCCTCTTGGCTCAGAATAATTCCTAATAGGAAAGGCGTCGGCCCAATGTAACGTCTTGGCTCAGAAAAATTCAAAAATGGAATAGCTCCGTCTCTGTTCCCGTATCTTATCTTATCGAGTTAAAATCCAGTAGACAAATCCGACTTCAGGTTCAGAGCCACTAGGGAATTTTTCAGCCAAATTAAATTACGATTTCTTCTTTAGGGCTTGAATTAGCATTCCAAGCCAAGTTTTATTCAATTTCGATTAGCATTGCAGTCATGGCATATCGTATAATATTGCTAAGATTGGACTCTTGATCAAGCGTTACATTTCCTACTATGGACTAGCGCATTTCAGCAGTCAGCTTAGTCACACTTGCCGTGTCACATGCCAATGCTCAACCTACAAGTAATTTGGAAACCCACTGTGATTGATAAGCGAGCGGATCAGCTTAACCTACACCTGAGAGGTAGTTTTTAAAAGCTTATATAAAAGTCAAGCTAAGCTTAGAATAGCTAAAATGTGAAAGTTTTACAGTCACCAAAGCATGTAATAAAGCTATATACCTGGTGAGATGATTATATAGCAATATCAGAAAATCATTTATCCTGGCCCGGATTAAATTATCTACCGATGGAGGCAATATGTTCATGTTCAAGCGGACTTTGAGTTCTACAGCAGCACCTCCAAGGGAGCTATCCAGGGTTATGGATATGAGTTTCACAAGAGTGTGTTCAAAATGTACACATAATTCCTTTCCAAGACACTGACGTAAATCAGACGATGAATACGGCCCCCGTATTCTTCGATTCGCCGACGTCAAGAGCTTCTCCATCCACGACGTTGCTCTCGTCGATTGTGAGTATCACCGCCCCTCCCTCAATCAGCGATAATATTAACAGATCCAGGTGCCCGCATTCCACTTCTCTATAGATACCTGCTCCGACAGTGAAGTGTACAACATGGTCATTCACGGAGGTAACCGAGGTAGTCTCGATGGTATCAACGTCTGGGGAACCAACATCCAGTAAGTCCTCTTTACACTTCTTAGGTCGTGACTCAAGCTAACTTTCTTTTAGTATCCACGATGTTGAAGTCAGCAACAAGGACGAGTGCGTCACCGTCAAGAACCCCTTCGACCACCTCTTGATCGAAAACATCTTCTGCAACTGGTCTGGCGGTTGTGCCATGGGCTCCCTGGCCACCGACATTGGTAACCATTACTCCCATCTCACTTACCCAATCAATGCTAATATGAACTAGATATTCACGATATCGAGTACAACAACATCTACACCCAGCGTTCCAACCAGATGTACATGTTCAAGTCTTACGGCGGCAGCGGCACTGTCAACAACGTTGCTCTCAAGAACTTCGCAGGCCACTCCAATACCTGCACGCTCGACCTCGATGCCCAGTGGAGTCCGTGAAGCCCATCGCTGGCGATGGCATTCTCTACACCAACATGATCTTCTCCGGCTGGTCCGGAATCTGTGCCGACGGCCATCAGAGAGGACCCATCAAGTTCAACTGCCCCGCTGATATCCCGTGCACTGACATGCAGGTCGATGACTTTACTGTTGAGAGCAACAAGGGCGATACTGTTGAGCACGTGTGCAAGAACGCTTATGGCTCTGGGGCTTGTCTCAAGAAGGGCGATGGTGATGCTTACACAACGACGCAGACTGTCGACGGTGCCAGCGCTGCCACTCCGACAATGGATGGAGAGATTGAGAATGGTCTTGGTCTTACTGTGGCTATTGCGATCCCTACCATCAGAGCCTCCTTCTTCCCCGGTGTCGCTGCCATCAGTCCCCGCATGGCCGACGCCGCCAAGGCTCAGGATACCGCTCGTGTAGAGACTTCCGTCCCCGCTGAGGCTGAGACCACTGCTGACACTTATGCTGCAGCTGATATAACTGTCCCTATCAACGTTGCTGGATCATCTTCCACCTCTGCTGTGACCGACGAGGTTACACTTGTTGCCACTCCTACGGCCTCCGTCGACGAGCCGAGCAGCCTCCTCCCCGAGGAAAGCTCTACTCTTGAGACTGCTGTAAAGGCTTCCAAGACTGCAAAGGCCGCTGCTAAAACAACTGATGCGCTGCCAAGGACTTCCTCTTGCAAGGCAAAGAGACGCCGAAGCCTTCAATCTAAGCATTTGTAACCTTTGTCCTGGGGCTGAAACCGGGCGCTAGATTCTGCCAGGTTTGATATAAGACTTGTCGTTGGAGAGATTGAGAAAGTACCTTAGCTCTCAAGATGGAGATTACGGACATCTAATCTTAAGTTAAGGTCAAAGTTATATGTATATTATTCTATTTTCTTATATATATACTATATGCAATAAATATTTAGATAACCAATAAGTAACCCCCTCGATGATCATGTTGGTGGCTGAATACCTATATGCAGTGTCATGTAATGCGGGGTACCTACGATGATCAACAATATTCTTTCACCTGTCAACGACGCTTTCACGCAATTGTGACAATCGGTTTGACCTAAACATGGATAACGCAACAGACACGTCGACAGACAAAAGTAGGGAAATTGTTTCAGATGGCAATATTCTTCTAGTCGTCGGACCAGACAAGACAAGACTTCGTGTCAAATCTATGTTATTGATGGCAGCCTCAAACCCCTTCTCCACCATGCTCGGGCCAAACTGGAAAGAAGGGCATGACATGCGACATCATCATGGCCCTTTTGAGGTATCGCTGCCGGATGACAATGCTACTGCACTGGAAATCATATGTTCTATTATCCACTTCCAGAACGATAAGGTCCCTCGGACCCTCGCTGCTGCAGATGTCCTCGCAGTTGCCGTCGCCGCAGATAAGTACGATTGCCTCAACGCCCTGAACTTTGCCAGCAAAACTTGGCTCCGAGAATGCAAAGGGAACCCGGAAGATCTGATGCTGCTGGCTACCGCGGCGTACCTCTTCCGGAATGCACAAGCGTTCAAAGAGCTCACATCAGCTTTGGTACTGAACCATCTTGGTTCTTATCTTGGTCTCGGTGGGAAGGAGGTTGAATCCGTTCTGCCGTGGGAGGTATTCTGTATGTGTTTCAACGAGCATCTGATCATATGACTGACATGCAAATGAATAGACTTGCTGGAAGAGCAAAGAGGTTTCGCGAGGCTGGAAATAGCAGAGATTCTTATAAACGGAGTGAACTCTGGGCGCTGTGATTATGGATGTGGATGGACAAGCACATATGCCCATGCATATATCAGCAAACTGGAAGAGGAGAATCTTTGGCCAGCAAATTTCTCCAATACCTCTATCTCAAATGCGCTACGTAGAGCAGAGATGATGCCTGATCCAGTCCCTAGCGAACGAACTACTACATGTAATAGCGCTCGGTGGCATCGTGTTCCAGAATATAGGACTAGTCGTAGCTTTAGGCTGGAGCGCTTAAACAAGAGTATCGGGGTTTGCCTTGAATGCGTTTGTGGAGGGAGCAGCACCAATGAATGTAAGCAGCCATCTCATAGTTCTCAGGACTAATTAGTATAGTTAGATATAAAGATTAATGGGTTAAGTTATATACAAGTGTGTAGTGGCAACCTTCATCTCGTGGCCAGTCCGCCCCTCACAGGTTGCACCAGCCGCAATTCTAAAGTTGTCGGAGGCTTATAGCTCCGCTAGCATTCGTCGGCCTAGCCAGACTAACACCAATGGGTAAAATAGGACATGCGAATCCGGCTCCCCCCAGGCTTGAGTTCTGGGAGGTGTTGGTGGAATTCGCGCGGGTAGTCGACAGAGGTATTTTATTTTGCCAAAATTCAACCACCACGATGCATCCCAGAATTCTTGCATCAAACGATAGAAGAAAGTACTCAAGTGATTTATATCCGTAAACCCATTTTTTATTCACCTCTGGCCAGAAAATATGTAAAAGAATGCATCCGAATTGGTGTCGAGACGGAAGCATGGTCCGAGCTCAAAGGGGAAGCCATACCTGCACGACCGATGGTGCACCTAAGATCACGTGACCTTCGCACCACCGGTCGTGCGAATAATATCCGTCATGTAAGAGGCATAGGTGGCCTTATGGAAAAGGGGTAAATTTGCACCCCAATTCAACGATCAACAGTTTCTGCAGCATCAATTCAACTTGCTGTGCCTTTCTTCTACTATAATGGACTCAATTGGCATTCACCGTCAATTCCCTGATGATGCTCTTCCTCCTGAAGGCCACTACAGCTCACGGGAGGAACTACGTTCAGCAATTAATGCTTGGGCAGCGCCACGAGGTTATGCCTTTGTGATCAAGAGATCTTCGAAGACTGCCAATGGAAGAACTCACGTTATCTTCAACTGTGACCGTGGAGCAGGGCGTATTCCCTCCCTTTCAGACCGTCGGCAAACTACAACACGTCGTACAGGATGCCTCTTCTCTGTATTAGCAAAGGAAAGCCTGTGTAAGACCATATGGAGTCTCAGGCATCGTCCCGGACCTCATTTCAGTCAGCACAATCATGAACCAAGCTTCAGTGAAGTGGCACATCCAACACTTCGTCAGCTATCACGCCAAGAGGAAATAACAGTCAATCAACTCACCAATGCCGGCATTGCGCCAAAGGAGATTGGATCCTTCTTACGCATTACCTCAAATACACTTGCTACGCAGCAGGATATCTACAATTGCATTGCGAAGGGCAGACGAGATCTCTCTAAGGGCCAGAGTAACATTCACGCCCTTGCAGACCAGCTCAATGACGAGGGCTTCTGGAATCGAATATGCCTTGATGAGAGCAGTAGAGTTACAGCAGTATTATTTGCACATCCGAAGTCACTGGAATACCTTAAAACATATCCTGAAGTGCTTATATTGGACTCTACATATAAGACCAATAGGTTCAAGATGCCTCTCCTTGATATAGTTGGAGTTGATGCTTGCCAACGGACCTTCTGTATTGCATTTGCATTCCTCAGTGGCGAGGAAGAGGGTGACTTTACCTGGGCTCTTCAAGCGTTACGATCTGTATATGAGGATCATAACATAGGCCTTCCATCTGTAATACTTACAGATCGGTGCCTCGCTTGTATGAATGCTGTTTCCTCCTGTTTCCCAGGTTCAGCCCTATTCTTATGCCTATGGCATATCAATAAAGCAGTTCAGAGCTATTGCAGGCCTGCATTTACTCGAGGTAAAGACAATCCTCAAGTTCTTGGAGGAGAGTCTGAAGAGTGGAAGGAGTTCTTTAACTTTTGGCATGAGATTGTAGCCTCAACGACTGAGGATATCTACAACGAGAGGCTTGAGAAGTTCAAGAAGCGTTATATCCCTGACTATATCAACGAGGTGGGCTACATCCTGGAAACCTGGCTAGATCTCTATAAGAAGAGCTTCGTCAAGGCTTGGGTCAACACTCACCTTCACTTCGAGCAATATGCTACATCACGGGTTGAGGGCATTCATTCGCTTATCAAATTACATTTAAACCACTCGCAAGTTGATCTCTTTGAGGCCTGGAGGATCATCAAGCTTGTTCTGATGAACCAGCTTAGTCAACTTGAGGCAAATCAAGCCAGGCAGCATATTGGCAACCCTATTCGCGAATCTAGGGTATTATACAGCAATATCCGTGGTTGGATATCACATGAAGCCCTGCGGAAGGTTGAGACTCAACGGGAACGACTATTGAAAGAGGTTCCTGTGTGTACAGGGGTATTCACTAGGACTCTTGGTCTGCCTTGTGCTCATAGCCTTCAGCCCTTACTGGAGCAGAATCAGCCCCTTCTACTGAATCATTTCCACTCACATTGGCATCTTCGACGCCCAGGAAGCCCCCAGTTCCTTATTGAGCCTCGTAAGCAGTTTGATCGTCTAACAGCTAGTTCAACGCTGCCACCAACAAGCACACAACGTGAGCCTTCCACGTTTGAGCGTATTGAGAAGGCACTACAACCAAAGGCACCGCCAAAGTGTTCAAGATGTCATCAGCAAGGCCACATGATGACCTCTAAAGCATGCCCCCTACGTTACAAGCATCTATTGCAGGCTCCTACCCAAACCTCTACGATACTGGCTCCTACTCAAGCCTCTACAACAACGCATACAATAACACATACAACAGCTCGCTCTGTAACCCGCTCACTATCCCCATCATCCTCATCAGGATCCTCTATAGTATCCGAGATTGTAGCCTATACAACAACACATACAACAACACATACAACAACTCGTGTACTATCTCCTCCAGCAGCCAGACCAGGAACTGTTCCTGCAGCAAATGCGATAGCAGTGCCCGCATTGCGAGCTGATGATCCCCGTGCCATCTTCCAACGATATAAAGAAGCACGAGAGGCCTGGTTTACTACATTGCCTCGGGGAGCCTATAAGACTAATCAACAATACCGTAGGGCTATGGGGCTGCCTCTACGTTATAGTAAAGTAGAGTATGACTGGTGCCTTGACTATAAGCAAATGGGGAGTCATTGCAAGGTGGGAAACGGCACTAGAGACTGGACTAAAGAGGAGATGATGAGTTATCTTGATTGGGATAGAGCTGAGAACGATCGGGTTGAACAGAACGTAGAGATAGAGATGGCAGAGCAGCCTTTCTCACGGCGGCGAGGTATGCAAGATATCTGGGATGCAGCCGAGAGAGATATTATGTTGCAAGAGAGTATATTTCAAGGGAGATAGCCTAGAGGTATGATCCCACGGTATTAACATTTGTAATACTAAGGGCATATGCAATTATAATATATTATTAGAAAGAGAAAGGAAAGGCAAATCTTCGAGTATAAGTGCGGTGATCTAATGGCTTAATTTAATAGAGTTATAATTGAGCTCATATATAGGGCTAAATGTTAATATATCTAACACACTCTACCCTCCCAATCATAGCAATTAATAAATAAGACTTACAAATCCTTCACGATGACTTCCGCTTTATCAATAATATGGTCCTCAACAAGGGAGTTAAGCAAGGCGGGGATAGCTTCCGCAGCGGCTATGGTGTTGTAATGAGGCATTGTACGTTCTTTATAGCCCTAAGATAGAGCAATGCGTTGCAGATAGATAATATAATATACATTAAACAGCTAAGCTTACAATGAACCATTATATTACTTCAATTCTATAAATAACAGCTATTTTCGTAGATAAAAGATGAATACACTTACCCACATATGTACACTCACCTATGCCTCTTACATGACGGATATTATTCGCACGACCGGTGGTGCGAAGGTCACGTGATCTTAGGTGCACCATCGGTCGTGCAGGTATGGCTTCCCAGCTCAAAGAGACTGCTTACGAAATATCGTTACAGCCCTGTCACTTATCGTTACACCCTAGTCGCTTTTGCGGGTGCAAAACCAATGAGAGGAGGGCTTGGAGCGGACGGTATCCCTGCTGGCTCCATAGCATCGTGATCTACTCCAGGAATGAGCCAATAGCGCCAGGGCTTGAGCCGGACGATATCCCCGTAGATTCCACAACGACGTCCTAAAACAGCTAGACTTTGTCTTGGGCCATGCTTGACTGAACACCAAAGAAGATATCCCAGTACCCGTTGGCTCGAGCCGGGGGGGGGCCAACTAAGCAAGCTTAGTTGGGCACAAAACCTTGAGACAGGCACAAAAGGTGAGACAGGAGGCCTTGATAAGATAAGAGAGAATAAATATAAATATAATAATAGGATAATAAATAAAATAGTTAAAAATCTAAAACAAGTATTTTTATATACTATAAGCTTTATAGAAAAATAAGAATTTTAGTTTTTAATTTTATTATATTATATAAGCTTTAAAATAAGACTTTTAAAATAAATATAATAATTTTTTAATAAATCTTTAATAATTAAAGAAAATATATAGAAATTAAAAGATACTTTTTATAATATTATTATATTATAAAAATCTTAAAAATAATAATATTTTTTTATTTATAATTTTATTTATATTTAAAAGATTATTTTTTAAGAAATATAATAATAATAATATATATGGCTTTATATATTAATTAGAGTTTTTTTAGAATTTTATTATTATATAATAATGTATATAATAAAATAAAAATACTTAAAGTATCTTAAAAGAGCTTATATAAGTCTTATAATTAAGCTTTTAAAATTTAAAAATAAAATTTATAATAAATTATTACTTTTTATATAAAGTAAATAGAGTTTTTTAACAATAAAATTTAATATATTTAAGTTATATATATAAAGTAAAAAAATCTATAAAAATTATAATAGTTATATATATAGCTTAAACTTAGGTTTTATTTCTTAGTAATGTTACGACCCATGCGGCTACGTCACGTGGCCCCCACAATTTCCACCAATCACAACAGGATCATCTCTCCCATTAACGATCCCATTCCATTGGATCACTTGGATCACGACGCTCCAAGATTGGATCACCATGGATCACCAGCGATCCCCAGCGATCCAACCCTCGGATCACTCTCATTCTTTACTGAGCCACAAGGCTACCCTTAGTATATAGAACACATTCATTAGCACTTTCATAGAACTTAGCTCACCAGCTATCAATAAGACTTCTTTACATCAATAAGCCTAACACGCATTACTTGATCATTAAGAGACGTGACACTTCGCACCGCTCAGCATCACGCCCTACGTTATCTGCCAACATAAACCTAGAACGGACTAGTTTATCCCTTGGAAACCACAACCGTCACAAGTAAATTCTTAAATTTTTAAAAAAAATTTCTTAAGGAATATATTAAAAACTAATTTATTTAATTCTATAAAAATACTATATAAATAAAAAAAATATCTTTAAATAGCCCTTTTTATAAAGAAATTTATAAAGTTTTATATAAATTGCTTATTAAGCTAGATCCTATATAATATTAATTTTAAGAATAATATTTCCTCTCACGTGACTTTTACACTCAAATTTTGGTGTGATCGATCTGTACCCCAATGACCCCACCCTAAACTTCATAAAGAGCATGTTGTTTTGGAGCGGAAGGTGCAAGTGCTCAATACTATATTTTAATTTATTAATTAACAAATTGCCCTGGCATTACGCGAAGCTGGCAGATTCTTCAGAGGCGGCTGTCCCCTATGCTGCTTTTAAAGAAGCAGGCTTTATAGTCCGATTTGCTACAGAACCTGAAAAGGCCCCGGAATATAATAAGAGGATAATGGAAGGCGTCACAGGGAAACTTTACACTTAGCTATTTAATAAGTAAATCTTTATTATAGCTCCCAAGCCTCAAGGCAGTGCAGCTCTCTTATATTAGACTTTAATTTATTCTTAATATTAATATCAAGGGTATAGCAGTTGTGGCTTATCTATAGCCTATCAGCTGCTGTTGTTGGTTGTTGTATCCGACCCTGATCTGCTATCTCCACACTACCTACAAGAAACCTGACAACGCTTTTTGACTTTTCCCAATCCCTCTCCACCTTTCTTAATTATCCATAAATCAAGCTGCAGCTAAAATGGCCAACTCTCCTTGGCCTTCAAACGCCATGACGGTGCCCGTCGCCGTTCCTTCTTATCTCCGTGATAGTGGGATTCCCCCGAAATTGTCTCAGGACCTTGCACCATGCGATATAGCGGCCCCCAAGACTGAGGTCATATGTATTGTCTGTCAAAAACCGGGATCGCTCAGATGTTCTGGCTGCCACGACGCCGAGTACTGCTCAGCCAACTGCCAACACAGTGATTGGGATATGCACAAACTGGTTTGCAAAAAGCTATCATCTTTTTCCAGCGAACCGCGACCATCAAAGGACCATTTCAGGGTAATGATATTTCCCTATCAGGCATCAAGTCCCGAGTTCTGCTGGGGAGTTTTCAAGAAAGACAAGCTTGGCTCTGATGAGCTCGTGATTATGCATTCGACTATCTACAGTTGGAAGGCAGCGATGAAGGGACGATATAGCGGTCCAGATAAATTTAATCTGATCGTTCGTGCCCTCAGCCGGGATAATGCTACGCAAGGAAAGACTCTCGGGCACGCGGTCAAAACTGCTTCCTGGGAGCCTTATCATGAATTGAAAGGCCACCTGGACGGTTTCAATGAGACAGTCCTTGCTCTAGCTGGCCCTTTGAGCCGTCGATTCTATGGTCCACTTGTGGCTTTTGCATATAATGTGGATAGTCAGTTTCATTTCGAAACTATGGACGACATATCAGCTGCTGACTTTGGAGCGTTGGTCGATGTCTTCCACAATTCGGACTGGAACCCGACCATCGCTCGTGTTGAGCGATATCCTGGAAAGACCATTTCGGCAATTTTCCTTCCCGACCCTTTCAATGTTCATCACATGGGTAGCCCTTATACAGAAACGATATCAGAGAGCCCTGAGCTCTCGATCCGTGGCATAATCGGCGCCCAGGATACAGTCGTTGAGGTGAATATTACTGCTGCACTCGACTCTAAACAGCTTTGCTCGCACGATTCATGCGACCTTGACGCTGTATCGATTAAACAGCTGTGTCTCAATGGGCGAATGTTTCATGCGGTGCTACTGGGGCCTCTCCTCTTAGACCTGCCCTGGATTGGCAGGATTGCTACAATCACTGTCGATCATGGTTCCTTTCCCATCTACCGCTGGCAAGAATCACGCTCCCGCTTTCTACGTCGGGGTGTTCTCCTTTGTTACAAATTGCTAGGTATCGAATTCGTGCGTCAGGGTGATGGAATCATGGTCTTCAATGCGTTTGGCGTCAAAATAAACCCACTCCATCTGATTGCTTACGACGAGTTTATGTTTCGCCAACTTCAGACTGACAAATCGAAACGCCAGCTTTCCAAGCTTGGCTTTCTCTCATTCTGGAACGACCTCAAGTCAGGCGAGGTCAAAATAACAAATGAGATCAAGAAGCATCAATATTCCCAGCTTAACTTTCTTGAATTTTGGGACGATTCCAAGGCGGGCGAGACCAACACAATGAATCACGTCGAACTCGACTTCTCTAAGGAGTCGTGTCCATATGACTGTCCTGCGGATGCAAAGTCTGTTCTGACTGAAGACGAAAGCCAAGTATTTCTCTATGTGAGGAAACTGTTCCGGGATCCAGGCTTTGTGAGAGCCAATCAGAGAGACTGGTTAGAGATACTCTATGATGCCAATGTGGTTGTACAAGACAGGAAATTGGGTCCAGCTTACTGGGCGGATGAACTGGATAAGTTCTTTACTAATTACTTAACCTCTTTAGTAAATGATTAATAAGTAAAAGGAAATACTAAGTAAATATTAAGAATTTACTTATTAAATCGCTAAGTGCTTCACACATCATGATCAGGACGTTCGGCGAGGCCATCAATAACGTTGCACAGAAGCTTTCTGGTTCTTGTCCCTCTACTCTTCTATTCTAGATCGTCACCTGCCCCTGTTCGTCGGTTGCCCCCCTACTCTTCTATTCCTAATTGTCGTGTACCCCTAATTGTCGCCTACCCCTGTTTATTTCTCACGTCTTTGTTTATCTCCCGTCTATTCCCATATGACCATACTATGGTAACTTATGTTTTCTCATTTCGATCGACAGTCTGCGGGCGCATTACTCACGCGTGTTTATGAGTGCACTCCAGGAGGGAATCAGCACTTAGGTTTTCAAGACCACAAACAAAATTTGTTTTCCTGTATAACTCTTTCCGAAAGCTTAACTATCACAAAGTATGAAGAAATATATTTTTTCATGATTGTGTCTGTATTTCTGTTGTAGCTACTTGTTAACCCAAGAAACATCGCCGTTACCGTTCGACCGTGACGATTTCTCTTTATGGATTAGCACAGTTTTTAGAGAACGTGATGATTCCCCAATTTGGCTAGCGTGGATAAACTGTCCCATATCGTCACAAGGTTTATGCGACTGGAAGTAAAACACCCCTGTGCTTTACGGTCGGGCATCTTGCTGCACTAGGGACTTTGTTCCTAGCGGAATAAACTTGAATAATGCCCGATTTGGAGACTGCCCTATGTCGCGGGTTTCCGATAGAAGTCTGTTTCACACCTGAGTTCCGGGCAGATCTTAATTGGGAGTTTCTCAAGTTCGCCAGCTTTGCTGAATCAGGCTTCATAGCATGCGCGTATAGCATCGGCAATGCGGCAGGTATCGGCTTACCTGGCGATGACATTGTTCGCAGCCGTATATTAACTTTGACTTTGACCATCAATCGACTCCATAGCATCGCTCTCAAAATCGCTATCGCCCTCCAGTCCAGGGTCGAACCACCGGTGCAAAGCGAGAAGACAGCAAAGTGCACCTCGCCTCCCCTCGCTAGACTGAATATTGAACCACCTAGTGCCATGCATATGGACAAATGTATCTTTGCCTGGATCAGATATAATATCTAGTTGTCCATTAAGCGTCGTCGCACTGAGATACTCAGCATAGTTGCAACCAAATTCGTAACGAATGAATCGTACAAAAGTCCCGACGGCAGCAACGACAAATATCCTATACGGCACAAATGTTCATCAGTAGTGGAGGCTTCAGAATAATATAAGGAGGGAGGCGTACCCGTCTCCCAAGAGTTGTTGGTTACTTCCCCATGTGATAACAGCCTCGCCGAGATACTGCGCTAGATATTCGTTTGACAGTACTGGGACATGCTTATTCTCCTTCTCATTGAACTCAATATCTTTGAAGACCCTCTTTGCTTCGAGCAAAGCTTGATAAGGATGCTCCACCTCCCAGAACCCATATCTTTTTCGCATTTTGCATATTCCCCCATCATCCTCGGCTTTAATGGTGACGAGATTGCTGAGTCTGTACTCAGTCTTTTTGCGCTCAACCCTGGGTCGTACTTCTGTGTCGCGCAAGTTATGTTGAAGCAGACATCGGAGAAGTGCGTGTTCTAAAAAACTTATCACAAGTCTTATAGTGACCTCTTCAGGTCTTGTCCGTCGTGCATCGTGTTCATCCTTGTCTATGTCCTCTCTTTCTAAACCCATCTCGAATTCATATTCAGATGAGGAAGGTATCGTAGGCGAGGACGAGCCGTGAATTACAGTTGATGAGTTCTGGTATCCTTCTTTTTGCACCATTCTTCTATCCCGCTGAGGGTGTAGTCTTGGTTCGACATCTCGGTCGTGCCGAATCGCACGAGCCAGATCTACCCAGAACTGACCAAGCGGCAAGCTCAAGAGCTCGCTGTCGGATTTGGTTGTTATGCCATCCGGATTGGAACCCACGAGAGACTGTACAATTCCCCAATCAAGGTTTTGATGAGTAAGCTCCGGATTACAAAGAGAGCAGGACTCGTTATGATCATTAAGACATGGCAATGTCTTCCATTCCAAAGGATTTATCAAGAGACGATAAGCGATAAGATGTCGAACATTCCACTTACTTGCAGAGCTGCGAAGCTCGTCAGTCGTAAGCTGCCAAAACACACGCAATCCTCCATGTGCATCAGAGATAGCTTGGTGATCTTCGCGGGAGCGAGGAGTGTATAAATGGTTCGGCATGATCAAGCGATTGGTGACTATAGAGTTCGTAAAGCTATTGCTATAGGTTCTTGTGCACCGCAGCTATATTTACTAAATCGAGTGTACAAGAGAGTATTAAAAGAGCCCTGCTTTTCTTCCTTACGAATGACAGTGAGCTAATTTAAACGGACGAACAGGAGGAGCACGAACAGGACCCCGCACTTCATTGAGGTCAGCCTGACCAATCACAAAATTGGTAAGACATCGAAGGCTCACTGACTAATGCTTCGCCCCGCTTGTGACAGAAGCGATATTTTTAGCCTTTGCAAGCCTGTCGCGCAATCAAACGCGTCTTCATCCTCATTTCAATATGGCAGTGCCGACACGGTCAACACAACGTCAAACCCCTACGAGCTCTACTATCTCCACAAAGAAGGATGACCATCTACCGGATAGTGTAGATGCGCTCTCGTTCACCCAAACGAGGAAGAGAAAAGCCGAAAAATCTCTTCCAAATCCTTCAAAACAAAGACATGTCTCCTGCAATGACCGCCCACGAATTCCACGCGACTTCCAAGCGCCATTTCAAGTCCCCAAGGAGAATGATAATGCGGGTGAGGAGCATGTCACGTCTTTCTCAAACCTAAGGCCCTCGATGTTGTCTCTACATGATCTGATTCGACGGCACCGACAACGTCTGTATGTTCATCCGTTGCAATGGACTTTACAGCACCTTGATCTTCTCGACTGTCAATTTGTTGATCAAAGCCAGGTGTCGAGGGTTCCTTTGAACGATGTCACCAATAGAAATTTACAGCAGAGCGTGCAGACTCAGAGAAATGCACCATCCCAAAATATCAAAAAGGCTTTAGTATCGTTGCGATCGCATTCCAACAACGACAAACTCCGGGGTTGGGCTATCGAAGATCTGATGGCTGCTTACGGCTTCCACCACCAACCTGGTCAAAATTCTCGTGAGGGTGATGCTCTACTACTCAGGTATGGCCCGCATGACGAAGTGCCGTTTCAAGTGGATGCATTCTCGCGTTCACACGCCTCCGTGGCTTATCTCGATCTTGACCGGATCGAATCACTTCGAGCCAACACAGTCTACACGAGGTCATATCGTAGACTATTTCAGAAATGGCCTAAAAACGAGCCCGTGAAAGCGATTCTCGAAGCAAAGTTACGCCAAATACGGCCTTCTGCAAGACAATATGATCCCTTCATTTTGGCGGTCCTGGTGGCTTTGGCACAGGAGAAACGGAGATCTTGTGCAACACACAACGCTACAAAGGCATCAACTTCCACGCTAGAGTTGGACGCAAGGACAAAATTATCACATACAACAGACCCTATAGCCTCTTTCACGCAGGTCAGTATATTACCCGAATGTAGCCTCTGTTACTAAACCCTCTCGCATCAGGTTCATGTGTTAGCCACGAGTACCAACAAATTAACACGCCTTTGGACATTTACTGCTCGTTTTCAAGCGTCATTTTTAAACAAGTTTGACGATCCATCTCAAGCCTTCCATGCTGATCCAGTGATCATATCGTGCTCGGAGATACCGCTTTCATCTGCTTCTGCAGCTACGGATATGTTGGACAAGGTCTTTGGAACTTCTGACCAAATCCAGTAGGCAAATTCGACTTAGGGTTCAAAGCCACCAGCACATTTTTCGGCCGAATTAAGGGCCATGACGAGACGCTGGCTTTTCTGCTGGAGAATGGAGCTGATCCAAACGCCCGGGACAGTGATGAGTTCACGCCTATTTTGCTGAGACGCTGTTATCAGACTCTTCAAGGAGCCTCAGTCCCACTGTCCATACTATTATTTGCTGAGTCGAGCTGTAATAATTACCCACGATACCCAACTTAAATAGCAGATAACAAGTGGTGCTTCAGCATATTGTCGTGATAGCTAGGGTGGTATGACTCTACGCACCTACCACCACCGTTTCTAGATATTCTAACTTCACTAACTTATAGTCTATAAATTCTTTTGCTCGAAGATTCTTCAGTCTTAGAAGCATATAAGTTTACGATGTTAATCTCATATGAACATTAAGTGCCCAAGTGGTTAGTAATCGCACTATATGAGCGGGTTTTTTATCGTTATCCTGATGAGTGGCCCTATTTTTAGCTAGATAGACTTTCCATTACTTACAGAAGATATTTACTAATTCATATATGTGAAAATCATTCCAAGCCGATTTATATTATTATAATAACCTTATGTAATGATATCGGCGGATGTGAAAGGTACTGAAAGCCGGGTTTCCGGGGATATGCTACCCTATAGCTAGAAACATGGCTTGACCTGCTTACAAAATTCGATGTAGAAACAGAGCGTATTAATTGGAATTTATTTGCGAAAAGTATGCTTACTGCCATTTTATCTACTGCTAGTCAATTTTTGGTAACATCGAGGCTTGATTTTTATCAAAATTCCGACCTTATTTCTTTCATTTTTAGCCGATTTGGTTTTCTGTACTCTTATAATTAGGGTCTCTAAATGTTAAGAACGTACCAATCTTTGCGTAGTGTATTCCAGCCTGAATAATCCTAAGTCTTGATCTGCATAACTTAAGACCAGACAGAGACCTTCAGGCAGATTGGCTGTTCATAATCACCGCGAGATCATCCTACTGCCCTATCACAGCTAATAAATCTAACCTGGGACGGAGAGAGTTTGCTAATGATCCGGCAAGAAAAAGGACATCGAGAAGCACTCTAGTTGGTGCATCTAACGATTCAAAATTAGCAGTCTTCAAAATGTGGCCTTCTATTTGAAGGTAGTTATTGGCTTGTTAGCTTGAGCACGGAAATATTAACCAATTAGACTGCAAAAGAAGCAGGACGAGGTAAATCAGCAGAAAAACATCCCTGTTATGCTATGCATACCAAACTTGATGGGTATTAGTCTGTGCTGTGGCGATCCCTTGAGTAGGGTTGAAGTGCTTTCCATGTTTCCTCATTTCCCTTCCTTTGCGAAAAGAGCAGCCACATTATGATTCGTCAAAATAGGATTGTGGTTGTATGGCTGCACCGGACATGGATGGAAAGGGAGATAGCTGCATATTTTCAACCCCCTGGAAAGCAAATAGCGGGTCGTGCCTACGTGTACCACTACAGTCATCCTTGAATTATGTTGTGTAACCCTCGGAAGCCATCAACTCCGTCTTGGCCCTGCTCTACGCCTCAGTATTATATTATTTTAGTCTAGATCGGCCCGCCCCGGTGTAGATCTCTGCAGCCGATGGAAGAGCTACGCTAGCTCCATGACGTGACGATGGACAACCTTGTTGCTAACCCCCACTGCTGCTGCGGTGGCCGTTTGGACGAAAACGCCTTTGTATTTGTTGAAAAGTGATCCGATTAGTATAGCTGCATACAACAGCTCGAATAATGGCAGGTGGCGATTCTGTTCACGTAGCTGACTGAGAGCCCCGTTGCATTTGTGATACCCCACCACGCAAGACACGCCGCTTTAGGCAAAGATCTGCGCCAAGTGATTAGGCACATGGGCTAATAGGGAAATGGGAGCAGCGTATTCGCGTTTACTTTTAAAAAATAAATTTAACGTGTTTGATAAGCGAGTTGACCAAACAAGCGAGTTGATCACTGCACTGTATAACTATAAACACCCTACCCTATAGCATTCTTAGGCTATAAATAAAATAGCTAAATGTCTGAAAAAAATATTTTTACTAATAGTATAACGTGGTTGATAAGCGAGTGAGTCAGACAAGCGAGTGAGTCAGCGCACTGTACAGCTAAAAATAGCCTACCCTATAGTGCCTAGCTACCTTAAATAAAATAGCTAAGAATCTAGAAAAACTGTTTTTACATAATATGTAGCTATTTATTTATAGAAATATTTTTTTTAAATTTTTAGCTATTTTATTTTATATAGAAAAGCTTATTTACACAGTGTAAGTAGTGTAAATAAGCTTTTTTTTTTTACTTATATAATAAATTAAATACAATTCTTTAATTTAGTAAGAAGCTTTTTTACATAGTTAAATATATAATATCTTAATTCTAGCTATTTTAGGCTTAGCTTGAATTTTATATAGGCTTTTTAAAAGTAGCTTTTAAGGTATAGGTTAAGCTGACTCACTTGCTTGTCTGACTCACTCGCTTATCAACCACGTTAGTTCAACTTATTAAATAGTAATTTTTAAAGATTTTTAGCTATTTTACTTTATATAGAAAAGCTTAATTATACAGTATAAAATACAGTATAAATAGGTTTTAAGGTCTATAGCTACATATAGTTTTTTAAAAGATCTCAGAAAATTAATATAGCTTATTTTAAGACTTATATAGAAGCTATAAAAATTATAGCTATTTTAAGCTTAACTTGGATTTTTAAAGATTATTTTAAAAACCGGATTTAAGGTGGAAATAAGAGTGATCAACTCACTTGTCTGGTCAACTCGCTTATCAAACACGTTATATTAAAAAAGACTTTAAAAGATATTTTAAATATTTAAATTATTAATAGATATTATAAGTATTATATATATAATACTATCATCTTAAGTAATACTAGGATAAAGTAATAAGTAATTACTTTTTAATATAAATTAATAAATATTAAAATTAAAAACCCTATTTAATTATTAATATTATTAGATATTTAAATATACCTTTTAAGGCTAATATGTAAATTAAAAAGAAATATAGATATATTTAATAGTAGTATTTAATTTTTATTAAAATAATTATAAAATTAAATTTATTAAATTTCTTTTTTATAAGTTTATTATTTAATAATATAAAGTGCTTAATTAAATAATATATTAACTTAAGTTAATAATATAATATTCTCTTTAGTAATTAACCAATAGTATCTTCTTATTAACTAAAAAGTAAATTAATAACTTCACTACTTATATCCCTATTAGGATTCTCCTTAGCTGCTATAAGTACCTCTGGTGTTGTAAAATGCGACTCTGGGTACTCACACAGAAGCAGCTCAAGAATGTCTCTTCCAGCCTGTGAATTTCGTGCAGCTGCTTCGACAACCCGGCCAGTACACCAAGAACGCGATTTGTCTTGCGTGCGGACAAGAAACTCGACAATCCCCCATCCGGAATGTTCGTTCTCCGCTGCAGCCTCCAAAGTCCGCTCAGTAACATGGATATACCGTCCATGACGTTCGAATAGTAAAGAGAGCATGTCTCGGTCAAATGACCTCGCAATGGCTTCTACTCCGCTCGCAGTGACGCGGGTCTTGTTGTTGCGTAGAAGCGTCTTCAATAGAGATTCCCCGTCCCCTAAAACGCCGCACTTCAAAGCGGCAGTGACCAGATCGGCTGTAATGCGAATACAATCGCAGTATCCGGCAAGCTTCTTCAGGGTTTCCTCTGCCCGGTACGCATCCTTGCTCCCGGCGAATGCGATCCAGAAATCGTCCGAGAGACAGACTTCACGGGGACGCATCTCGAAGAGCATACTCACCTTGTCGCAGACCCAGTAGGTGGTTGCAACAGCTTCCATCACTTTTGTTGTTATACGAACTGAATTACCCCATCGCTTTAACATAGCCTGGAGTTCCATCCCCGTCGAGTTTCCAGCTGCGATCTCAACCGCCTTCTGTGTGAATTCGACGTCGTCGCCATAATTGTCGTAGAGCCAATGTAGAGACTGGACATTGGATGCTGCAGCTTGGAGAATGTCGTCGGTAATGGGTGGGTATTCGCCCAAGACTTCGATGAGAACGGCCAAGGTCTTCGGGCCATTTTTTGCAGCTTGTTCAAGAACTCTCGTGGTTACTCTGATATCTTGCCGCGTCTCAAACAGAAGCCGTACTATTTCGGCAGGCATCAAGGCGGCAATCGCCTCTGCGTCTGTTTGAGCCACCCCGACTCTCTCAGTGTCGCCAATAAGGAGTTCCATTATCTGGTAGCCTTCTTTGTGAATGAGAGCTGCGCTGCGAACAACTGATTCTGAGATTTCAATCTGGAAGCCATGGGCAAGGAGCATTTGCGTTATTTCCTTTCCTGCAGACTCGTTACCGACAGCACCAGCTGCCTCTTGGGCTGATAAACGGCGAGGTTGCTCTTCATTTCTCAATATATGTGCCACAATCTCCGGATCGTCTATCTTCACAGCTTCCTCCAAAGGAGGTCCAATGACGTGAGTTTCATGTGGCTCTGCTAGGATCCGCTTGACGAACTCGACTAAGAGAGGGCGCGGGTACGGTGTCTGTAAAGTTAACCTAATCTCGCCTTTACATCTGGAAATGAAGAGGTCTAAGGTGTAAGGTTCGTACGAATCCCGTGCCGCTGCTACTACGGCCTTTTCTGTGATCAGAACTGTGGGGTCCTGATCAAGAAGAACTGCAACCAATTCGCTTGCCCAGCTTCTGTCCTCTGCAGCTGTTTCGATTGCTTCGGGGGGAACTCGCAACATGCTATCGTGGTTGAAAAGAGTTCTAAGGAGTTTACTCCCCGTGATTCCTTGCGCGGCAAGAATAACTGTCCTCTCATTTATTTTAACGGAGGGATTATGTTCGAACAGGCGCTGCACAATCTTGTCGGTACCACGGTAACCATCTCCTCCTGCAACTGCTTCTATCATCTTCTCAGTGATTGATATTTTCTCACCGAGTGAGTCTAGCAGGTCGGATATCAGGTCGAGCGTACCGCACGCCATAATTTGGACAAGTGCATCAGTCGTAAACGAAACTCGGTCCTTAAACTTGCCGTTCAAAAGATAGAAGATCGTATCACACATTCTAGATCTGACATTCTCCTCCATCCCTGGCGGCGGGTCTTTGGTAAGACTCGGAACTATGCGCGCCGTCATTTGGATCTCGTTTGTGCTCTTGTTGAGCAGCATGTCAATGATCTCGGTGATATGGTGCCAGTTGTCACTGACAGCCATTATTATCACGTCTGTGAGCTCTATTTGTTCAACGTGTTCGAACAGAAAGTCAATAACCAGCTTCCCGGTCATGTTATTACTGGCAGCAGCCACGATAATGTCTTCAGTCGCAAGCACTTTCCCTTGATGTTGAAAGAGGATGCCCGTTATTTTGTTTCCGTGGTTTTTGTTTCCCGCGGCGGACTCCCATATCCTCTCTGATTTTGGTATCTTCCCCGTACGGTCGATGAGAAGCTGTATCATCTTCCACCCGGTGTTTTCATTCCCTGCTGCTGCCACAGCGACGTCTTCCAACATTTTCACCTCATCCTTATAATCAAGTAACATCTCAAGAATGCATAATCCCTCTAGGTTGTGAGCAGCGGCGACCAGAGCCTTGTCGGTAATCTTGATGCCCGACCTGCTCCGCAAGACCCTCACCACCTCAACATCAAAAAGTGCAGCAATCACCTCCACAGCTTCAGTCCCAACAGATACGCCAGGATCGCAAAGCAGTTGCATCAAGATATCCCTCCCACATAGCCTATTCTCATACGGAGCAACAACTACAGAACTCGTGATCTTTATGGCCGCGCCACGTTCCTGTAAACTCGCCATTACCTCCATGCCATAGTTCTTATTCAAAAGCACCGCTTCGACAACTCGGCACGTTAGATGAACCTTGGGTCCCTGCGCATTGATTAGAAAATTCATCATTTCCGCATCCCAGGTTCTAGCTACATGCCGCACTGCATCAGCGCTGAAGACCAGGTTCGGTTGGCTCGAGAGCACTTGGCGGACGCGTTCTCGGTCCTTGGAATCCAATTGCGCGTTATCGACCATGCTGCAACCAAACTCATTGTAGTTCGCTTCGATAAAGGAGTCTAGGCTGTCGTTATCATCGCTTGAATGATCCGAATCGTGTTCGTCTTCATTTGATGATGAATATTTTGAGCGGGGGCTAGACGGCGTCGTCTGCCTTACCAGGCTTGCGATTGTATCTGGACCGTAAGCTGCATGGGCTGTCGAGATGCGCCTAACAGGCTTTTGCTTTAGAAATGAGCTGGGATCTATGGGCATGTCATGTGAGCGCTCGCTTACAGCGGGACCTTTGGCTTTAAGTCTTCGAAATATGCGTATTAATGACATCTTGCCTAGCCCACGATCGTCCTCGCGATCATGTTATGAAAATGTCTGGGACTGAGTGTGCGCGATGTTCTACGGTAGTTTTGTCACCAAAAGCTTGCAGCTCTCAGTGGTTGAATGAGCTGAAGCGCCGACACAGACGTGGCCGCCTCTCATTGGACTCCCTCATCGCCTTTGTATTGGGGTATGAAGCTGCTTCACAGTGAGCCAGATGCGTTATTTGCAATTGAGACCTGCGGCTGAAATCTTATACTCGCCCAGCGTAACTTTAATAACCCCTCAACCTTATAAACCTACATTCGGCACCGTCAGCGCGAAAGCGAAATAGATATCCAACTCACGCACACAGTAGGCTTTCACTTCCACGATGGATGCACCGGCACGAAACCAGGCAGTGGAGGGCTTCACCATCTACCACCTCCAAAATATGACCTCTACCGGACCTCGCACGCACAAACGACCACCATATGCATCACTCGCGATTCTTGACCCGATTATTACAATTGAACGGCGCCATGGAAAATACCACATCGCGGCGCGTTTCAACATTGAGACAGCGATCTTGGATTACGCGTCGCAGCGCAAGTTTGTTGCCCCTCATCTACATCTCTCCCTGCCCTACCACCTTGAGACAAACTGTCAGATATTAAGGTGAATCATGTGTATTTCTTTATTCTGTCGCAATCGAAGGACTATTGAGACCTTATATCTTCGACTGGTTCCTTCTAGGACTTGAGTCCTAGAAAGTCCTAGATGAAAGTCCTACGATCTAAGTTTAGGACTTCAAACTTTAATCCTGAACCTTAATCCTGAAGTTGAGGGTGAACCCTCCAACATTCAACAGATTGCCACAGATGACAGGCATCGAATGAGATGGGCCTACACATTCACGAGGAAGGGAATGGCTTCGGAAGTTCTAGGCCAGCTCATCTCCAAGATACGAACTCAGTATGGCATCCGAGTGTACGCAATCCAGATGGATGGCGGCTCTGAGCTCTATGGTGCGTCTCTCAAGAACCTCGAGTACACCCACGGCGTCAAGATCATCAAGACGACACCGTATACTCCTGAATTTAACGGAGTTGCTGAGCGCTCTAACCGCATCATCTTTGACAAAGTCAGAGCAACCATGGAATCGGAAAGAATCCCGATAGAGCTCTGGCCATTGGTCCTGGAAGATATGGTGCGCAAGACAAACGTGACAGCCACCAGGGCAATTGATGGCCTCACGCCCATGGAAAGCTTTCTCAATGAAGCCTTCCCCGGACAAGACAATAAGCCGGATCTCTCCGGAGAACGAATCTGTGGCTCCCAAGTCACGATACACATACCGCAGGAACGAAGATTGAGATCACACAAGTTTGGTCCAAGAGGAGAGGCTCAGGCTGGCGATCAATTCAATTCCATCAATTTCGTCCTCGCGTGGCGTTGCGTTGACAGCTTACTCAGCATTTGGTCCGTGGAGTTGAACCACTGCATCTCCAGGTTGAATTGATGGCGTTGAATTGAACATGTTGAACATCACACGCGCGTCGAGTCCCCCAATGCTCACTTCCCAGCGTCTAGGTCATCCTCCTCTGCCTCCCATATAACGCTATTTCCAACCTCTTCTGACACATCAATCAAGCTATCAGCCGCGTCGACTAGGCCATTCCGCACCCATGGCCTCAGTGTCTGTGCGATTCCTATCGTGCTAGCTTCCAATCGAGTCCGCAGCGGTGGCACCATTTGCTCAGCAACACCAAACAAACGCTCGCACTCTGCCGACATAGACGGTATTGGTAGTAGGTCAAGGGCCATTCGCGAAAGTCGAGGGTAGTCTCTCCGCCTCTCCCACCAATATTGGATGGGATCTGTCACAAGAGTGTCGTTCTTAGAGTCGGCACTCGACAGCCAGTGATCATACTCGTCTTGGCTCCTACTCCGTGGACTTTCCCAAGAACACCTGCCTGCCAGAGACGAAGTCCTGTGAGCTCAGTGCCTTTCGAGTGCACTCATTGCCTTCAAACGCTTGAATGGGGGTTCTTCATCCGAATTCGAAAGAGTCGGTAGTGATTTGTACTCTTCCTCCCACAATGTTTCTTGGGCGTGTCTTTTCCTGCTTTCCCTTCCAAAGAGCAGGTGGCTTCCTCCTCTCGGACTCGTCGACAAGTCTGTGCTCCCTGATCAGATGTTTCTCGATATTCTGTGTGCCAACCGCAGTGAAGCCTGTCACCTTGGACCTGACCCTCCGGAGACAATGCTTGCAAATCCATTTCCTCTTTGTGGGAGAGCCACGGGCTTGAATGTAAAAGCCGTGCTGCCAAACCCACGAGGTCTGCCTGCCAGCGCGTTCCGAAATCGAGAAACCCGGAAACTTATGCCATGCGAAGGCTTTCCAATCGTCTGGCGAAGCATCCAAGTTATTAGGTGAAGTACTAGGTGCGCTGCAGTCGGGACTCTGGCACTTGACAGCGTCCATTTGAAGATTTGGAAAGGAATGGAATGCAGGCAATGATCTTCCTGCAAGGGTAATAGGGCGCGACGACAGCTGAGACGCGTTCATAAACCCCTAATGCTAGGTGCAGTTGGCACGTGCATCAAAAATACGGGGCAAAAGTATTAGTAGGGATCTTGTGGACGCGTCTCATGGGACTACACGGATGGGGCGCTACCCTGAACCACTGCCATTATCGACAGTTTCAACCGATGGTCAACGTTGAAAGCATCTAGGTGGAATTGAATCAATCAATGTGAGCGTTAAATGGGATTGATTGAATTGATGCACGTGACTTCAACTTCCATAAAATTGACGGGATTGAGTTGATGGTTGAATTGATCGCCAGCCTGGAGAGGCTGGAATCTACCTATGCATGGAAGGTTCACAGATCTACACCTGCTGGGTGCCCTCTCGCAGAAAGGGACATCAGATCGTCCGCTCTGCAAATGTGAAATTCTACGAAAAGGTTAGGGAGACAGAACTCCTGACCGAAACTGAGCATGATGTTGAGCCGGAAATCCGCAAGAACGGAGCTCCCATCTCAAGCCGGCCACAGTCCGTCACGGAGCAGACAAAGACTCCAAGCCCACAAAGGTCTGAAGTGAACAATCTTCAGCATGGACAGACGACAACATCCATGACATCAGCTAAGCTGCCCGATCTCCGAAAAGAGGTGATCACTGAGCCCAAAACAATGACTGAAGCGCTTCAAGGTCCGCAAAGGGAGCATTGGCTCAGAGCAATACACAGTGAGCTGCGCAGCCTCCTCACGAAAGGAGCTTGGCGCATGCTGGACCGCAACCAAGCTCACAATAGGCCACTTACCGTCAAGTGGGTATTCAAGGTCAAGAAAAACGAGGACGGCAACCTGGACAAGTTCAAGGCGCGGCTGGTGGTCAGAGGCTTTGAATAACAGTTCGGCTTTGACTACAACCAGACCTTTGCCTCTGCTGCCAAAGCGGCGACTTGGAGAATCCTCCTCACCGTTGCTGCCTGTCTTGACTGGGAGATTGAGCAGATGGACGTGTCGACGGCGTTCCTGGAAGGGGACCTCGACGAAGAAGTCTTTATCGAAATGGCAGATTGAAGGGACTCGACCAACTGAGCAGCGTAGAACTCATAGCTACCTGCGATGTAGCGCATAACTGTACGTCGGGAGGTAATCAGACTATCCTCGATGGCAGGATTACATGCTAGTTCTAGGTCCTTTAGCTCATCCCATCCAACCATCGAAAAGACCACTCTGCGACGTGTGGGAAGGCTGATAAGAGCTTCGATGTAAGCCTGTCGATTGAAGGCATTCCGCAATGCCGCTTCGGATGGTGTAGTCGATTATGTGATATATACGTCGAGCGATTGCTGAGATTGATTCTGCCGGCTAGAGAGCCCCATCAGATATGGATGATTATTCCTCAGATGGCGCCGCGCATTGCCCTTATAGCCATCCTTCCATGGCTTCGCCGTACAGTACAAGCAGACATATAAAGTGCGAGCCTTCGCCTTCTCTCTGGTGAAAAATCTCTCAATATCGATGAAGTTGGGGGCGGAAGATGGTATCCTTGGTATGGACGAAGTTTCGGATGCCATGGCGATGGCTTGATGGTATAGATAATCAGTGATCGGAATGGTCTGGTATGAGTTGGTATTGGTATGGTAAATACCGCCAAGACTTGGTATGGTTTGAAGAAATCTCAATACCATGGTATTACCGGTATACCAAGTCATACCAGTAAGGCTAAAATGGGCTAAAAATAGGCCGAGTTGGTGGCGCTAGGCGGCTGGGTTATGGACCAAACTGGCTAGCGCCTCGAGGTTAAGAATTTTCTCGGCTTAGAACTTACAATCCTACAACACGTAGTTGGCCCATTTACGGTATTGAGGTATCACCTATGGAATCTCCAGTTCCAACCTCGCCGTCCTCTTTGGCTACAGGCTCAACGCCATTATCCTTCAAGACTCCTACACCGTCGCCTGCTCCCCTTCAGTATCCCGAGCCTCCGGACGAATTTGTACAAGACAACATCACGTACTTGAACCGCGAAAAGGCCACAAAGAAAGCAGCCCGTCTGGGCTCATCACATGTATAGTACACTTTCTTTCACCCTTCTATAGCTTTTCGACGTCATTCTTAAAAGTCTTGGCATCCTTAATGGTATTATTGGTCTTACCGGTAATACCATACCGGTTATTATGTAAGCATCTGGTATGGTTTGGTTTGACCCCCCATACCAGACCATACCAGACCATTCCGATCACTGTAGATAATGGATCGAGGCGATGAAGAGTCTGCCGATAAGTCGTCCTAGAAACTGCCGTAGCTACTGGGAAGACTTTTTTGTTTTTTACCTTGAAATTCTTGTCAATCTCTGATGGATCTCGATCATAGGGATAGAAGCCCTTGATTTCTCTATCTAATGAGTGGAAACAGGTCGGTTTCTTATACATAAGATGAATTGGTCCTCCGGGGCCGTTGTGTTGAAGAACTTGCTTTTTGGGAGACATGGGTGATACCAACCACTGACGGGAAGTCCGGACTTCCGGGCTGCCGGTCTGAACAGCCTGCCTGCACTGCTGGAAGACCTTCCTTCCGGTTTGATCAAGTGTATGACCCTCCGGTCTATTGGATGTGACAATTCTGAACATAGAGGGGTTGCGATAGATTAGATTAGATTAAATTATAAAGCGGACCAATCATACGCTGGGAACGCCGTTATGAGTTTATGAGTTAACTCATGAGTTAGCACCAATAACTCAGACTCAACTAATATGAGTTTTATGAGTTAGAGTTATGAGTTAGAGTTAAGTCGCCCACCCTAGTTATGGCCCACCCCTGGCTTTGGTCCGCCCCACAAACGCGCTCCGTCCCACGCGTCAGATCAGCGCTACCACCTACGATAAATTGTCAAAAATCGAATTTTTCTCCAATTGACTTGCTTTCTTTTATATTTTCTTCTCCGGGTTCAAAATACGTGAATATACAGAGCAGGACCTACAAAACGCCATCGTGGACGTCAGGAATGGGGTTGTCGTTAGGACCGCTGCCACACGCCATGGTGCACCAAGAGGGACACTTCGTGCCCGCCTTAATGGTGCCCCAACCTCAACGTACGGCACACGACGACCAACAGCGGCTCACAGCCAATCAAGAAGAACATCTTAAGCAATGGATTTTGCGGCAGGAGGCCCTCGGTTACGCGCCAACACACGCACAAGTGCGAGCAATCGCTAGCAGCGTGCTTAAACAACAAGGTGACCACAAGCCCCTAGGGAGGAAGTGGTCCAGTCACTTCATGGAGCGCCATTTGGCCGTCAAGACAAAATTAGGCCGTCGAACTGACTAGAAACGTATAAATGCGGCCACTCCGGATAATATCAGGCACCTGTTCAACCTATACGAGACTGTGAGCTGGATCCCTCCCCGGCGGAGGTACAACGCCGACGAGGGCGGCATTATGGAGGGCCAAGGCATTAACGGGCTTGTTATCGGCTCCTCGCAGGAGAACCCTAACACGGTACCAGTCAAAACGATAAATGCCTGGACTTGGACGTCTATTGTGGAGTGCATCTCGGCGCTCGGGGTCGCTTTGAACCCCCTGGTCATCTTCAAGGCCAAAAGTATCCAAGAATAATGGTTCAAGAAGGATTTCCTAGCTAAGCATCCTGGCTGGCATGTTACCTCTTCGGAAAACGGGTGGACAAGCAATGATATTGCTGTCGAGTGGCTAGGGAAGGTGTTTTTACCCCAAACGCAACCTGAGGATCCAGCCGGTGGTCGCCTACTCATCGTCGACGGTCACGGCAGTTATACCTCGGACGAATTTATGACTATGTGTTACCTAAATAACGTTCACTTACTCTTTTTCCCTGCTCATACTTCCCATGTCCTCCAGCCCTTGGATCTCGGCTGCTTTTCCAGTTTAAAAACGGCCTATCGTAGGTTAATTGGGGAGCATACGGCTTTGACAGATGCGACAAAGGTTAGAAAGGCAAACTTTCTCGAATTTTATGCGAAAGCTCGAGAAATTGGTCTTCGAAAGGAAAACGTTCAATCTGGGTGGAAGGCGACAGGCTTATACCCTAAAAGCGTAGCCAAACCTCTAAATTCTCGATGGGTCGTAGTGGCTAAACGGCCAGCTATACCACTACGTATCACCTCGGATATTTTAACACCAAAACGCGGCGGCGACGTCGTAAAGCTATTTGCCGAGAAGAGCAGCTCTCCCACTTCACGACTGTCTATTCGAAAAGCCGCTGCGGCGTTGGATAAGGTTGCGATAGAGGTTATACTAAGGGACCGTGAGATCGAACGCTTGCGGGTGCAACTCGCCCAGGCAAAACCGACTAAACGTCGTAAGATCGTCCAAGGTCCGAACGAACGCTTTGCAAGCCTTGCGCAGATACTTGCGCAAGCTAATCGAGAGCCTCAACAACGTGTTCGGAAGGCAAGAAACGCGGTACAAGAGGTCATTATCGTGGAGGGGGAGAGTAGCTCTGAGTCGGAAGAGGAGCCGGCACTGGCTCGACGGTCGGCACGCAATCGGCGACCAACAAAATACTATATGGAGCGAGATTCAAGTGCAGAAGAAGAAAGCGACTAAAGAGCACCAAAATGCGATTTTCCTTGTATTTTTACCATTTAATTTGACTTTGTTGCGACCTAGTTACGTCGATATACCAGTTGTGCGATGTAGGCTAAATAGAGCGGGCCAAAGCCAGGGGTGGGCCAAAACTAGGGTGGGCGACTTATGCTCAGTCACCCAGCGGAGTACCTGAGGCGACCCTCCTGCGTATCCATAGTTCATGACAGTGTCAAGATCATACTCATCCTCTCGTTTGACGCAACGCATCGAGACAGTAGAGCCCAAGGCTTTGGGTCCTGGGCAAAGCATTTCCAGAGACTTCCACGGGAAATATTCCGGCCACGGCCGTGCAGTTCCCAAGCTTATCATATCCGAATGGGCCGCTCTCGCGGCCGCCTTCAACGGAGATTTCTGCTGCTGCTGACTGTCTTTGCTGAAGCGGTGATCCCAGCTTCTAGCTTTGGGGTTTCCGCCAGGCTGCTGGACCTTGAAGAAGGTTGAACATGTATATGGCGCGCTGCCTTTGGGCAGAGATTGCGATGCCGCCCGTTTGTTATCGATCTCCGCGAGTTTGCTTCTGAGCATGGTGGTTATTGAAGATGGCGTTTAGAATATGGCAGCGGTTGAGTGAATTTGGTAGGAAAAAGAAAATGATGTGTGAAGTGTCGATGCAAGAAGACCAGTGACCTGGAGGAGAGTGCGTGAGAAATACCCAAGCGAGAGGTTAAATTGCTGCTTTTTTCCTTGTCGTGTTAGTGGTCCGGAGTAATAGCTTTGGAGTAGCCGTATGGATGTTGGCACATCGGAGTACGCTTGTTTTGTGCCTTCGGAGTAAGATAACGGCGATCGTGCTTAGATCGGACTCGAGACCTTTATAGACAGGTTGATTTATTTGACTATCTGATATATCACTGGCTCAGTATGAGTACTCCCCCTTCATTGTTCGGTTCAACTAATTTTCTCACTCACAACACTCCCCTTCTCAGCCACAATGGCGTCTGTGGCACCAGCCATCAAGCTCGCTGACTACCTCTTTACTCGCCTACACCAGCTAGGTGTCAGGTCAGTCCACGGTGTCCCTGGTGACTATAACCTCGCGTTACTGGACCATGTTGAACCCTTCGGCCTGCGCTGGGTTCAGGGCTGCCGTCAGATCAGATTAACAATCAGATATATCAATCAGATCAATCAATTCAAATACAACGTCTGTATATCTGATATATCTGAATGGAGAGCAGCTACCCTAGATACACCGGATTATCTGTATGTTCCGGCTCCGGAAAGCGTGACTCTCCCTAGGAAGCCACGGATGCTACAGGGGTCAGCCGAGCTGATTGGTCCCGGACCTTTGCCTGCCGGGGTCTCAGGTAGAGGCGAATACGAAGGTAGATCACCCCTTTTTTCTACCTCTCGCTCTGATACGATGTAGATTTAGCCAGAGGAACAAAGCAAGCCTTGAGTCGTCAGGAACGCATCTCGGCTGTTCAGTTTCAAGCCATCCACATGTTTTGCTAACTATGATCTATAATGTCCGAAACCGCTTTGAAAGGCAGTATTGTCAGCAGCCCGTCGCCATCGCCACCACCTACGTTTCCTCGTCTCGGGTCCCGACCTAAGAGCATCGCCAAGCAGTATGCTGCAGCTTTGGCTCTGGCCTCGACTACCGATTCTTCCGTTGACGACCTTCACAAGATTACCTGGGGCCAACGACGTTTCGTTATTGCAAGCCTCTTAGATAGGAGGAAGAGCAGAGGTCGGCGAAGCTGGATAGGAAACCATGGCTGGTTCCTCGCGGAATTAAAGAGAGACAATACATCTAGCGGAGATATTTGGTGTTGCCGACTCTGTGATGACAAGGGCGCGCCACGATTCTTTAATGCTCAGTCGACATCCTCGGCACAAGCTCATCTTTACAAGTTGTCAGACTTTCCTATCTCCAGGCTGTCACTGACGGTTTCAGAGCTCATAGGACCACCGAGACATTCGAACCGGGTTCATTTGACGATTCGTCAGTTCTTGATCTTCAAAGAAGCGCATCGAAGAAACGGCCAGCCTCTTCTTCCCTGGTTCATCCCCGAGCGAAGATGGCACGGATCAGAGAACTCTCAGTTGGCTATATTATTGATTCCAATCTTCCCTTCTCTACCTTCGAGAGTACCTACCTACAAGAGCTGTTTCGTCAGTTAGACTCTGATCTTTATGCTCAGATACCCTAGGGTCGAACTTCAGCCAAGAAAGAATTGGAAGACATACTCTCTTTGAAGAAAGCTGCCGTCAGGGAGGAGCTTGACGAAGCCGTCACACAGATACACATCAGCTTCGATCTGTGGACGTCTCCAAACAGACTAGCTTTCATTTCGATATTTGGCCACTTCATTGATCAGAGTAACTCACACCAAAGCCGGCTACTTGCTTTCAGGAGGCAGATTGGATCTCACGCTGGCGAGAATATCGCCTACACTGTAAGAAATGTTGTCCGTGATTGGGGGATTGATCGCAAGATTGGGGTCTCGATCTGTGACAATGCAGCTAGCAATGACGTTTGCTTGCGAAACTTCTACACGAACCTCGATGCCTCGATAACTCGAGCGGATGCGGAGGCACGAAGGATGCGATGTTTCGGGCATATCTTAAACCTTGTTGCCCAAGCTTTCCTCTATGGCGACGATGCAGCTTCTTTTGAACTTCAATCTGAGGCTTATGGCATGCTGGAGCGGGTCGAGGAAGACCTCGAACACTGGCGAGCTAAGGGCCCAGTTGGGAAGCTTCATAATATCGTCAAGTTCATCCGGGCCTCTCCGCAGCGCACTGAAGCATTCAAAGCACATGCAAGGGAGCAGGAAGAGGCAGACATTTATAAGCTTGCGGAAGAGTCAACAGCTGAGCTGGAAGTGATACAAAATAACGCTACGAGATGGAACTCGACCTACATGATGATCGAGCGCGCCTTGATCAAGCAGTCTGAGCTCAATAGCTTCATCCAAGATTTAGGGCTGGAAGCAGATGCCTCAAAAAGGGTTCCCGCGGCCGATATCCTGACCTCCGATGACTGGAAGGTCCTTAGGGAAGTCAGTCATATCCTGGAGCCAATCTACAATATGACAATGAGAACACAAGGATGGGGTACAAGTGGAGGCCACGGCCGGCTCTGGGAGGTCATGACAGGGATGGAGTATATTCTGGAACATCTAGAAGATTGGAAGCTTCTCTACGAGGATGAAACTGCGAATCATGCTACGGAGGAAAGACGTAGAGCTCAGGGGGAGGGGCTTGAATCGGTTGCAGATACGAAGTCAATGTCTGCGCGGCCTTCTGTAGTCGGGCAAACTCGAGAGCGACCCTTGCGCCAGTCACGACTACCATCGCGACTCCAAGGGTTTGAGATCACGCCGTTACACCGCCGTCGCGAAACGGTTCTTTCGGCTTGTCCATCCACCAGCCCATTGTTTAACGAAGGTGCTCTTCCTGTACATTCTCGAGGAGACTACCTGCAGGACGATGCTCGCTCCGTAAGTAACATTGCCAGTATGGAGGGTCAAGAGCGTGCTAGTATCAGGGCAAGCATAAACGCGGCTTGGATTAAGCTGAACGAATATTATACTCTTCTGGGGCGGTCGCCTTTGTTTGCGGCCTCTATTGTTCTGAATCCGGACCTTGGCCTCCGGTGGTTGGAGACTAATTGGACTTCCCCAGAGCAGCTACAATGGCTTCGGGATGCAAAGGATGGCATCAAAGCCTACTTTGAGCGTTGGTACTCGAAAAACGACGATGATGCTTCTGAGAGTATTTCGGCCACCTCCTCGTTGACGCCCCGACCTGAGCAAAGTAGGTTTGAGCAGTGGGTGAAAAGTCGGCAGCCTAAGCTCTCGGCAACAGGAAGTGAGCTTCAACGGTACTAGAGGCTCGAGCCGGAGCAGGTGAATGACCCTGTCCGTTGGTGGATTGATCATAGCAATGCTTTTCCGCGTTTAAGTAGATTTGCATTGGATGTCCTTGCATTCCCGGCCATGTCAACCGATTGTGAGAGAGCATTCAGTCTTGCGAAGCTTACAGTCAGCTCACAGCGACATTCTCTACTTGGATCGAGCATTGAGTCGATCCAATTACTGAAGAACTGGATAAGGGGAGGGTGTGTTACTCCGGGGGGCCTATGCTTAAGCAACAAGGCAGTCAGATCCCACGGGCAGAATCGTGAGGCTGGGAATAGCTCCACGTGACCTATTATATATCAGATATCTATCAATCAATCAATCAGATCAGATGTAGAGGGCAAATTATCAGTTCAGTTCAGATTTACGTCCTAATCTGATTTGATTGCTCTGACGGCAGCCCTGTTGGCTACACTTGCACTCCGAATCTTTGGAACCATAGCCAATTCAGTTCCCTCCGAGAGATCATTCTCAGTGGTTAACTTCCTCCACAGCAAGGCACGCAACAGGCTCACACCAGCCAACGCTGACAAATTGACGTTCATCTACATGAACGAACGGGTGCTAGAGATGCTAACGCAGTCTCAGAATCAACCACTTGTTCATCACAATGAGGCTGATTCTACGGCGGTCAGCTGGGAAGATTTGGCAGAAGACGGTTGGCTTACTCTCGAAGATACATATATGGAAATCCATTGTGCATCGAGTCTGGAAGTTGACGCTGTTATCGGTGAGTTTACTCACCAACCCGCCTCCGACGGGGAAGAGACAGTTGTGGACGCATTTGAAGTCCAAGATGGGTCAGAGAGCGAAGGAACGGGGGAAAATTTGGCGTAATTTGGCTTGGTTATTTGTATTATATGACCTTGGGCAGCTTTATATATGGGGTAGTTATATTGTAATAAAAAGCGCGCTTTTTATTAGGAATAAAATGCAGCTTCATTAAAATAAAATGCAGCTTAATACACATGTGTATTATGCACGTGGCCATCCCTTGGCCCGACCGTTAGGCACAATACGGCACGTAGACAATCAGTTAGCGCCTATTTTAGGGGGTCCCAGGCAGCCTCACTGTTAAGATTTTATGATGACTCTACTTTGTTCTCAACCGAACGGTTGACTACAATATGGCATGGCCAAGACCTACTGTCGCCTACACAACACGAAAAACCAAGCCAGCTTGAGTCAGTTTTCTTCCGCTTCTTCGCTGTCAGACCCTTCTGACCCATCTTCGTACTTAATTGCAGTTGTTTCTTCGCCGTCAGAAGCGTATTGATGAGTAAACTCATCAATAACAGCCAAGGTTGGCGACCAATGGCGCAACGCCGCAACGCCGCAATGACAGGCCTCGGCAGTGTTCCTGAGAGCCCTGGCAGCAAAGGGAAGACCAATAGCGCAATGTCGCATAATCTTTGCACTCCGCGTTCATTGCCTCGACGCCTGAGCCCAAACCCAGATGACGACGCGGTACGAACATCGTGTATAAGAGGAGCAGGTCTTCGCCCCTACTTGATCTGTTGCCTCCCTCTTCATTCCACACCAAAACCCTCTGCGCACCGATTGACGCAATCCCACTATCTTCAGCCCAAATCTCTTTCTCAGTCCCGGAGGTCATCGTGACTTTAGCCACGAGCGTTCCGTCGCTCTTGATCCCGTTTCTATCCTTCTGGGTAGCCAACACGAGCTTCCAACGGGCCCGGAACGACCGCCACTCGTCAACACGAGCTTAGTTCAGAGTCGCTCGAGGACCACAGAGATCGAGAATGAAGTTGTGCTTAGGTGGAGTTCCACGTGAGTGTGATGACGCCTAAGCATGAACATGGTCGACTGACTTAAGACACGATCCAAGTAATGCTATCAAATATTGTCATTTTGCCTTGCATTTGCAGCCAGTCAACTACAGCAAGTGAAAAGATACCATGAGTTACTGGCAATTAGATCTTGGGAGTTTGGATAGGGCATAAGGCACTGGTTCTGTCCGCAAAGGTTTTGGGCAGATTTGGGTTGAAAGGAATTAGAAATGATAGATTTCAGAGGGTTTCATGACGTTTGGTTAACAGGGCCAGAGACATGTACTCTATTTGTTTTAATATACATTTTATCATCCAAGGCCTCAGTCATCTAGCTCAACTACTGAACAACTACTCGGTGACGGTGCATCTAGGCTGCGCTGGGATGACGCAGAATCAAACAGTCCCTTGCCAAACTTTTCCAACAAAAACTTCTGCACATCCTCATTCCCTCCATTTCCTATCACTAACCCCTCCGCGTCTCCATCAATCTTGAGGCCCTCAAGGCTCGTAGCTCTCGACAAAGCGACGTAGACCTGACCCTCGGCAAAAGCCCTAGACAAGTTGACGATGACGCGGTCCAGAGTCATGCCCTGGCTCATGTGAACGCTGATAGCCCATCCCGGCAGAAGCGGAATCTGCGTCCGGTGAAGCAGAGAATACGGCTCTTTGCCGTATGAGTTGACCATGCAGTTAGCAAAGATGGTACGTGTCTTGCCGTTTTGAAATTTCACCACCGGCCATTTCGTCGCCTTGAACTTGGCGATCTGGACTTCCCTGAGCTTCGCATGCTCCCCGTTGATGATCTGCCAGGGTGGAGATATGTCATCCTTGCGTCTGGCCCTTGGCAAAACTTTGGGATTGTAGTCTTCAAACCCGCAGATTATGCCCTGGCTCCCGTTGCACAGCCCTGCCGAGATGCTCAGGTTGACCTGCAGCACGACCAGCATACCCACCCGCAGGATGACCTCTGGTTGCAACCGGTGGTCCCTGCAGGCGGCCAGTGTTCCGTCCGAGTTCCGCTTGTTGTAGTGATATAGGTGCTCGTGTTTTGGGTTCCATTCGAACTCGTCTATCGCCTGGTAGTCGACTGTGGGCGTCTTTAGTTTGTTAAAGTTCTCCCGGTTCACCTTGTTGACCTCATGCTTCATGCAGAGCAGTTGGGCTGCCCCGCCGACCTTGCAGGGATGGTCCATGAGGGTCTTTGTCTCGTCTCGTGAAAAGGGAATGCCAAGTCGGCATTTCTGCAGCATTTGAATGAAGGTCTGGTCCTTCTGGCGATGGATCTCTCGGAGGTGGACGTGCTCAAATTTGGCCTTCTTCCAGGCCATGCTCTTGAATGCCCATTTGTCCGTCTCTTCGAATGGGCCGTGACATTCGTCGCAATTGAACTGGGTATCGTCATCGTTAGGGAGCATCTCTCCTCCGCACAAGTAGCAGAACTGGAACGGCTTCACTGGCGGTAGCTGGCAGAAGTCGCCCGTTACGATCAACTGCAGGCCTCCAAATGGGGGCGGGTCTCTCTCCATCCTGTCCTCGTAGTCATTCCAGCACCTAACGGCCGTGATGCAGTGGTTCATGCGCTCGAGGTGGTGGTTCTCGACCATGCTGATCTCGTCAATGATGAGCACGTCCGTGCCCTTGATGCGCTTCCTGATGTGCTTGCGGAAGCCTTCCCTGATGAGCCTATTGAGGTCGTACTTGAAGTGATCGGGTGTCCAGCCCATGTACGACCACGTCGACATGCCGTTGACCTGCAGGGCGGCTCTTCCAGTGGGTGCAACAATATTGACGATCTTGCCCATGCCTTCCAGCTTCTTGACGACGGCCTTGAGGACGGTGGATTTGCCGCAGCCGGCGGAGCCGGTGTAGAACACGTTGCGGCCGCGCAGGATTAGATCGACGACATCTTGCTGCTCCTTACACAGCGTCGGCTCGGTATCCGGCTTGTCCATGGGATTCGCCGAAATTCCTTGGACGCGAGGTTTTGCTTGAGACGGTGACTCATCTTCCTCGTCATCGCTGAGGGATGAGATTGACAGGAAGCCATCGTCATCACGCTCAATCTGATCGGGTAACTGGGATCGTTGCGCTTTGGGGGTGGGCTCACTATCCGAGTCTGAATCGGATGAGATGTCGATGATAGCCTCGGGCAGCGGACGAGACGGCGTCATGCTGGCTCCATACGGTCGCTTCCTCTTGGTGCCAGCCATGCTTGAGCGGGGGGAGGGAGTCACGGGCGTGATGGGCGCTTGTGGTGAGAAATGGCTTTCATCCTTGGCGAAAGACAATGAGGGGATCCTGGGGCTGGGAGTTGGTTGTGCCATGGCCACTGGAGGCGGTGGTGGCCGTCATGTACTGAGGCCCATGAGCAGTACCGAGAGCAGCGAGAGGGAGGAAACTGTTGGACGTTAGATACCATACAAGCACGGCCCCTGGAATGGCATGTGGATATGGGATAGGGTACCTGGCCGTCAATTGAATCGAGATTGTCGGACAGATGAGGTCATTGCATAGCCAACGTTGCTGGTGCGCAACCGGAGACGCGATGCGGGCTCCCTTGAGGCCTTGACGCGTTAAATGGTCACGTGAACAAATAGTTGGATCAGGTTTACCTCAGCAGCGCTCAGGCCCCGGTAGCAGCCCCGGTCGCGGTCGGCGGGGGGGATTGTTGGGGGGGGGGGCTTCCTGGATCAGCCGGTAGCGTTAGGCGCCACGCCTCGCGGTGAAATCAGCGACAACTCAGCGGCGCCACGGATACCAGCTGATTCCATGTCAACACTTTTCCTTCATTCACCTCCTGCACAGGACAAAGACACTACTACACCCGCTACAGTCACATCTCACTTCTGACATTTGACATACATCACTTTCTATGACGTCTCCAACACCAGATAGACCTTGCTCATGACCGAAACCCCGCATTCTTCATCTACTTGAAACCCGGAGCTTTCCCGAACCGCCGTCTGGGCTCTGATCTGCCGAACACCGCACCCAAGATACTGCGGCCCGCGAGATATTCTGCTCTTCCCTACCGCGGCATCTACCATCCTATTACCTCCAGCGTTCGTCTCGGGTATTCCTGGCTCGTTTCTGGCAGCCACTGCTCCAGTGTATCATGTTGTTGATGTTGAGACAGTGTGGCTAAGGTGGTCCGATCTGCTGGTGGCTGGGATGTGGATACTATGTAAGGAGCTGTGCTCCTCTCGGACACATGCAACTTAGAACTAACAACAACACAATCAACCCGTTTTTGCTTTAACAGTTGAATGTCGGAGGGTTCACCCTCAACTTCAGGATTAAGGTTCAGGATTAAAGTTTGAAGTCCTAAACTTAGACTGTAGGACTTTCATCTAGGACTTTCTAGAACTCAAGTCCTAGAAGGAACCAGTCGAAGATATAAGGTCTCAAAGGTCCTTCGATTGCGACAGAAAAAAGGAATACACACGATTCACCTTAATATCTGACACATGTCTACTCCCGCTCCCTTCCCCATTGGTCCCTCGAACCCTCTCGAGACCCAGACGAACGCGGGCAGTGATATGTCCCTGATGCTTTTTCGTCCAGCCAGACTGCCCGTCCAGGTTTGCCTATCAGGACCAGCATCGTATTAAGGGACTCATCGCAGAGGGATTGGCGAGGGTCTTCTTACCTGCCCCGTCCTGGATTCTGACACCCGAGTATGCGCAACTTCGGTCGGACCCCGACAACCACTCCAGATGCATCTTCTTCAGCCTCAACCTTTTCCATCTACAATCAACAAGTCGTTGCATCAGAATGGACCGAGCAATGGTTCTTCATGAACGGTCGTGTTCACTCGTACGCCCTGACCTGGGAGGTTGAACAGCGAGATGGTCTCGAGTCGGACACTGGCGCCATCACACAATACACAATTCCGGTCCTTATTGTCAAAGTGAGTAGGGAGATGTCATGCGTGTGAGGGTTATTGAGAGTCAAATTTTGGCCTAGATCACTGCTCAAGTCAAGAGGACGAAGGTCTCAGTTATATACAAAACAGTGGTGTTCAAGTGGGTCGGGACGCCTCCTCGGCTGGGACGGAATATCGTTTGACACTTATCATCCGTGATCAGGGCTACCATCCGTAAGCATGCTCCACCTGTGCGCCCACCACTTCCTGTCCCGCCCTCTACTCCTACGTCTGCATCGCTCGAACCGAGTACTCCGCCGGCCAAGCGAACAATCCCTGACTATGGCCAGACCCCTACGAAGAAACAACACCTGTCCCTGGCCTCTTCTAGCACCATTCCCTCTTCTCAGAGCCACGAGTCTATCAGATCCCTCACCGTTTAGGCTTCCTCACAAGATGAGCTTGATGTATCGGAGGCGGATGTTGCCACTACCTGTCGTCCAGATCCGCCCAAATCCGATTCAATCACAGCCTTCACATCAGACTCGCCTCAACCGCATCGCAACCGTCATCCCTCAAAGGAATATCAGGAAGTCGAGTAGGAATCCGCTCGAAAAATCCTCTTATCGTAGCAACAAATAGACACTTCGTACAGCAACAGATTGACTGAGATAGCTGTTGTCCATCCACCAGTGGCGACCATCAATATACCCCAAAGTACGCAAATGCTTCTCGCCCAGATTGCCCATCCTTGGGCATGCAGACCTTCTTGTGAATCCTCCACTTTGCCCTTTGATGCTCCCTCCCACAATAGCCCGCAGCCCGGCATGGTGTCAGAGGCCCAAGTGGCTCAAGGGCCCTGCCCTTCGGACAACCGGCTAACTAGGTGTGTGAGTCCGGGTCAACGGAAGCTGCAGGCCCTGACTGGGGATCAGCCGGCGATAACCTCAGCAACTGAGGATTCCTATTAACCCAATAAGAAGGGGTCAATCGCCCAACTAGGGAATATGTCAGAGATCAAGTGCATCACAACCTGGAGTCACCTTTGCCTGCTGTCATCACTCTCTTCAAACCAAGCTCCTGACAGATCGCCTGCAACTCTTGATGCCTTCTATCTTTTCCCACATATACCTTACAGAGGCGGACTGGGCATTTGGTCATGATGGATTGATAATTCTACAGTCGCAAGGTTGCATCTCCATTGCCCGGCATTTCCAATCTTGCATTGTGATTCATGGCCCCTCACTTCCTACACCACGTCGAGGAGGATGCCAGCATACCCCTGAAAGGACCCCATCTCCCGCAAATACACATGTGACTAACATCACCCAATCCAAAGCCAATATTTGCACTCAACCTTTACGTTTCCATCCAACACATCTCAACTGACCTCGAAACTGCCATAACAACCTCGTTCATCAAGGCTCTTTGCGCAAGCCGCGACCGGCTTGCCTCTCCTGTTGGTGGAAACTCATGTTGAAGGCTGTACGGCAGCGGAGAGCTCATAGAAGTCACTAAGAAAGGGCTTTAATTGTCTTGTCTTACCTAATTCCATGGTGGGTGTTGGTCCTTTTATCTATGAGAGTCTCGCTCATTCATCGCTCTGAAACGATGCTGTAACAGCCGATCAGCAAAAGTTGTCAGCTCCAACAACTCAGGCTTATGGCACCTCAACAACAAAGCCATTTACTGAATTCGGTAAGCGATATGTCAGACAATTGGTTCCGCAGGGATCATTGGTGGCACCAGTCGGTTGATAAGAATTATCTCAAGAACAAAAGAAATCGAACAGCCATGTGTTCGGGCACAGCTATTTAAGTTCATGTCGTTAGGATTATGCCACAGGCCAGATGTGAAACCGGATAGTTACATCCGGTCACACGAATGTTATGCGACACGATAGCTAGTCAGGACTAGTGCTGGATCTCCAGGAGTACAGAGGTTCAATCCATCTCCATCCACGCCAAATTAGACCCCGGTTTAATAGCAATCACTGTAAATCGTCCTTGCGCGCAGTGAATTATTTAAGGTGCCCCCAAGGACAAGCGCATGATCTCCGCTATCCTGCCCTGGCTCCTATTGAAGCTTCTTGGGTCCGGACCTCTAGAGAGTCTCAGCCCCTTTCCGGCAGCAGACTCTGTCCGGTTTTTATGGATGGAGTCCGGAATTGGTTTGCCAATCTACCGCTTCTGATAAGCAAATGCCATTATTCCGTGTCGAACAAGCGCCTAAGAGTACTAACCTTGCAAAAATCGCAGCTACATGGCGTGCTTCCGTTTCCATGGTGGTCACATCCAAATCGCTGATCTCCCTCCGTTCCGCAACAGGTCCACCGGAAACCCTGTGGCCAGTACTCGTACATCTTCTCCTCGTTGGAGTTGAATTCCTTCTCAAATTTTTCTTTGAGTTCGTCAGATTCGGAAGCTAGGCAATTGCCCCATCCCATGCGGTCCCCACCAGCCGTGGATGTCCAGGTGATCAATTCAAGCTTTCCCTCGTGCGAGCAGCCATCCTTGCATCTGCGGTGACGGTCGTACCATTGGCTCGACGTGGGCATACCGGGGGTCGACAACATTGTTAATGTCTGGAATTACTATTTCTCTTCCAAGGGACTGATAGGAATGAAAAGGGAAGATGAGAAAAGAAGAGAAAAGGAGAAAGCTGAGGGAAGGACGCGGGTTTTATGGGGCCACGTGGTGTTAGATTGGCGGCTGGGAAATGTTGGATACGCGAGTAGGGTTGATGTCCAATTAAAATGAGGTTAATTTTCACACTTGAGGGTCAATCTAGTCCCCAGGAGCTCGTCCTTCTTCTTCTGTCTCTGTTTTCCCCGCCACCCGGTATTGATATATCCGGGATCCACAAAATACACGTTTCTTTTATCGAGGCGCTATCACTAATCCAACAATTCCCAGCCGCCAATCTAACAATATTAGATTGACGTCAATATGCATTGCAGGAGGCGCTAGATTGAAGGCCTCCCGGTTATAAGGATACTAGCGGTTTGTTGTCCGAACGCGTCAGAAGACCGCCGCCCCCGCACGAATAGAACAAGCAAGAACACTACAATCTTATATCCTGTGAATCACGATATACTGAACTCACCTTACCGCGAAATTGCTATAACCAGTGCGCATCTAACAGTTAACGCCCCGACTTCGTGAGTGTCTCATCACCACGTCAATTCTGTGACCGTGTCCGGAAACGTCGACATCCACACTAGACTACCAATCAAGATGCCGCGTATGAATCTGGGCCTTCCCTACAACCATTGTAACCACCAGCCATGCCAGGTTGGCTTTCAGAGCCCTAACCTCCTCCGCTGCGGTGGTTGTCATGTCGTCAAGTATTGTGGCCAGCCGCACCAAAGGGCCGACCGACCCAAGCACAAGGTCCAATGCAACCCGATAAAGCAGACCAGAGATAAGGCCTTAGAGGAAGAGGAAAAGCTGCGGATCAATCCCGGCGCAGACACAGACGGGAGCCCTTTCGACAACGCCGTAGGCCTTTTCTGGTTCTTCAAAAGCACTCGCCCTTACATGCAAGCTCGCTTTGACTATATCACTGCCGTTCTCAACGTCCGCACCGGCGAAGCCGCCGAGATCGCACTCGACCATTCCCTCGACCTGCTTCGTCTCTGCCGAGGCGACAATTTACGCGTTCGTTCCCAGGTTCCTGCGCTGTATCTCCGGCTTGGGAGGGACCAGGATGCATACGATTTCATCAAATGGTATGCTGTCAGAGGCGACTCGCACTATGACTGGCGCGATATGAACTTGCCGTTTCTCGACATGCATGGAGAGGATACGTTTGAGGCTGTCGACGAGAAGCCCCACCACATCGAGTTGGCCTTCTTCGTGGCCTTGACGCTCATCAAGATTCGTTTGATGAAGGACTTAGAGTCCCTCCAAGGATTCTTGCAGAGTAATCCTAACGCGACAGGGGAAGCTAGGTATGATCATCTGCAGGAGGAGGCGATGAGCGATATACTTCTCAGACGGCCGGACATTGTCGCGCAAGACAACTACGAGGAGACAATCGCTGAGCTGCGGCGCCAGGCACTACAGTTGTATAGGATAGTCAAGGAAAAGAATCCACATTTCTGGCCGGGCATCATGAATCCGAACCTATACGCTCATAGTGTGCCGACGATTTATACTTTCGGATCACGAGAGGAGGCTGTGCTCGTTTTTCGGAACTCATGGTACTCGTGGTCAGAGACAGAAGTGGCCATACAGTTTATCAGAGGGGTTATACGCGACGATGTGTAAACGTACAGCAATGAAAAACTCTACGGATATTCTATCTAGGAACAACTGATATATTTTAGCCTTGACTTTGGCATCTTATGCAATATGAATGGGCTCGGCGGCGAAACGCTGAGAACCCATGTGCGGCTATACGTTTGTGCGTTTATTTGTTTGTTTGAAAGAAGATGATGCTGAAGATGCTTGGGCTTTGTTGACGCACGATAGGATGTGTATTGTTGCTGGCTAAAGTCGCAGTCGCCAATGGATGTATGGGTTTCCTGGGGTACTCGTGAATTTCGCGCTCTTTTCCCCGTCCGCAGTCGCAATTGTGTTCCTTGAGTGGCAGTTGTTTTAAAAGTTCGACCTCGCTGTTGTGGAAATTTTTGCGTTTCAGCATATGTTATGTTATGTTATGTATATTTTTCGTCCGGGGGGCCGTAGACCCCGAAAGCCCCCTACTGGGGCACAGGACGTGCTGAGCTAGGGTCTATTTACACGCTAATTACAAAATGCTTTTGGATCTGCGAAACTTAGTCATTCGCGAGGCGAAATTAGACGTCCCTGTCGAAAGCGCGATTTTGCAAAATCGTCAACAGATAACCCTATCCAGCATATCAACGGCACAAAAGGCGCATCATATCAAGCCTGTTACCCGTCAGCGGGATGATCAGGCGCGGCTGATGAACGATAGCCGCAGGGTAAGCCTGTTGTCAGGCGATCGTGAGCCTCTGAGCGCGGTAGCCTCAGGGCTGCTTTCAAGTGATCGCGGTCAGATGAAAGGCGTGCTAACGCCCTTCATCTGGCTGAGAACAGGTAAGAGAGAGAAGAAGGGTAACAAAAGAGATGTATAAAGGTAAAAGAGGGGAGGACGGATGCAAGTGCGTCCCGGGTCGTACTCGTCTAATAGCGAGGGCAGATCTTTCCGAAGAATGCGCTCGCTTTAGACAGTTCGGTGAACTTGATGAAATCTTTTCCTATTGCCAGGTTGGCGGCTGCATTCGGCGGGGGTCCCAGCCTCATCCGATGACGCGGCGGTACCTTTCTGCAGTAGAAGATGTGGTCCGGTGCTTTGAGTCGGTTGCATGAGCAGACCAGGCGTGCGTTGCCGTGGTCGAATCTCTCGTGGTATGCGGCGAAGTCTCCGTGAAGCGACCTCGCTGCCAGCAGATGGTGCAAGGCTGCGCGCGGGAGCGAGAGCTCTTGCGGACAGCCTATGTTCGCCTTGAGATTGAGTCTCTTATACTGCTCAGGAGCGGCGGTGCATTACCAGGCTTCGAATGCTTCTTTCGGCTTTTGCCTTGCGATCCTTCGCAGGTATGCTAGCATTAACTGAGCCCTGCGGGCTTATGGAGTGATGATGCTGCTTTGGCCAGTCTATTGGCATGTTCGTTTCCAGGGATATCGGTACGTCCTGGCACCCAGTGTACCTGTGTGGCTCTATGTGGTGCTGCTAATGCCTGAAGCTTGAGAAAGACGTCTGGAGAGGAGTCGGGTGGTATGCCTCGCAGGCATGTGGCGGCCGCGAGGTTGTCTAGGCACATTATGATGTTTTGTGTTACTGATTCTCGCAGGTTTAGGGCGGCTTCCAGGCCCTCTAATACCCCTATAGTTTGGCGTCGAAGACCTCAGTCGATCCAAGTCGACCTGATCCGTTGAAATAGGGAGATTGTTTAAGTGGATAGTAAAGCCATAGCTAGAAGCTCCCTAAGAGGACAGAGAACTATCTGAGTATACAACTAAGGTAAATGGGTCGAGTGACTAAACCCAGTGGAGGAAAGCGTCGGCCATTTCTTCCTTCAATGCTGTCTGTAGCGGTGGCATCTGTTCCTGGTTGAAGCGTTGCTGGACGAGCTTCGGTCGTGTGCAAGGCTTAAGGAACAGATGACGCTGTTTGCTTGAGCGGTTGCACACCAGGTCGTTGAGCACCCTGGGCGTTCTGAGAAGCAGAGGTGAGAGGCGCCGTCGTTTGGGAGCTTGGTGGTTCGCGTGGCTGCGTCGAGCTTTGAAAAGCCTGTGGAGTTGTAGCCGCAGAAGACGCCGAAGCTTGTTCATCTGGTCCCTCTGGACGGCGAATAGAGCTCTGGGGGGTATCATGAACCAAGCGAGATGGAGGTTGAAAGCTGCGCCGAGGGCGAGCGCTCGACTCGGCTGCGTTGGAGCCGGAGCTGGAGGCGACAGGACTGTCCTGGATTGCCCATTGGTTGTGGCGGGCGCAGACCTGGGATTGGCCGCCATGGTGTCCTCCATAGGCTCATCATTCTGAATACCACCGATGTCTCTGCTTCGCGACCAAAGGTTTCGTTCATGAGGGGCGCTCTCTTCCTCTTCGACAGTCAAGTCGGGATCTTCTTCAGTCGCTTCTTCATCTTCATCTTCATATTCGCCGAGATCTTCTCGAGGGCCTAACGCGATAATCTCATCAACCGGTTCAGAGTTTGCCTTGGTTCCTTCACTGTCCGCAGTCTCATCCTCATCAACTTGATCATCCGCACGTCCATTCCATCGCCGTGTCTGTTTAATATCAATTCCCATCCTGCGTGACCACTTTCGCACCTTTGCGATATCCAGGGTGGCGATCAACGCAACGTCAATCAAGAGGTTGTCAACCAGGTTGATGTCAATCAACTCAACCCAACTCAACGGAGCCTATTCTTACTAATCAACCAACTCAATATTATCACGATATTGAGTTGGCTGCGTTGGCAAGGTTGATTAGGTATTGTAGCGATGTTCCCAGAATCTGGTGCCGGGTAGCTCAACACAAGGTGGGTGGGATGTTAGTGTTTGTTAGGAGATACTTCTCACCACATCTAATTATTGCTTCAATCTAGGTACCGCAGAGCACTCCTTAACGTGGCATTAGCTCGACACGTCAACGCGTCAGATGCGAATCACGCCATAAGTGATTCGCTCGTCCACCGACTCTTGCATCAGCACCAGTCTGACCTCCTGTTCACGACTTGCTTCTCTGGCGTCTCATTTCTTCGGCTTTAATATGTCCCAAAGTTCAGATTTTGAGACTATGAATTTCGTAGCAGCTTCCCTTTTCACACCGGACCCCTTAACACCAGCTCCATCAACACCCGAGCCGTCCACACCAGCCGAAGCTCGCGCCACTCGACGAGACGAGGATCGATTGTTCCGACACTTCCGTGGCTACACGTGGTCTCAACGAAGCAGAAATACAAAATCATGGGTGTGGGAATACGGCTTCGACATCGAGAAGGACTCGGAGCGGCGATGGGTCTGCAGATTGTGCATTGAAAGGAACAGGCCGAAGCCCGGCAATGTAGTTGCCATTGGCACCCAGAACGCTGAACGACATCTCTGGGACCACCACAAAATTCAAGACCCCTCCGGAAAACGGTCTGCGCCAGCGTCTCGAAAGAAACCGTCGACAGGATACCAGACGATAACGAAAGCCTTCAACCTCGATCTTAACGCGCCCCGAGAGCAAGCAATTGCAAACCGCCTTATTAAGAGCTTTGACAGGAATGTCTTCCAGCGTCTAGTGGCCGAATGGATCGTCGAGAGCAACCTGTCCTTCCGAGAACCCGAAAATAAGAGGTTGCGGGCCATTTTCGAGTACCTCAACCCTTTCGTCATGAGCACGGATGCCCATGTCGGTCATGATACGGTTCGCAAGCGTGCCGTTGCCGAGTTTGAAAAACACAAAGGGAAGGTAATCGAGGTATTGAGAAATGCACCTGGGTTGATACACATCTCGTTCGACGGCTGGAGATCGCGGAATAAGCACGCTTTATATGGTGTTGCCTGCTTCTTTTGAAATGAGGATGGCAAGGCCCGCAAACTCATTCTGGGAGTGCCTGAGCTGACAGTTCGACACTTCGGGGCCAATATTGGACACGAGATCATCGAAATACTCGAGTCATACGAGATCTCAGAGGAGAAAATTGGGTACTTCACGCTTGACAACGCACAAAACAACGACACTGCAATGGATACCATTGGGGAGAGATTCAAGTTCCATGGCAAGGAACGGCGGGGCCGTTGCTTTGGCCACGTAATCAATCTTGTGGTTAAAGTCATTCTCTTTGGAAAGGATGCCGACGCATTTGAGTCCCGGTTGGGGCATGGAGACCTCTTAGCCACGGCTGAGCATGAGCTTTGGCGAAAGAGAGGTCCGGTCGGCAAGCTCCATAATCTTGTGGTTGCGATCCACCGATCTGATCTAACCACACTTCTCCGAAGTATCCAACGGCTGGAGTTCGATGCATCCGAGGATCCTCGGGTGAGAATTCGGAAGCCCCTCAACGTGGTTGTCGACAACGAAACCCGCTGGCTATCGCAGCTGTACATGATCCGCCGCGCCTTGAAGCTTCGACCTTACCTCGAGACACTAGTCTTGAAGCACAAGCAGGAATGGGAAAAGGACAACACGTCGAAGCGGTCAGAGCGGCTCAAGGCAAGCGCAATCATGCCTGCCATATGTCGAGACGAGGATAAACTCGGCGACAAGGACTGGGCCGTTCTAGAGGCGTTCGGGGATATCCTTCAGAGCTTCGAGGACGCAGTCAAGGCGCTTGAAGGTGACAGGATTCAACGGAAACGCAAGCAGGGATATTTGGAGTCCTATGGCAACGTATGGGACGTGATCGTGGGATATGAATTCCTGCTGGCCGAATTGGAGAAAGCCAAGGCCATGGTCAATCAATATCCTGAACCCGAGCACTTCAAGGTTAACATTAACCTCGGCTGGAAGAAGCTTGACGAATACTACCACAAACTGGATGAGACTCCGATATATTACACCTCGCTGGCACTCCACCCCGCCTATCGCTGGGGTTATTTCGAGACGGTGTGGTCTGGACGTCCGGCGTGGATTTCTAAGGCGAAAGATGTGGTACAGTCTGTTTGGGACAGAGGATGCAAGACGTTGGAAATTTCTACGGAGGATAATGGCGAACCAGCCGCGAAGCGTCAGCGGACACAGTACTATTCTCCTTTTGAGCGATATAAGGACGAAGCTCGGATACGTCCTTGCGAAGAAATGGACTCTGATAACGCAGAAGACGAGTATGCCAGGTGGCAGAAGGATGTGTTACCTACGGATAACGTAATTCGGGATCCGCTCGAGTATTGGCATGCGCAGCGGTTCAAGTACCCTAGGCTGTCGCGAATGGCGGTGGACTTTATGACGGTCCAGCCGATGAGCGCTGAGTGCGAGAGACTATTCTCGGCGGCAGGGCGCATGGTGACGCCTCTTCGGAATCAGCTGGAGGCAAGTACCATTGCTATTTGCCAGTGTTAAAGCAAAAACGGGTTGATTGTGTTGTTGTTAGTTCTAAGTTACATGTATCCGAGAGGAGCACAGCTCCTTACATAGTATCCACATCCTAGTCACTAGCAGATCGGACCACCTTAGTCACACGGTCTCAACACTCCCACTCGAGCTGCTATTGGACTTGATGTACACGCCTGTCGAGCCTCGTTAAAACCCCAAAAACACCTTCGTGGGTGAAAACTGCAGGGAAAGAGCTATCTCGACATGGGCGCTCAGGATCTCTTAATGGTCTCGTGCAACCTTGGAGTAATGGGTCTTCTTCTGTCCGCAGAAGATCTCCCTCCAAGTTCAATTTTTTTTTTTTTTTTTTGCACCTTTCCTCTCAGTCCGATGCAATCCTGAACTTGTTGGTCTTCTTCTTGTCCACAGAAGATCTCCCACTGAAGCCCATCTTTGCACGGTCTTGCAAGCTTTCTTGGGACCGCAGGTCTTCTTCTGCCCACAGAAGATCTCCTGCCTATGCCCGTCTCTGCAGGTCTTGCAATCTTTCTTTGGGATCGTAGGTTTTCTTCTATGCACAGAAGATCTCCCACTGAAGCCCATCTCTGCAGGTCACGCAAGCTTTCTTGGGACCGCAGGTCTTCTTCTGCCCACAGAAGATCTCCTGCCTATGCCCATCTCTGCAGGTCTTGCGAACTTGTGATTGCAGGTCTTCTATCCGCAGAAGATCTCCTGCATACATCCGTCTCTGCAGGTCTTGAAGTCTTTCTTGAAATCGCAGGTCTCCTGTCCATGATAGGTCTCCCAATTCAGTCCATCTTTGCACGTTCCTCACGCTCGGCACAACCTCGAGATCGTGGCTTTCCTTCTACTTGCTTAGAAGCTCTCCCACTCTGCCTCATCTTTGCGCCTTCCTTACGTTTCCGTGCAATCTTGGATCTGTGGGTCTCCTGTCTGTCCATGGCAGGTCTCCTGTTTCGGTTCATCTCTACACCTTCTCATGGTCGTCGTTCTTTGAGACCTAGTGCTTTTCTAAACAGTAAGAAACGATCCTTTGGTAAAGCCTTTGTTAGGCCGTCGGCCACTTGTTTGCCTGTTGGAATGTACTGGAACTCAACGGTTCCATCATTGACTTTCTCTCTGCAGTAATGATGCTGAATATCAATGTGCTTGGTTCTTGTATGGAACTGGGGATTCTTCGACATCGCGATTGCTCCTTGGTTGTCCCCGAAGATTATAGTTGTCTTTAGTTCTGGGACCTCCTTGTATTCTTTCAACAGTTCTTGGAGCAGACCTCGCAGCCAGACTGCTTCTTTTGCGGCTGCGGTTTGCCCCATGTATTCTGCTTCGCATGAGGACAGGGCCACAGTTCTTTGTCTCTTCGAGCTCCAACTGATAGCGCCCGTACCGAGGTTGAACACATATCCAGACGTTGACCTTCGAGTCTCCTGGTCTCCCGCCCAATCCGAGTCGGTGTAGCCGAGGAGAGGTTGCAGTCCTCCTTGGTACACTAGTTCCAGATTTTGTGATCCCTTGAGGTATCGAAAGATACGCTTGACAGCTGTCTGATGCTCGTTGGTTGGGTTCGCTAGGTGTCGACTGCATAAGGAGACGGCAAAAGCGATGTCGGGTCTCGTCCCCAGCATGAGATACATCAGGGATCCGATCGCCTTGGCATACCACTCTTTGAGTTCGTCCGCTGCCTTGTAGCCCGAGTCTGGTTCTCCGAACTTGCTTGTCGAAACTGGTGTGGCATTGGGAGCGCACTGGTCCATTCCAAAGTCTCTAAGTACTTTCTCAAGGTAGGTCGTCTGTGACAAGAAGAGCGATCGGGTGGCTCTGTCTCTTCTTACGGACATGCCCAGGTAGTATTTGCATGGGCCCAGGTCCGTCATCTTGAACTTGTTGCACAGAGCTTGCTTGACCGCCACGATCTCGTCCTTGGAGGGCCCGGCAATAAGCAGATCGTCCACATATACCGCAATGAACATGTAGCCTTTCACAAAGACTCCCATATCTGAAAGTAAAGGCTTGAACCCGAGTGTCTTAAGGAAGGTTGAGAGAGTCTCGTACCACACCCTTGGTGCTTGCTTCAGTCCATACAAGGCTCTCAAGAGCTTGCAGACTCTCCCACTTCCATCGTCGAATCCTTCCGGTTGCTGGACGTATATCTCCTCATTTACAAGGCCATAGAGGAAGGCCGTCTTGACATCCATCTGTTCCAGTTCCAAATCAAGCGCTGCCGCAATGGCGAATATCATCTTGTAGCTCATCGGCTTGACAACAG